ACCAGGTTTTGGACTCATTAAGGGTCCATTTTAAGATGTAACCTCTTTTGTGGCAGGCTGCTAGGCCGACGTAGGGTTCTAGGCCCATGGAGTCCTTGTTGGCTCCCTTTTTGGCCAACATGTCAACCTTTTCGTTGCTTCTATGTCCAGAATGTCCAGGGATCCATGCCAGGGTCAGATCATTAGTGTCGCTGACTTCCGTCAGGGCCTCCATGCATTTCGAAACACTCTTTGCTTTCACCTCGCATGAGGCTAAGGCCCTAAGAGCTGCCTGGCTGTCAGAGAAAATGGCTATCTTCCGGGAATGTATTCCTACCCTTTTTTATTTCTCGGGCACATTGTTCAATCGCTATGATTTCAGACTGGAAAACTGTAGCATACTTGCCTAGGTTTACCGTCAGTTCGGTCATGGGGGTTTATCTCAAAGATCCCAGCTGCCGTACCCTTGTCGGTTTTGGAGCCGTCAGTATACCAGTAGGAATTTACCTTTAGTGTTGTTCCTTTGGCTTATTCTTCCCGTTCTGGTACAAGTACTTTGTACTTCTTGGTAAAGTTGTACTTTGGAGTAGTGGCATCAATTGGCATTCCTAGAATGGCATCTTCCTGTATCTCCTCCCTCAGTATCCATTCACGAATGAAACTAGCAGACATCTGATGAAGATGCAAAAATTCTGCAATTTTTTTAACATTTGTCCATTAACAATAGTGACTCTTTCGCATGAAGGAAAAGCAAAATGAGATAAATTCGAGATTAAATCGAATTATTTTTTACTATTGGTCAAAAGATTGAGAAATGTCTGCTAGTTAGTAGAAATTAGATTCACAATTTTTATTGGACGCCTGCATGTTTCTCTCGCACTAGTCCGAGAAAATAGAATCACACTTTAAAAAATACTACAGTATTGCGGAATTTTGAACATTTCTTAACTTGGTCTTCAGGATATGTTTCAATGAAATCTTTCTATTCAGAAGGATTTCAAGATCTTCAGTGGATATCCCACGTTTCTCCTACACTAGTCCATCCACCCCTTGCAGGACCAGTTAAAGAGACATTGTCAACAACTTCATTTCAAGATGACAAAACTACAGGTTTTCTAACATTTTGCTCGTACTGTCCACACAGTCTTTCGGAATGTGGTGTTTGAAATTTTCCATTTCATCGTATTTGATGGATGTCCGCTTGTTTCTCTCACGCTAATCGAAAAAATGGCTGGTATCTCAAGCCCAAAAGAAAATGGGAAAACCTTTGTCAACTTGGTCATATATTCCGTATGGGTTTTTTTCTTTACATGTCTGCATATTAGTGCATGACCCATGTTTCTCCAAAACTTGGCCACCTCTTTCAGGACCAGTTGAAATGTCAGTGGCCAGTGTCATGACCAGTTTGAAGAAATTAGACCCGCTGTATTTTGGGCGTGAAAATTTTGGCATTTAACCATTTTCACGGGTCATCAGCATGTTTTTCTCGCACTAGTCCTAGTAAATAGGTTATATCACACTTTAAAAAAACACTTGTGGCGAGACTTTCTAACAGTTTGCTTTTTCTGGTCCACACAGAATCTCCGTATGTGCTATTTGAAACTTATCATCGCATTCGGTACATGTCTACATGTTTGCCTCGCAATCCTATATTTTTATATAAATGGTTACAGATTACACAACGGTATGCCAAGGTCCTTTTTACTGTTTGTCCAAGTCCAGGTTGATAACATTCATTTCAATCTGAACTTAGAAAAGAAACGAGGGAAAGAGAAACATGTGGACATCCAAGGAACTGGTTATACGTTTTGTGACATTGGTCATTTGATTATGCTATTCCGCATAGCTTGAAAGCCTTAAGGTGTATATAAGGTGTCTGTAACCAGTCTATTAGGAAGATTTACCATTCTACCAGATTTACCGCATTCCCCACCCTGTTACAATCACATAAAAACAGCAAAATACAAATTCACATTTCACTCCTATTACACCCGAAACGAACGTAGCGCTACAAGATTAACATCACACTTTATATGAGTATGAAATACTAGGTTCAAAATTTATATTATTTACGTCTGTATTGACAGTTATTTTTTCCAATCAACATTTTTGGCTCTGAAGAGGACCCGAATAAAGGTCGAAACGGGGGCACAAAAATGAAAAAAAGTATTTATCTAAAATGCTTCATTCCTGACCTCTCCTCACTAGTTTAACAAATTATTGAACAACTGTCGTTAAATAACACACATTTCAATTGGAAGTTTGGTTGTTTCGACATAATTCTTACATAATGGCTTATCGTGAAGTAAATATGTGAACATTCACTGAATATCACAAAATAACTTAGTTGGTATCCCATATTCAGAAGAATTTTGTTATATTGCCATCTTTAGATGGATGTCAGCATGTTTCTCTCGTGCCAGTCCTTTTGTAGTGTTCATGCAGAACAAAGTAACAAAAGTGTGTGTGTGTGTGTGTGTGTGTGTGTGTGTGTGTGTGTGTGTGTATGTGGTTTTTTTTTTTTTTTGCCAATCTAGTAGCTTTATGTTTTTATCAGTTGCTATTAAATGAATGTCCACAAGTTTCTCACGCGCTAGCCCGTTTTGTAGGTTTTTAAAAACCCGCAGATTGGCAAGCAACGTTTCACAAATTATGAACACAGTAGCCCGTAGATAAATGTTTTTTTCATTTGAAAAGCTAATTTTCAAAGCACATAGTTCTTTGTCTGATTTAATTGCTCTAAAATATTAGCGTAAAATTATTTTTTATGTACTATGTATTATCTTTTGTATGAAAGATTCATTCGAAATTTAGTAGTTTTTTCACTTTAAATTTGCATCTGTGTTTAAATCACGGTATGTTTAATGTATGAATAGAGGTTGACATTGGTCATTGTTCACGGTGGTATAGGTGATTTCATCAGTCCTTTTTATTTTTGGACCTTTCTTTGATTTGTATCTAATCGTCCTGACGCGCTATCCTTCACGAATATCACCTTGGGTCCGATTTGGTTATGTGGAGTGGTAGGTGCGTCTCTATATTAAGCGTCCGAGGGCAACCCGCACGCCTTACACGATCCAGGTGGATACGTGACACGTGAACCATATGGTTCAACATCCTTTGGTGGATCGTTTTGCCCACGTAACTATCAAATCGATGTTGAAAACGCTACATGGAGCAGCAGGCGTAAAATCGCTGTCCAATCTGCTCAAGCATTGTAATAATTAAAATTACGCGTAAAATGTTAACTAAACAAAACTTCTTGCCATTTTCCCAACTACAGTCATATATATACATCAAATCACTACTAAAATAGACAATCACTACAAAGAACAGCTACCAAATAGACACCAACTTAATTCAGTGCACTAGCATGGGTTAAACATGCGACATCAGAGTTTCTTCAGTGGATTTTCTCTCGTTTCTTTGGCATTTCTCCAATGAAACTCTTGAAAGCCAAATGATATGGTTTCAAAATTAGCAGTTAAGAAGTAGTTTGGTCATTCATCTAATTAGCTCCAGAAGAAAACGAAGCATGAGGCAAAAATGCTGACATATATTGAATATGACAAAAAGTCATTCTAGTGTTCTTAGCAAAACTCCCGAACTTTGATGTATCCACTTTTACCTCCATCACCAACCGTTTCCATTCCGATTTACTGGAAAACTCCTCTTCCCGCACTTCACCATCATGCTTCATTCCATCGCCTGATCTCGAAGTGTCTCTTCTCTAGGTCTTTTCTCCTAAAGTATTGCGCAATCTCAGTTCAACTACTGCATAAAGTCGTGGTTCCTGAATGTTTGTTAATTTTCAATCGCCGCACTAATATAAGACGTTGTCATTTGCATCACCTTTAACGCCTTTGGAACATCATACTCCAGACCGCATGGTACCGGACCTTTCATCGCCTTAACTTTGCCTAATATCTTCTCGTCCGTACTGTATCTTTCCCTGTTATTTCCAGTACCGTCTTTTCCTTTAAACTATCACTCCTGAAAATCTATTCATCGCCCTTCAACGAGATCGCGGAACGAGTTAGTCACGCAATGTCATTACTGCTGCTGAGGTTAGGCCAGTGCACTGGCCTATTTACTACAGAGAGGAGTATCATCTTTCGCCTTCATATTAAATCATCATTCATCTTTAAGACTTCAAGACTTCCCTCGAAATAGTGAGTTTTCACTCATTCCATTGTTTCAATTATTCCATTATTCTATGGGGAATCCTCCATTCTCAGTGGTCTTGGTTCGCGCCATTTTGTTGGTTGTTGGCGAACAAATAGTTAATAGGTCAAGTATAACTTTAGCTTTCAGCTACCGAAAAGGTTTTGTGTCTATTCTTTATTAGAAGAATTCTATTCTGGAAATGGAACATGTTCAGTGAATGTCCACATTTTTCTGTCCCACTAGCTTTTTTTTCCAACATCTACACTGAAGCACTACTTCTAAACTACAACAATACTGAATGAAAGAATGCCCTGAATCTGATAGAAACATGACCAGGACGATAAAATTGCCCACAAATACTAAAAAAATATTGGATATTTTGTCATATCCAGTAGATGTCTGCGTGTTTCTCTCATCTTAGTCATTTTTGCCATTTCTGAAGAAAAAGAAGATATAATAATGTTCAATTCATTACAATACTTAAACGAGGTTAATCTATTATGTAACAATTGCCTTAAAAAAATTTAATGGTAGTAAATAAGGGAAATATGCTGACATATGTTGAGATTCATAGAAATTATAATTAAAATAAGCGGACCATTGTCCATGTACTGAATACATCAGACCTGTTTGTTGGTTGTATATAATATTATATATTACATTATACTATTCTCATATTTCCTACATATAAATGAGTTGTCATCCCAGCAGTGATTAACAAGGAAGCCGTTTGCTGCCCCAACATCCTGTAGGGGGACTGCTGATTGGGCCAATTGGCAAGCTTGCCGCAGAACGCCCACTGCACTTTCTACGATTTTAAATTGAATTTTGCCATTTTTTTTTCTCTGTTGCAGATCAACAGCAAATACAATGAGGAACATGCGCACGAGTGCCTCGAGTGGATCAAAGCGATCACAGGCGAGTCTTTCAGCACTTCAGGTGACATGGACAACCTTTACGAAGTCCTCAAGGATGGAACTCTCCTTTGCAGGTAAATTTAGGAAAAAAATCTTTGCTATGTCCCAAAAATATTCATTCTAAAATTAAACTTTAACTTAAGCCATTATAAATGATAAAAACTATTATACAAAAAAAAGACACAAAATATTGACAATCTAAGCAAATGAAGTGATTAATGAAAGATTGATAACTTTTAAATTTACTGAAAATATTGACCGAGTTGATATTTTGTCATTATTATTTTTCCTGGCAAGGTTTCCAAATTATGTTTTTCCTTCAGAGTATTTTTGTTTTTTTTAAAGAAAATTCTACACCCTGTTTGTTTACAGATTGGTCAACCATATGAAACCTGGTTCTGTGAAGAAGATTAACACGTCCACCATGGCTTTCAAATGTATGGAAAATATAAATAACTTCCTCGACACCGCACTCGAGATGGGTGTACCCGCTCAAGAAACTTTCCAGACAGTCGACCTCTGGGAAAGGCAGAATCTCAACTCGGTTGTCATCTGTTTACAGTCCCTTGGAAGAAAGGTGATTTTTTTCATCATCAAATCATACTAAAATTTTTAAAAAAATCTAAATAATTTTTTTCCAGGGAGCGAACTATGGACAACCCAGCATTGGTCCAAAAGAAGCAAACAAGAATGTACGTAACTTCACAGAGGACCAACTGAGAGCCGGACAGGGAGTTATCAGCCTCCAGTACGGAAGCAACAAAGGGGCCAATCAAAGTGGAATCAACTTTGGCAACACAAGACATATGTAAAACCAGCGGAACAGCGTTGTATATAACATTCCACAACTTAAAATATTCTTTGGGAAAAAAAAAGAGAAGAGAAGAAGAAGTAAAGTTAATTAATAATAATTAGGTGCTATGATAAAATAACGTAGACCCCCCGAATATATATTTTTTTTTTCATAAGTATATATATAAATACATTATTATAAGAAGAGTTCATTTTCTTTTATAAAAGTTAGAATTAAGTTTAAAAGTAAGAAGTTTTTTCTCTCTATTGAAAAGTGCTAAATAATAAAATCTTCCATTTCTTTTGACTTTATAATGCCTTTTTTGAAAAATAAGTCTGTCTTTCTTTATTAATACATCGAATTTTTTCTTCGATAGGTGTACTGAGAATTAGTAGGTTAGGAGTTAAAATTCATAGAATGTAAAAAAAATGTATTTTCAGATTACATAATAAATTATTTTGTTTTATCTTATCATTATACATCCTTCTCCTGAATTCGAAATGATTGTATAGATTTAAGTAAGTTATTCAATCAGAATTTTTGTAGTGAGGTTTGTTTACACAAATATGCTGATATGCAGAGCTATACGTATAATCTAGGGTTTTAACCATATTTTACTACTATAAATTGATTATGAAACTGCTATTTGTTCACTTTTTCACTTAATCATTACTTACAAAGATCACCAATCTACAGTGATGGAGAAAAATAGCCAATAACTAAGAAACTAAGATAATATGATTAATCTGCCTTTCATATTTACCCAGGTGACGAACATGGCTGAAATACCCAAGTTTCCTTGTTTTTACCGTTTTGTTTCTTCTTCTGAGTATGTTAGGGGTGGTTTCTGCCAAGCTTATTTCTAGTATCCTATACGTCCAAATCTTGAATGTCTCATTCAACACCATATAGCAGAGTTGAGAAAACATTTCAATAATCTTATCCTTAATCCCAGACCAAGTTCATGACTGCACATCACACAGTACTCTTTTCATTTAAGTAAATGTGGGTTGTACATTTTTGCAAAAAAATTATTGAACAGTCAAAAAATGAAATAAAGCTTCTTGCAAGAAAAATTAACTTCTGATAAGAAATATTTATTAAACAGTGAGACCGAACTGTTGAGCAATATTCTAAAAGGGACCAGTCTAATGATGTATTAAGCATTATTATAATTAATTGATTTTTTAAGTCTCTTAAAGTTTTAATAATAAAATCTAGTTGCCTAATAGCTTTATTATGAATGAAATCCATATGAAAAGGATAAGCAATCAGGATTGTTATTCTTTTCATTACGATTTGTTTCCCTTGTAAGTAACCAAGAATGCAATTAAAATATTTTCTATTCTACTTTTCTATTCTAGATTTGAATAAAATAATTATTTTGAAAAATGCTTCATCACAAAAAGAAAAAGAAAATATTTCAGTAAAGTGGAATGTGGAAATGGTAGGCAAATAATAGAAAGCAAGTCTAATATATTGCATTAAAAAATAATAAAAATTGAAAAATTAATTTAGAAAACTTTTTCGGTGAAAACTATTGAAAATCCTTCATTTAAAAATAGTATGTTTTATTTTATCTAGCAAACATTGTGCCAGAGAAGCATTTGGTTTTATGCTTTTGCCATATATTGGTGAAGGTTATAGAGTGGTTGCCACACCACGAGGGCACATTAAATCTATTTTGTTGGTAACCACTTTATAACCTCCCCATATGCTGTAAAGTGTAAATAGATTTCTTGTGGCGTTGTTTTTGTGTAGACTGTAGAGTACAAGCTGGAAAATACACAATGGAAAGCGTTGAAACTATGGAAGTAGCTGAGAAAAACTGTTCCAAAAGTTCAAATGGAAATTCCGTCAAATTTGAAATAAACGTGTTGAATAAGGCAGAAGGCTCAGCAATATTATCTATGGGTAAACAATTACAATAAATCATTTCAAGTTTATATAATAAACTTTGCAAAACAATTCAGTTCATTAATTTTTTTTAAATGTCTTAATCTTAGGTAAAAACGTTGTTTTAACTGCATTATATGGCCCATACGAATTAAAACATTTAAGAGTACAAGATGATCTGGCATTTCAAGTCAATTATAGGACAAAAGCCTGGTCTCAAGGTATAATTTTAAAAAAATACATGTAAAACACAAGCAGATTAAACTTAATTTTTCAGGGAATAACTTCAAGTCAATAGAAGATTTGATTAAAAGCGCTTGCGAGTCGATATTTTACCCCAGGCCTTTTTCAAGGCACGAATCAACCCTGTTAGTCCAAGAGCTTCAAGATGACAATTCCGTGAGTCACTCGTGTTAGTCGTTTTATTTATAACAATTTTAAAAAAAAATGAATTGTGAAGATACTCTGCTGTGCTGTCAATGCGAGCTGTCTGGCGATTATGGCCACTGGGATGGAGATGCAGCATCTCGTCACTGCCGGCTGTTGCTGCATAGATGAAAAAGGCGACATGGTGCTCGATCCCGATGGGGAAACGATAAAAGTATAAATTTCAATAGATTTTCCAACATTTGTTTACATGAGTCATCTTTTTATTTTATTTTTTGTTTGTTTACCAGAAGTCAAAGTTCGTAATGACAGCCGCCTTCGAGTGCATAAATTATAATATAGTCATGATCAACAGTGAGGGTTCCTGTTCTCCCAAGGAGTTCAACGCTGCGACTGAAATGTGTAAATCTGGGGCAAAAGAAATGGTCAAGTGGTTCAAAGCTGCAATTATGAAATACTCTAAAGTTTTATAATGTACAGTGATGTTATTGTAATAAAAATATATATTTAACAGTTCTTTTTACATAAATTTAGAATTTTAATTCACGAATCAAGACCGACAACTGTGTGCAATCGTTTCATCATAACAGTGACTAAGCTGAACATTAAAATCACCACCATGGTCATAACTGTATGTGACAATACCTTAAGTCGTTTGTTACAGTGATGATTGTTTCAAAATAGAGGAGTTTGGATAGAAGGGCATGAAAGTGTTAACAGACTGTCTTTTTCAACTTGTACATCTCACAATTATGATTGGCGATCATCCGCCATCACAGAAATCAATGCGGGGATATAAATTAATATAAATATATAATATAAATTAATAATAATTCTAATAAAACTGCACTACTTTACATGCTAAAAATACAAAACAACCAAAAAGTTATTATTGATCGTGAAAATGTACTCAACAAAAAAACTGACACCAAACATAAAGGATTCTTATATTCAAAATTAAGAAAACAAACATAATTAAAAACATATAATACATTTTATATAATAAGCATTCACAAAAATAGAATTTTTCATATCAAAAATTTAAATCCAAGGTGAATGCCAGTAGAATGAATGTAATTGACCTTTCATCCTCATTAGTCAACCAATTAAATTAATATCTTAATTAATATAGCAAAACACCAAGATTTACAAAATATAAACATAAAAAATAAACAATCCAGAAGATTACAAAGGAAAAAAGAAACTAACGGCCAAACAACATTTTTTTAAAACAAAAATTTGCGAAAAATAGTACTTAACAAAAGTTAATAAAACATCTTTTTCAATGATAAATTATGTAATGTAAGGTTTTCCTTTATATAAATAAATAATAGTTCCATAAGTGACAAAAAGTCGTTACTAATTTAAAAAGAGAAAAATAAAATTTTAAATAAAAAGGACCACGTGCTCATTGTTGGAAAATAAACCTAGAAAAGAAAATAGAAATTCTCGCCAAACAAACATGATCATTGCTCAATATAATACAATTATTTCAATGCTAACTGACCCTGTTTGAACTAAATGACTGCCAACAATGTATCCCCTATAAAATCTTGACTGTGGCAAATGTGTGTTTTTATTCAACGTTGTTCAATAATTTGTTAGATTCAGTCAGGAATGAAGGACTTTAGAAAAAAACTCTTTTTCTCATTTTTTTATCGGCTTTTCAACCTTTATTCGGGTCATCTAAAGGGCCTAGGTGAATTACAATGCTTATTTGATTGGAAAACATACAATACATATGAAAATATAAATGTAATATACATTTGTATTATAAATTTCTTAAAATTTCATTGTGTAAATGTTAATGAAATTATATATTTATTTTGTGGGCATGTAATTTGTAATGTCACATTGATATCCACTCTTATGTAAAGGTAACTTTGAGATGAGTTGAGAAAAGTGAAAGCCTGAAATTTGAAAACTAAAGAAACTTTACATATGAAAAGGAAAGACCATTAATATTATTTTATATTATTATGACACATTTCTTATACTATTATATGATTACTGATTTATATAACCCCAAATCTGCACACGATATTCATACATACGTACAGAGTTGAACTTACTTCTCACAAATCCAATTGCAGTTTATGTAATTTACAATAAATAAATCGCCCCGAGTGTTGACAGTCCAGGGTCAGACCTCGGTCTTATTCATCCATCCCCTGAGGTTAAGCTACAGGGCTATAAACACTAGGCCATTTCCGTTTTTAGATTCACACCCATTCACATTCTCAAATTTTTCACTCTCTTTCCTATTGATATTCTCTCAGTGATGATTGTTCTCCATCGGCCTCAGAAACCAGAAATCTTTTTTTTTTAATTATTCAGAAACGTGTGATGCGGTCTGGTATGATGTAGGTATCAGAAAAACATTTTCTTTATCATACCAACGTTTCGATCTTTATTGAGATCATCTTCAGGGCTCAAAGTGTTTGTCTTCTGTGTAATTATGCCATTCTTGCGTCGTTTTTTTTTTTTTTTTTTTTTTTTTTTTTAATATAATTTCTTCTCATAAATCAAGGAAAACCTTAACAGAATAACGTCCATAGCTAATCCTAATCCCTAACCATCCCTAACACAGTACCATTGACTGAGCAATGCTTAAAGCCTGTGATGCCCATTCGATTCCAAAAATATCCCTAACACAAGCTTTAAAAGCAGGGGTTTTCTAAGAGGTGTACTGGAAGTGGTAACAGATTAACCAGGAGATCATGTAACATCTCCCGTATCGCATTAAGGTATCAAAAATATCCACCACATAAAATTATAAAACAATATACACTTGTGTGTGGACACACACATGTCCCGCACACTTTTTCTTAATCAGCCATGTTTTCCAGTTTTATTAACTTTATTTATCTTATGTCAACCAGAAAGAAATTTCTTTCCCAGCAGACTCCTCGATGAAAAAGTAACAATAATGGTCTATGTTTACATTGTAATTATAAAATTGGTTAATGATTACTGCTTAAAACATCAAAAATAATTGTTTTATTTATGTAAAAAAATATACATTTTCATATTGCATAAGACCGTACAGGAACGGGGTGGAAAAAAAAGACATGAAATTTTCTTTTTTATTTTTATTAATAAAATGAAGACCATCTGGAAAAGAAACAAAAAAGGTAAAATATAAATCATTTTAGGAATAAATCATTGTTTTTTATTGAGGTATGCTCCTCAATGGCTAAGATGCCTCGACAATGTTACCCTGCCAAGGTGGATGGGATGCCAACCCCTACCCACTGTTGAGGCACGGTTTTAATCCACCTGACAGTATCAACCAGAGGCATTTTGAATGAATTAATCTAAGGTGGCTCAACCGTGTCACAACAGTCATACTCACTTATGAAAGTCACTCATCGGGAACTTCAAGCTCCCCGTTGTTGATCTGCGCCATTAAATCCTGTGGTGTCTTTCCTTCGACAGTGCAGCCAACTGACTGGCATGTGCCGAGTACTTCTTTCAACGTGCCTTCCATTTTCCTAGACATCGACCTCGCCCTCATCGACCTCGCAATACCCATGACATCGTCAAAAGACAGATTTCCATTGTGCTTAACTAAAATTTTTTTTTACAATGAATATTTCAATGTTACGGGAGATGTTAAGGACTTACTGTTTTTAACTTTCTTCCTGTCCCTCGGAGGCTCTTTCAAAGCCTTGATGATCAACGAAGCTGCAGAAGGCACAACAGAAATGGCAGCCTGTCTGTTCTGGATCGTGAGACAGACTGTGATTTTAAGACCTTTCCAGTCAGCTGTTGCTTTAGCAATGTCATCACCAACTTTCTTCGGTGACTGAAGAAAAAACAAAACCAATTCAGATATTTTCAAGAATAAACATTACCTATTGAGAATATTATTAAACTAATTTCTGAACACGATTTAAGATACTTAAGTCAATGTGAAATTAATAAGGTTGAATATCTATATCAGGGGTTCCCAAACTGTGGTCCACCGACCTTGGTCTGCGATGAACTTTGAGAAAAAGTAAAAACTACAAAAATAAACAGAGAATGATTTATAAGTAATTTTAAATACTTGAATGTGAGGGGTTCACCCTGGATTTTGTTCTGTGCAAAGTTTGCGAAGCCCAGGTTTATATGATCGTCATGATGTACTATGTGGACAATAATAGGATATAGCATAAATAATGTGCTGAGATAGAAAAGTTGATGTCTTTGGATAATTTAAGTCATGGTTGAGTTCAAGTCAGAGCGTCGAGGTGCTGCACAAGTACTGTCTCGAGGACTGAAGTCAAACCGCCTCAGGTTACTGTTGAAGACAGTCAGGCCTCAGGGTACTGTTCCAAAGACCATGGGTTCGAATCCCTCTATGACTTTTTATCTCAAATCTCGTTCAAAAATTAGTATTTTAGTACAAACCGAAACCGGCGAAAAACATCAAATGAATACATACTAACATTATAAATTAGGAAAGAAGAGAATAATTAAAATGGCTTACCAAACCGAGCGGACCGATTTTAGGGGCGAGGGACGAAGTTGCACCAACTTCACCTCCAACACACCTCAAGAAAACTATTAAACAAATTAACAAACTATTATTTGGACATTAAAGCAAAGAAAAATGAGAAAATATCGTTGGAAAATGAGGCCACGAGGAACATAACCGTACCTACCACATGACCATATCTCTTTTAACTATTTTCCAACAACAAAATATGAAGATTTTACTCACCAGTCTTTACTTCAGTAGGATCGAACTTTGGTGGCATGGTTAGCTAGTTGTTTTAACTAAGGATTGTTAAGTTACACACGGATAATCCGCGGAGTCGAAAGCACGACGTACAATTCTGGAAACGAAAGAAGTACGACGACCTGCACGCTTAAGCCACGCGACGTCTCCACTGATGACTGAATAGTGATTAAGGTCGACTCAGAATATCGATATTTTTATAAAACATCATTTAAACGTCATCACGGTTTTCCTGCTATATTTAAAGTTTAAACGAAGAGAATTGTTAATCACGTTATGCAATAATATAAATGTCAAGAGCACTGTCTTTAGGTAACCCTCAGAGGAGTGAGGACCTGACTCGTAGAAAGAAGAAGGGTCATCCTCACCAGATTAAGGATAGGCCATGCGAGATTGACACACGGAGTACTTCTGTGACAAACTCGCGTATGTGTCCGGCATGGAGAGAAAGGTTGCTCAATTTGTCCCACTTAATTGAAGAATGTAATTGGTTCCATATAGAGAGCGTGTAGGAATGCGATTTAAGAATTGTATTACGGCACAGCAGCAAGTTCTGGGTCCCCTGTTCCGATTCTTGTAGGGGGTTGTTTTATTGTATCTATTACTGATAGTTTTGTGTCTCTAGTGTTTCTCAACACACACTCTCGTGAATGTATTTATTGGCGTGAATGTACGGAGTGAAAGGGCCAATGGTGGAAATCAAGAACTCCACACCTTAAGTGAATAATAATATAATAGTAATAGTATATAATAGTATGGGACAAATAAGACTGAAATCTGACCCCGGTCTTGCAACACCCAACGTGGTTTGTTCACAAAGCCTGTCGGTAATTTTTTGTTAATTACAAAAGCTTGCCGATGGACTGTGAGAAGTGATATGATAAACTCTGTGCATGTATGTATGCAAATGTGCATACAGATACGCAAATGCGTGTAAGATTTGAACTTATATAAACCAATAATATATAATATTAATAATATGCAAGGCTTTACACGCTTTCAAGTTTTGCCTCGGTCACGAATTATATTAGTAGTGGCTATGATATTTTTCGTGATTCTTTGTACATAAAAAAAATTATGATCAATAATTTCACTCATATGTAACAAATATCTGACAAAGTTGTTTTTGTTATCTGTGTTGAGAATTAGTTTTTCTATACTTGTTTACTTTATATTCTATATTTATTCATATTTATTGTTCTTTATTTTATTTTATTTATTTTTCATTGTTTTTTAAATTGTTTGTTAGTACATTCTTTATATTTTCTGTTTTATTTTCTTTAAATTTGTGTTAAATATATAATTATATGAGAACAACTGCTCAGTCTTGGGCTCGACCTGTTGAGCTGTCAGCATACAAATTTGTAGGCATTAAAAAAGAAGAAGTTGAAGTTTTTTTTTTCTATTTTTGAAATTTTCCATTGTTACTATTATTTTATGAGATATTCCTACTTAGACTAGGCTAAACAAGCAATTTTTAATAAAATTAAAATCAAAAGAAATAAGCATAAAAATCAGCAAATATTATAAAGGCAGAACTGGGAAATTTACTCTTTTTTTTTCAATTTTTGGTATTTGCCATGTTTATTAATATTTTATAAGGTATTTTTTTTATTAGACGACTAAATAAACAATTTTTAACAAAAGAAATATCACATGGATAAGCTTAGAAATCAGCAAACATTAGACAAAACTGGGAGTTTTTCTTAATTTTTGCTATTTTCAATCACTACTAATATTTTTATGTACTATATAACATATTTTTGTGTATACTAAGCCAAATAAACAGTTTGTAAGAAAAGAAATTAATATAAAAAGGAATAAGATCAGCAGAGATTAAAAAGGCAGAACTAGGAGATTTTCTCATATTTGCTATTTTCCATCATTATTAATATTTTATGTATTTCATAACATATTTTCGTTTAGACTAAGCTAAATAAACAGTTATAACAATAGAAATTAACGTAAAAAGGAATAAGCATAAACAGAGATAAAAAGACAAAACTGGGAGTTTTTCTTATTTTTGCTATTTTCCATCGTTGCTAATATTTTGTGTTTTATAACATATGTTTGTGTTTACTAAGCTAAATAAACAGTTTATAACAAAAGAAATTAATTTAAAAAGGAATAAGCATCAGCAGTAATTAAAAAGACAGAACTGGTAGTTTTTCTTATTTTTGCTATTTTCAATTGTTGCTAATATTTTATTTATTTTATAATATATGGAAATGTTTTTAAAATAAAAAAAATCATAAAGGGAGTAGATCTTTTAAAAAATCTACTTTAAAACCTCTTATATATTATTTTGCAGTTCTTTTTTTGGAATAGTTCGTTTTTCAACTAGTTCGTTCATAAACTATCCATCCTTACTCTAGAGTAGTACTCTAGACTCTAGAGGGAGCTCTCAGTTCTTCTCACTCAAACTCATTGATAACTGATATTTGATAAGGCGATGCTAGATTTGATTTGTTGTTTATGATTATTTATGTATCTACTGAATAATATGAAAATGTTGCGTTTCTGCATACAGTAATCAGGTCGATTCTTTTCTACTCAAGTTCAATATTTATTTCTACTCATGGACAAGGTTGGTTATTGGGATGAAAGTGAGGTCAAAGGATTTGACTTCACAGGGGAAGAGGTAATTTTTATTTTAATACTTTATTTTATAGTGAAATAGATAAACTTCGGGTAATTACCATCTATAACTTTTGGAAAAATGCAGTTACATACAGTAAAATACAATAGGTTGAAAGAGTGCTGGATTAAAACTAAGCAAGACTTGGATGTACCTAAGACACAGTATAAAATATAAAATCAGCAAACAAAATTTCTAAGTAGAAGGGATTTTGAGGTAGTCAAAGCTCTAAACATTTAGGCGTTGTCATATAAAAGAGAAAACATTAAAATTATAGATTTCTGCATGAATGGAATGCATGGTTTGGATTTAGGAACTGATTGCATTGGGGTCTCTTCATAGACCATGGACCTCATCGGCTGGATGGACAAGTCCTAGGTTCTCGAGGCCTACTGGTAATTTATTATAAATTACAAAAGCTGGAATTGCCAGTGGACTGTGAGAAGTGATAGACTCAACTCTGTTTATGCGTACTTTCATGTACATACGTGTGCAGATTTGAGCTTATATAAATTAATAATCAATGAAAGACAATGTCCCTAAGGAACTGCTTATGTTGTATGCCAGTGGTTACTATACAATTGTCTTAAATCAATCGCAATCTCCAGATATCAACCACATAGAGAAATTGTCACATCTGGCTATGTGAGTAAACCAAATTTCAAATAAAGAATGTTTAAAATGAATTTTGTTAGTGGAATGGGTAAAATCAAACTTAGATACACAAAAAAATTAGTATGATCCATGTCAAATCATTTACGAGGCATTATTAGACAAAAAGGACTGCCCTCAAAATATTAGGATTGTTAAAAAAAAAAAAGTTTGATTGTTACTAATCAACATATTTTTGAGTTTATGTATTTTCAGTTTATGAAAGTTGATAATTTTATACCAGGTTGTCAATTAATTGTCTACGAAACGAACTTAATTATATTATTGTCTTTATTTATTATAGTACATTAGTAACAGAATAATACCCATACAGTAAGTTTTAATTTAGGAATGTCTTATTTGTAGCAGATCAAAAATGCTTCGTCTAGTAGGAATAGTAGTACAAGAGTAGGAAGGCAGGATGATAAGTAACAATCAAGCTATAGCTATTATGATGTTTTATTATTATAATTATAATGTTTTCAAATAATATAAAAAGCTTCTAAAAAACAAAAGACATCACTATAAAAATTTAAACAAAAAAATATCGAATTTTTTGCAGTATTCTATGTGTGGAATCAAAATCAGAAAAACCGCATGCCTCTCCCAACTGATCAAAGATGGCCTTAGTGAACTACCATCTGCATTCGGACCGGAAATGGGTAAAAACAAAATAATTTCTCGTGATTTTCTTTCATAATGTGTACAAGTTTATCTGCCATAGCTCTCCCTGGGCCGAAAGAAATCGGTGTCAACAATCTGCACGAGGTGTTTTCAGAAAAATCCTTAGATGCAAGTAAGTAGAAAGATAGAATTAAATTCAACCCTAATGGAAACTAAATTAATTGTGAAACATTTTAGTTTTTGATGCCGACAATCCGTCAGTACATGTTTCAAGCATATCGACAGATAATGAAAATGAAGAATTGAGATATTTGAGGTGCCAATTTCTAGTAAGCGAAAAATAGAAATTTTCTGCCACTTTGCTCTATTCAAGTTGTTATTCAATAATAAGAGGATGAGCTTGTATTTTTAAATTAACAATTAGAAATATTGGAATAAAAATGTTAACTAAAATTGTATTTTCGATATGGAATACCATTTATTAATCATTAAAAAATAAACTGCATTTGTTAACTATTTATTAATGTTTTACAGACTCGTTGGGACACACCTGATGTCAATAGAACATTAACGGATGCTTTTCTAGGACGACCACATTCGTTTGAGTTGTTTAAATCATTTTCGCAAAAACAAGAACTTTTAAAAGCAGCTGAAAAACTACACGATGGTGATTTGATTCTAAAGGTACACTTATTTTTAATCAATTTTGAAGAAAATAGATTTTCCATTTCAGAAATGTTTTTTCAAATTTTTTACATCGATAGTAAGAAAATTAAAATAATTGTGAAATAATGTAATTTTGAACTACAAGAAGTGAATGGCGTGTAAGCAAGCAACTGGTGTTTAAGGAGAAGTCTGATCACAGACATATAAGCCTCAGAGTCAAAAAGTACTCAAAAAATGGCAACCTTTAGGGATTCAAATCTACCAACTGGTACATATTCAACTTAATCGGTACTACTGAACTCCGAAATACCAAAATTGAAGTAGAGATAACTTCTTAAGTGGTGAACCAAACTATTCTCAAATAATTTATAAAAACCTTCCCACAAAAGAGTCAAAAATTAAAAAAAGAGTCAAAAATAAAAATCTCTCTATGGTGGAAAAGTAAATTAAATTATGAAAAACTCTAATTGAAGTAGAGATAACTTCTTAAATGGTGAACCAAACTATTCTCAAATAATTTGTAAAAACCTTCCCACAGAAGTCAAAAATAAAATAAAAAGTCAAAAATAAAAATCTCTCCATGGTGGAAAAATAAATTAAATTATGAAAAAAAAAATACTAGGAATTTATTAACATGGCCAAATACTCACACTTTTAGAACATTAAAAAAAAACTTGGCAAAGTTTTTTTTTTTTTTTTTTTTTTTTTTTTAAACTTTGGCTTAAAAACACACAATCACTAGTTCTAAATATCACCAATTGCCACTCATTCAATCTTTACCTTGTTTCCACCAAATGAGTACTTAGCTGAATCAAAAATATTGGTGGGTAGGAGAGCAGCTACTTGGCCAAAAAATATAAACCTACTCAATTCGATTCACAGCTCGGTTGAATGTTGAGCAATGTCCTTTTTGTTAACTTTGCACGGCTACTCGATGTCAACTGGGCTTAAGAGGGTCATGAGAGAACAGTAGGTTATGAGACAGTATACACCCTAGTTAAAAAGATAGCTTTGGAACAACACAAAGGTCTGAATCAATACATTTCAAATAATTTAATAAGATTATTATAAAGATTTTCCACTAAAAATAAATTTTCTTTAGGTGGTGATCTTCCTATCGAAAACTTTAAAGCCATCGTTGTTCCATAGGATTTTAAGAGGGTCACCTCTCGCATCACAACATTACATTGCATTCCTTTTCACCAAGAATAATGACGAATATGAAAATATCTTAGCGTAAGTATTTTTTTTTTTACTAATAATCATAAATTATCCAGTATTGTCATTAAAGACTAGTACCCACTGGGATTATGAGTCGATTCAGAATCTACGCAGCCCAAATGCAACGTAAAATTGGGTTACAGCAAGATTCATGTTGCGATTCAGTTCTAAAGTGGAAAATGATGGACGAAGTTGCTTTCAGGGATTTTGCTTGCCCTATTTTGTTTAATAAATAATAATCATGATTAAAAAAATTTAAAAAAAGGTGGGTAAGAAAGCTATATCAAGGTCGTGAAAATAATGCAGGTTAATACCATAACTTTGGTCGATGACGTACCATTTTTCTTGTTTTTCATTTTTGTGTGCTTTCGCCATAATTGGCCCTTCAGGGTGGGCAATTTTTTTTTTCAATTTTGGCTACCAAAACATTAAGGAACAACGCCAATTTTTTTTTTATCCTTTCATTTTTTTAAATCTCAGTTACTAAATTCACTAGAACTTTCATCCAATAAACAACTATGGGAATGTATGTCCTCAATAAATTTCAATGTTTCATGGCACTCCACAGCATTATACAATTATATTACACACTTGTAAACAAAATCATGCAACTGTCCTTAATAAATCCAAGATAATCCAGACCTGTACACCTCAGCTAAAAAGTTTCCGAAATACCATTGCAAGTGAGATAGTGGCCTGTAGCTTTGCTGTTTATGCAGTTATAATTTTTGATCAGAAAAGTAAAATAAAACATAAACATAAATTATGGATCATTTTCCACAACAGAAGCCGAGGTTTTATATTTATATATCTTCCAAACTATATCTAACAAAGTCAGCCTCTTCTGATTGAGGTTTTTTTCCAGTTTAGCATCCCATAAGTAATGTCAAGTATGAAACTCTTCTATCAATAATAATGTTTTTTCCATTGACCATGTTATGTATATGAAAACATACAAAATAATCAATAAATGAACAACCAGCATGAGCTGCATGTAGTTTCTATACTCGATCATTGTTGTTTTTATAATTCCTTGAAATTTTCACAATCACCTCTATATCTCTCTACTTTTTTTTCCAGCCAATTCAAAGAAAGGTTCAGGAGTTCAGTCAGTATAATATGAATAAATTTGTTAACATCCAAATTCGATTATCCAACACTCCTATTACAGTTGATGCTGGGTATTGGTCTGCAAGTCAGTGAATTTATGCTGAACTGGTGCTGAGTAGTTCAGTAAACCCTTGCATGAAGATTAACCAAATAAAAAAAGAGATCCAGTGCCAGTCCAGCATGAATACTTGTCAGTTCAAATAATAAGGGTTCTACTGTAGTATATGAAACTTTGTATTTATGTGTTTATTTATTTTTTATAATGCTGGGCTTTAAATCTGACATATCACCAGCCCAATGTTTTTGAAAACCAAAAAAGTCAATTAATTATTTATTAAGGGAAATTTCTTGCTCATCATGAACAAGGCCCATCAAGCTAGTTGCCATAAATTTGGGATTGTGTCTATTGTGCCACTACACCTTACGACCGTTGACAATGAGACAATTAATATTTTTAGTGTTTTAGTTTGTCACTAAAGTAGTAAGCTTTCAATAGTCGATAAAAAATCATTATCATTACACACTACAAAGACATATATACGAATATTTTGTTTCTAGGATGCTAGGAAGATTTAATGATGCTGCTGTAAGTATTACTATTTTAAATTACTATATATATAATATATATAACATTTTTGTTAATTAATTTTTTAGATCAGACAGTTTACTGTGCTTTCTAATAATTTTCACAAGAGGGGAAAGCTTCAGAACTTTACAAAAACCCATTTTGAAACATCTAAGGATAAGACTCTTGTCAGTAATTACATAGATCTATTAAGTGAGGGACTATTTTTTTTTTTTAATTACATACTTTTGAATAATGTTTCTTTGTTGTAAATAAGGATGGCAGGAGGGCATCGCTGACGGGAAATTGCTCGGCGAATCTGTATCTTCGACCCTGTCGTTTTTATGTGCTGATCACTGGCACGAGCAAAAATCATCTAAACTCTCGCCTCAAACATTTGTACAAACGAACGGTGTTTATGACAAACTATACGACTGGGTGGCTTTTAATGCAAGAGCTAAGAAAGAATGCTGGGCAGACATATCAAGCCACTTCATAATAACGGTATAAAACAGTCTTTAAAGTTTATTTCGTTGTATTTACAGGAAAATTAAACCATTTCAACATTTCACTATGATAATCTATTTAAATTCAGCATAATAAAATGAAAAAAAAAACATGCTTAAAACTTCCAAATTTATTAAATGACCATAGGAAATACGCTTAACTTTCTATTTGTTAATACCTTTATTTAGTAACTAAATTTATTTCTAGAGTTGGTCGGGTGAAGTGAGACTAAAGACGGATCTCTCTGTTGACAACCTCATAAATCAACTTTGTAAATTATCTGCGCCTCAAGAAGTCGTCCAATTGTACTTACAGTTTTTAGATTCGCAGGAAAAGAAAATTGAAGTTGCAAAAAAAATCAAGCTCCACAAAGTCGCGATCGATGTAAGTTTTTACTTACTAGGCAAATATTTTGCAACTGCTGTACTTATAATTTTGATTTTTACAAAGGGCTATGTGGCAATGAAGGACAAACAGGGATTGTTAAATTATGTAGCTTATCTGAATCCCAATTCCGTTGACTACAAATATGCAAATAAAATTCTAATGGGTTCTGTAAGTTTTCATTAACCTTTTTATTAAACACAGTTAATTAAAAGCTAACTAAGGATATTTTTTTCAGGATATCAGATGGAAAAGCTAACTGGCCTTCAGCCAAAATTACTTTTTAAATAACAAGATTGTAAGTTAATTATACAAAAAATGCTACCAACATTTATTTATGGCTGACTATTTTTAAAATATAAATAATTTTTTTTAAAAAAGTTCCTGTATAATATTCGTAAACCTTTGATTATCAAAACAAAATCTTATTGAACTACAGTATAATTAAATTATATGACCTTTCTAAGGTAGAACATATGTATTTAAATTAAAGACTATCAAACAAGGTTAACTGTTTTCATCAGCTTCATTCACTTGTTCTTACACATTTTGCAATAATTATTTTTCAAAATGTGTGTTATAAACCCTTTAATAATTAGAAGCCTTGTTATAAATTTGGTATTTGATTTTTAAAAGCTCTTACGTTGATATTTAAACTTCTGTGGAATAAGAAAATGATAGATTGTTATTTAAAATATTCTTTACATCGAGATTAACGCTCCCTTCGGGATTGGCATCCAGGCTGTACTCTTTCACTGATGGGTCAAGTCTCGGTTTTTCAATGACGAGATTAACCGGGCTGCTATTCTTCGCCCAGTCGATCTGCCCTTCTGGTGCCTTGCCGCTCGGGAAATTGTTCATAGCAAGAAAATTGTTTATGCTCGTTTCTGAACTTGTAGGTGAGATTTGTGTAACTTGAGCAACAGGAACAGTTTTGACTTCGACCATTGGCTTGACGCTCACATATTCGTCGAACAGAAGCCAGATGTCCTTAAATTGGAACAGGTGGGCTTTGACAACTTCCCTGCTCAACATGTTCAGCTCCTGTTCAAGGCTGCAGAACTCGGGCTTTAGCTCCGAAACCCTGCTCTCGCATTCCTTAATAACCCTGAAATTTCAATTAATTAATTTTCAAACATAGACGGAAAATTAGAATGACAACTCACTCCAAATCTGCGCTGTAATCTTTTATTGAAGTTATTTCTTCCCTGAGAATAAGGCATTTACTAACTATTGCTGACATTTCGGCGGAATTGGACTCACTATTTCTTAATTCTTTTGGCATTTTTTGTAAATTTCCAAATAGTACATAGCTTCCATTTAAGCTAACATCAAGAATACATTAAAGTTATTATTATAACATTATATTACCAGGTAGCCAGAAAATTTTGTGTGAGTTTAATAATTGCCAAGAAAAGCTAAAAGTCAGATGGGGCCAGATCTGGAGAGTACAAAGGCTGTGGCTTTGTCTTTCTGGCTGTATGTCTCACATTCCTAATGAAAAATTACACCTTTCTATTCATAAGAGCTTGTTTTGGAGCCAGGGAAAGATATACTAATTACAGTTGACTTGAGCAGACTTCTGTGGTGATGGTTAGGTCATGTGGCATTAGTTCATAGTGCACACTGCCTGCCGTACTCCACCAAACACAAAGGATCACTTTTTATTTGTGAATATTCAATTTTTGTGACAATGGGATGGGGTTATTTGGTGACAGTCAATAGTACGAAGTCGCTGTGTAGGATCCATTTTTTGTCGCATGTGAGATTTTGGTCAAAAAACATCTCTACTTTGTGCCGTGAAAGCAGTGAAAAGTAAATGTTTCGACCCCAATGCTTGTACCATTGGTCAATTTATGGGAATCCATTTGCTCAGCTTCCAAGTTTTCCCAAGTCGATGTAAGTTAGAGTAAATTGTTTCATCATTTAGTTGAACAATCTGGCAAGCTCCTGACATGTTTGACTCGGATCAAGGTCGACAGTTTCCCTCCATGGGTCGTCATTCAAGATCATAGTCATCAGACCGTGGTTCACCTTCAATCCCCTCATTCCTAGAATGAAACTGTTTGATTCACTTTTGGGCAGTGTTGTAAGTTATTGTTTCATTGCCGAATGCAGTGTAAATTTTACGAACTGCCATGGCTGCCCTAGTACTGAGCTTCAATTCTTACAAGAGAATTATGGGTTTTGAAGCCATGAGAAAGGAAATATTTTATAATTTATAGTGAACTGTTCTGGACAGTTTTTATTTATAAACTTCTGCATTGGTTGATCTCTTGGTATTATGGGTAGAAATGTTGATTAACAGTATTAAAACAATAAGTAATGAAAAACCGCACAAACTTTTCTGGTTACCTGTTATAAAAGAATCCATTGACTAAACATATTGTACCTTCCAAGAAAACGTCTAAATTATAGTTAAAAAATTAAATTGAAAAATGAATTGTGAATTTAAAAAAAGAACAATTGTTTAATAAAAGTGTGTGAGAACCTTTAATCAAAAATATTTTTGATCTTTTAAATTAACTTTGTCCCACAATAAAAATATAATATAAATACTTACAGTTTTTTCAATTGTTCAACTTTTTTTGGGCTTTCATCACAGAATGATTGTGTTTTATCAAAGCGAAGTCTTAACTCGTTTAAGTAATAGCTAATCATTTTCCACCTTTCGGAAATTTTCCAGAGAGTGTCTCTGAACTCAGTCGATTCCTGTTTCCAATCTTCCAACTTCTTATCGGAGATTTCTGCAAAACCCGATTAAAATTTACTAGCCGTTTGTTTTTGTTTTTATGTTTTATACCCTTCTGGTGAAGCATTTTGTTAAAATATTTTTCGTTGTAGTCGATCGAGGCGTTGTGTAGTTTTAACTTCCCAGAACACAGTTGAATCTCATTGTCAATTTTTCTATCCATAGCAGACAATTCGTCGATTCTGTTAAGGATTGACAACCTAAAATAAATTCCAATTAAATGCCAAACATCTTTTGGTCAACGGTCATCTTCTTTACAACTTCACAGCATAAGCTTCTGCAAGGGTTTCACAAAGGTAAATCTGTCGTTGTATGAAAAATATCGAATTGGCCCACATTCTTTTAATAATGTGATAAGGCATTAATCTTTTGGGTTCTTCTAATAATTGAGTCACTAATTTTGGTATAACTGGCTCTGGTATTGGAAGCAAGAATCCACTTTTGCTAAAAACATATACCATGGCAACCTAGGCAGCAAATAAAGCGTTAGCAAAAGGAAAAATATACGCTAATTGGTTTAAAAATCACCTCGTTTGTCTCGTCCCAACATTTAATAGCGAATGATTCGGGTGTCAACTCCTCCCCAGTGGGAAGTAGGAGTAGCTGATCGTTAATGAAGTGCTTTGAATCTCTTTCGATCCAGCCCATCAGGGTAGAAATGGCAGTCGAATTGTCGACCTCGTAGCTCAGTTGCTCAAAAAGCACAATGCTGAACACAGTTACAATCTATCATATTAAGCATAGATCATAATTTTTGTTGCCGACCCCATGAATTCTAATTAATTACTTTTTTCTCTAATATATGGTCAAGCACAGTGAATATGATAAGATCATTGTTGTAAGCCCGGCCTCTCTTCCTTCCATCCCATTCAAGAGCCACTCTAAGCCATTCTTCAACTTCATCTCTTAAAAACCTATTTATTAAAAAAATTATAGTAATATATATTTTTTTAAATTAATTAACAACCACAGTATACCAGGATAAGTGATTTTCTCTTGCAAGTTCTTTGCTAAATTCAATTGATCCATCAGCATTTTGGTAGACACATATATCTTCAAATGTTTTCTTCTTAACAATTGGAAACCTGGAACAGTTTTTGGGAAATATGGTAAATTGAATCTAAATAAAAATTAAGTACCAACTTTTAGTTAGAATAAATAAAACTGTACATAAAAATATATTAAGTAATAAATTGTACCAAGAGAATGGTGTCATGTTTGGTAAGAAAGGGCGAATTCCTGTAATAACTTCATGACAGACGATCCCTAAACTCCAGTAATCTACAGAATAAGTATACCTAACAAAAACAACAAGTAATTTTTTTAATCCTTGAGTCACACACTTTCTAGTCACAGACAGTCTAAAACTGACTCATGTGAGGAAATTTCGGGTGCGACATACTGCAGCGTACCAACGATGGATTTATAGTTTTTACTCTGCTCCAGTTCTTTCCCATATCCAAGGTCTATTAATTTATAAGTGATCTGGAACATGTGTAAACATTTAGAAAACGGAGCTTTTATTATTATTATAGAGATTACTTCTCCGTTGTTTGACTGCAAAACTATATTTTCTGGCTTTATGTCTCTGTGCATTATTTTCTCCTTATGTAAAAACTCCACCGCGTCTTTCATATGTTTCATTAGCGTCCTTACATCGGCTTCTCTGAGACCGGAACAATTTTCTGGCTTGTTTAGCACCTGGAAAAAAAAACTGTGAAGTATTATGTCTTTGTTTTTATAAGTCTTCGATTTCACCTTTCTAAGATCGCCCTCAGCACAATATTCCATGCAGAGTATTGGAAGCTTGGTTGCAAGCGCCATAAGGTCTTCAGGAATTGGAACAATCTTGACAATATTTGGATGGGACAGATGTTTCATTATTTGAACCTCCTTTGCCCACCTCTCTACATTTTTTGACTTTACCCTCACACCACTGCCTTCAATCTCATCCGTGAACAGCTTTATAGCTGTGAAACAAGTTATAGGTACTTAATCTTAGAAACCCCACTTAATTGTGTAGGTACCTATTTGTGATGTTTTTAACAATATTTATTTCATTCCTTTTATGTAAACATAAATAAAATTTTATTCTTCAGTGGCAGCCCCAGGCTGGGAAAGAACAAAACCCCACGGATCTCTCACTACTAATACTTTTAAACCATATATATATTTAGCATAATTGACCTATTAATTTTTTATACTTTTAATCTAAGGTCTTGGTTGAGACGAAAAAGCAAGTGTAAGGAGCAGGATTTGAACCCACAACCTTTGCTCAATATGCCGCTGCTCTAACTAAGAACTACTTGAGCTATCATGACTTCGATTGTCTGGACAACTCCTCATCTCATACCACCTTTCGAATTTTTCCCTCTTTTTTGTCATATTTTCAATTTGAAGGACGATGAAGATCCACTTTGGGCCACCTTCTTCACAGTGAAAATGTCACAGGGAAATATCGCTCTCCTGGTCTTCTCCAATCCTTCTCTCGGACATCAGAAGACCTACAAAAAATACTTGACTCATCTGAAAACAAGATTTTGTTCAGGCCAATTGATGTGATTTCTTCCAAAATTTAACAGAGCTGTTCTGTGCATGGTCAGAAGTTCTGCACCAGCAGCAGGCCTTCTCACATTTAATCCAGCTTTTGAAAGTCTTCGCCTTACAGTGCGTAAACTGATATTAACATTAATAACTTGTTAAAGTCATTTCTTGATATCAACAGTGTTAGGTCAAACAATAAAATGATCACCTCTATGAAATGTGACACGATGTTAATTTGGGGATTATTTTTTTTAATAGGAGGGATTTTGAGATCACTGTGAAAGTTTGGAGATGTAGTAAGGAGCATTGTCTATGGTCCTGAGGACTTTGGTTGAAAGGACTTTTTTTAATCATTGTAAACCAGGAATCTGTAGAGTAGTCCAAAACGTTTGTTTAATTCATGTCGTTTTAGTGGTGTGTGTCGGTTCCAGGTTATTCTTGAGTCTAGATGGAACCCAAGATGCAATCTGTTTTTGAGATGGGAGTATTATGGAGGAATATTGTATGAGGGGTTTTGCTTCAAAGGGTATGATACAATTTGCTTTCATTAAACTTTACACTCCAGTGTTTACTCCATTCCGCTATTTGCAATAGTTCCACCAAAACAATTGTAGAATTGGGATCAGAGGATAGCATAATTGTGCCGTCGGCAAACGATGCAAGGATGGTGGAGGGTAAAGTTGGGATATCTGCGGTGAAAAGGAAGTAAATGATCTTGAAGTACTCCCGCTCCCAGAGGACAATAGTCAAAGTGGGTCGATCCTTGGCAGACTCTGAAGAACAGTTCGGTTAGGTAGAGGGTATTTGGAAGGATGCGCTTCAGTTTGTGAGGCCTTCCCACCACACTTTTGACACTTCAAGAAAGGCTCCCTCACAACGCTCGATGGATGAGGATTTGTGGTCCACAAAAACACTTGCTGGGTAGTGGTGTGTTGAGATCGGAGCCGAACCAATGATCTGCAGTTCTCCAACCTTCTGGTTTGAGGAGTTGAGTGTCGGGATTAATCATTTGAAAAAGATCTCCGATACTTTTGAGAAGAGGAAGAAGTTTGGGCGTGGGAAGAAGCATTTATGGACACAGTATAACATTACAGAATTTTCATAGCAATGGGAAGTGGTTTCGGGGTATACTGTTGTAAAGGCGAGTAGTATGACAGCTTTTTTTTCTTGGAGGATTTGACTCGGACGTGATAAGGTCAAAGCCAGGGGCTTTGTGCTTTGGCTATCAATTCAGGATATATTTTACCTCTGAAGGGTGAATGGTTTTAGCAGAATTAGAAAATGATACTTGAATTACAAAAAATAAATCATAAACACAGTATACAATCAATATAGTAGAATAAAACTGATTAGTGTAAAATAAATTTAAATTTCAAGGAAAGAAACCAAACCCAAGGCATGTCTTTAAAACTTATTCAATAAAATTATATAATTGATATAAATATACATTATGTATATTAAAATAGTATGTAGAACTGTAAATCCCCTACCTCAAGGGCATGGAACTTAAAATTTTGGATTTTATTTCTTCCATGGTGAAAGTTCTAAATGAGATGGTGCATAAATCATCCATAATATATGCTTGAAGGGTGGACCCCATACAACTTCGAAATTAGCTTTGTTCCCTTAACTAACCTATTTTTTGTCCGTCTACGTTGTTTTTCCATAAAGTTACCACTCCGAAAGATCCGGAGCCCAGGTTTCTCTCTTTTGACCAGTTACCCCAGGTTTTGGTGCCCATTTTTTTCACCAGAAGATGGGAAATAGTCAAAACCGAACAGAACACTTGACGTTAAGCCGTGTAAACATGCGTGATTTATATTTAGAAACAGTGTCACTCTTTCAGGTACAGAAATAGTCTTTGAGAGGATTTTTCGAGGTAGGAGGTAAATAAGGATTTGAACTTTTTTTTACTTCTGCTCGTCCGTTGAGGAATAAAGTATAAACGGCCAGTGGCCATCTGTAAAGTCAGCCACGTGGCGAGGGATTCCCATGTTCTGTCTTAAATATCTTCGAAATGCCTTCGAAGTTTTGCAATTCGACAAATCAAGAAAGATGCTTGGAACTGTTGGCCCAAGAGTTAAACGTGCTGGATTATAATTACGTATTAAAACCAAAAGAAAATCTCACAGTGAACTTGATTAACCTGAGTTACGACCTGTTGAATGATTTGAAAAAGCTCAAGGTCAAGTTTAGTAAGCTGACTGAAGACAATTTAAGGCTCGGCAGGTTGTACGACGGAGCTGTTCAGGAAAAAACAAAATTTGAAAAGCTTTCAGCTAAAGAGAGCGAATCTGTCTGTAACTTACAGGACAGAGTCAAAACCCTCACTTTGCAAAAAGAGTCGGCTGAAAAGGAACTTAACAAGTCCAAAACCGAGGTGAACCGCTTGCTCAAATCATCGAATGTTCAGAAATTGCAGCACGAACATGACCTGCGGAGGAAGGAACAGCTTATCGACCGGCTCAAGAGTCAATTGGAAGTCTATTTGGACAACGACGACCTGGAAAAAGCTCCAGCAGCACACGCGAAGTTAGACCCAGGTCCGACTCATCCTTCAAAGGAAGATTTGGAATTGTTCATCAAGACTTTGCAGAACAACTTGCAATTCACAGTATCTGAGAATGCCAACATAAGAACCTTTATTTTGAATATTTACAAATTATTTTTTAAATTGCTTAGAACCAATTGGCCAGAAAGGAAAGAGTTTCCTCTGCGCACGTTTTCGGACGCTTTCCTACATTATCCATCACCAGAACTACTGAGCGAAATGGAGAAAAATTTTGAATTAATTATTGACCACTTATCAATTATTGTTGTGAATAATAGATTAGAGATGACAAATGATTCTGTAAAATGCCAATAAACTGATATTATAATTTATGTTAAAACTTGTACATATTAAATTATTTTTTACATTGTAAATTATGAATAAAACCATAAAGAAAAAATTGTAATATAACCTTTATGCACAATTGATATAGCTAATTATTTAAAACAATAGTATTATAATAACAGGGGAAAATCAATTTAAAAATCCCTACAGCTAAATTTACTTTACATTACAGGCTAAGGCCTTTGAGACTCAATGAGGTCCTAGAGTTTTGTCCTTGGCTCTAGCTATTAGTGCTGATTTTTGCATGATGCCTTTTATTATGGCTTTGGCACTACTTAAAATATAGCAAAATTATTTTGACAATTTGAGTCTATAAAACTACAAATATTGTAGACAGGAATTTATATGAAGTACGTCAATCTTGGTTGATAGAGGGCTGTTTGTGCATGGCTATTTTTAGATTGGTATTGCAGGTGAAGTCCCAGCTTTGTTTACACAGACTACAGTTTAAGAAATAAGTATTTTATTTTGACACTCCATTTGGAACACGTTGTATTTGGTTGGAATTTGATAACAATATTTTGCATATTTTTTGCCTGTTAAAAGTTTGCCATGGGCCATGCAACACCTGGAGTTTTATAAAAATCGGGTGTAATGTTGATCCCAGAACAGAGCCTTGAAGAACTCCAGCAGCCAAGGCCCACAGTGCTAACCCTTGATTCCACTATTTTTTTTGCTTTGTGCAAGTTCCACACCTTGGACTCATACTGTAAATCTACGTCGAGTGAAGAATGAATCGATTATCTTAATAATGTACTGAGGAAAGCCCATGTTGATTATTTTGTACAGAAGACCACTGTGCCAAAAGCTTTACTGAAGTCTAGGAGCACGGCGCCAGTGTTTTTTATTGTTGAAGTATTGTATAATGTGGCCAATGAGTCTGGAGAGTTGTGCTTGTATTGACAGGGAAGACATAAAACCAAACTGCTCCACCATGAGCAATCCTCAATTATCCATGAATTCCCTAATAAGCTGATCTATGATCTTATCAAAAATTTTACTTAGAACGCTTAGCTTGTGGGATCATTAGGGTTTTTACTAACTTTATGTAACATTATTACTCTTAGAGGTTTTCTCTTTTTCAGGAAGCAGCCATAGATCAGGAGTATGTTGAAGATATGTCAAATAAATAAAGGCTAAAGTGGCATGATATTAAATACATTTTATCTTTAACAGCTCTTAGTAAAACTTATTCCTTAGCTTATCAAAAGTTCTTAATGAAATTCATATTGTGCTTCTTTGTGGTTTTATTTATTATATGTAAAATTATTCCCTGTTCACCTTATTTCTGAATGCCAATCTACTATAGACTTGTAATTTTTATTTAAAGAAATTTTCAGCATTTAAAAATTGAAATTGTAGTGCATTTGGAAGAAATAAGTACTGCAAGAAAGAAACATTAGATGGTCGTTAAGGAAATGAGCCCTATCGGCAAATAAAATCTGAAAATGGAAATAGAAACAGGCAACAGTGATGATAGTCATTTGTCTGACTCAATGAACCATTACAGCTGTAGTATATAAAATTGGGTGTTGTTGGCCTTCTCCGGCTGTTTCCTGATTCCTCTCTACAAACAAAATGCTTACGCTTGTAATCCTTGCTTCAATTGCTTACCATGCCGTAAGTTAACGTTCACTTAAACGGGGGAAATGTAATTTCACCTACTTTAATGCTTTCAGTTGGCTGAAATGAATCCCGACCAGGATCTGATTAACAAGGGACTCAAATTCACTGCCGAGTGCATGTCAAAATCTGCTATAAAATATGGTATTTTTTTTAAATAAATATTTAATCCCTTGCATATTGCTTATTTGAGATGTTTTGTAGATCAGTGCTTGGAGATGTTTAAAGATGGGATTGATCTAACTGATAAGAAATACGATGGTTGCAAAGTATGTTGTTTTTAATGTGCTTTAATGAATTGTAAAAGTAATAACACTTCTTCATTTCAGTGTGTTATTAATTGTGTTGCCAAAAAATTTCATGTAGTAAGTTTCTAACAAGTAAAATTAGTCTACATATTAAAAGTAATAATAATTAACAAATATATTTAAATTGAAGATTACAAAAGATGGGAGTTATGACTTACCTGGAATTGAAGGGTATATTCAAAATCTGAAAACTCCAGCATGGAAGGAAGAAGCAAAAAGAGTTTTCCCGCTATGCAAGGATGGTAAGATTAAGGACAAAAATATTAACAAATCGATAATTCAAACTTTTTATTATTATTAAAGAAACTTCTGGGGCAAATGGCTGTGAGGCAGGATTCAACCTATTCTCTTGCGCTATGAGAAATTCTGATAAAGTAAGCATCAAATAATATTCCGAGTTTTCATTTTACCATTAATTACATTGTATCTAGGCTAAATCACTGACGATGAAACTTGTGAAGACGCTTTCTGGAGCTTGAGCGACCTAGCAGCATTGACCATATTGCTATTCTACTCATTACTGTTTTTGTTTAATTTTATTTAAAAATTATTTATCTGTTGTAAGAAAAGATTAATATTTTACATATATGCTATTGTTCCAATACTCGTTGGTAATATTTTTTTCTTAACAAACCCAAAAATTATACATAAGATGGTATAAGTTTTTGAAAACGTTTTACAAAATAAGTTTAAAATTTCAATTTGCTTTCATTAAAAATGTTTGTTTGTGTGTAAGTATGTCATTAAATTGATTTAAACCACAATATTTATACATGTTACATCGTTATTATGAGTCAACTTAATAAATGCTGATGTGAACTATCCGAGCTAAGCATCAAGACCCCTCTAATATTTCAGACCACTCAGGACTTTGAACTATTTCAATAGAACTCTTGTATTGAATGATGTTAAAGTTTGTAAGTTTATATTGAATAATGAACAATAACTTACAATTGAAAATAAATTAGTCCATTACAGGATGAACTAACTATATTAGAGTTTAACAAATTTTGAGGGTTAAACATGTATTATGTTACATTTAAATTTTTTCCGCCAGTGCCACACCATTTCCAAACTGAGTCAGGGTGATTTGTTAACTTGATGAATATATTTTGTCTGTCAGATTTTTATTTATTTATTTTTTTTTTCAGAGTTACATACTATGACATAGTAAAATTGCGTTTTTGACATGGTTGCTCATATAAACCTGCCATTTCTGATGTTTGTTTTTGTCAGTCATATGAAAAATTTATTTAATTTTATAACTTGTATTGAATGATAAAATGAATGAAATTTTTTGAGATCTTAATTCCACGACGACGTCGACTTAAGGTCGTCGCAGCAACCGGCAACAACTACCCAACGAAAAGCAAAGCAATGGCTACAGAAGAACAGACACGCACTAAACTGACGGGATCTCAAGACACGCTTCAAAACAAAGAACGGCAAAGCTTTTTAAAATACGTATTCGTGAAGAAGAAACACAGGGATTCGAAGAAAGACGAAGTAGCGATCGAGAGGATTAGCAATGAGATAGCCAACTGGGTCAAGAACAAAATCAAACAGGAACACCTCGGCGAAGAGGAAAGCGTGGAATCCTTTTTCGAAGACGAAAACGACTACTTCTACAGAAGCATGGCCCTGATCTCAAAGAGGCTGCCTAAGGAAGACCAGGCCAACATTCGTCTGCAGCTTTGTAAGCTCATAACCGACGCAGAGACCAAGTCTCGACTCGCCAGCGAACAGGCAGACGTGAAGAGCATATCTATACAGCCGAAAACGACCGTACCGGAAACCAAGAAGTAATTTAACAATAATTATTATTATTAATATTATTTTATGTTCGGGGGGGAAACATGTTTCTTTCTAAAAGTAATTTTCAGTTCAAGCGAACAATTTCAGGAGGTAAAGCAAAGCAAGACCGTTCTACAGAAAGAAAGAGTCAACCGCCAAAGGGGAAAGCTCGAGGAAGAAGAATCTCCTAGAACCGTGACGACGGCAGAAGTAGAGAAAGCAGCAGCAAAAGCATCAGCAAAAGCAGCAGAGAGTGGTTCAGTAGAAATGAGTTTTACGAGTTCTGAAGGGATCATGGAATCTAGCTTCGAACACAAAGGCACACAAAACTAAACCCATGTTCAAACAAAACAATTGCTAAAAATAAAAACAAATCCTTTCCTTAAAGGATCAGACAATGTATTTTTCTAATCAATTAATACTTAATCCTAAATATAATTTATTATGCTTAAATAATTCTTGGTATGATCGACACAAATGGACACCTTTCAATAGTTCCGCTTGGTTGTTGGAACACCAGTCACGCTTGTCTACATTGCATAGTACTTTGTGACCGGGTGTTTTTTGGTGGCCTGAAAAAGTGAAGCCGATGGCCGAAGTCCGTTGAGTGTTGTCGATGAGCCGGATGTTGATGCAACCGGAGTCGGTAGACTAGGTAGAGAACAAAGGGACTAGTGCTGCAGGCGTCAATTAAGAGGGCGACGGTGAATGGAAGTGTATGTGGTGTATGTAAATGTATTTATTAGAGAGAATGGTGGAACTCCTTCCCCAATCACCCCGACGAATATCGAATACTCTGATGCAGTATGACTATGGCATGTGTGAATGAATTTAGGGAGTGCATAGGGGCATCCGATAACAAGTATATACCAAGATACCTCTCTTGTTATGACTGAAGAAAATGCTTATTGTCTTTTTAAGCGTCTTTCATTTCTTGGTAGTGGAGGATTAACATGATCTACCAAGGAGACGTGAGGACGTGTATTAGCTTGCCTTATTGACATGATCAACTTCGATATTTTAAGTCGTTTTACAGAGTAGAATTTCTGACAAACCACTGGGCTCCTGTTGCCAGCGTAAAGATTATTTTGATTGGTCTGCACTCTTCTTAAATGGCTGTTTGCTGCCGAACCCCATATTCCGTCATATCCATTGCCATATCGGCCGGATTAGAGCCAAGTACAAGAGCCTTTAAAGTGTAGTGGGAATGGTGAAGAAATTATTGGTTTTAAGCATACAATACGGTATCTGACTTTCGTTATGTTGTATTCAGAGTGAGACCTAAATAGAGGATAGACTCCATGTTAGGGACTGTTTTATTGCTTAGGGTTATCATTTGCGGTAGTAAATCTTTTAAGTATGTGAGGTGACCAGTTTCGACTTCTCAGCAGTCATGATCGTTCTCCACTTTTCATATCATTCGGAAATTTGTATGATGAAGTTTGGCAAGGAGGCGGCTGATGAGTTTCTTGGACCAACCGCAACATCATCTGCAAGTAACTAAATTATCCAATTAGGGGAAGTCCTAGGACGCTTCCTTGTGTAACTCCCTCTTTTATATAGTTTTTAGAGAATGCAGTGAATGTTTTCATTTACGTGTCTCAGGATTTTTCCCCAAAACGCCAAAAAAATTAATTACAAAAAACTATATGGGGGAATAGAAGAACTCACCCTGTATATGGTAAAACTTGGTTTATAGATATATATGTTTTAAAAACAAAAAAAAATGGATGTTTCGACTGTCAAATGCAAAAAATTGAATTCAGTTTTATAAAAGTTGTCAAACAGGGATTTTATTATGTTTATGATTTTTTAGAATTTTAGAATAGCTCTAACAAACAATATTGCTCAGCCGTCTGATCGTTAAGGAAGCATTTGACAATGTGGCATCCCGGTCTCCTTTACATCTTAAAACGTCCTCCCTCACACCTACTATCATCCTGAAGTCCTTCCTCTCGGGTCGATGGTTTAAAGTGAGAATCAGCACCGTTTTTTCACCCAACATGCCAAAGCTGGCGATCCACAGGGAAGTATCCTAGGTCCAAACCTCTTCACCATCTACACTACTGACATACCTACACATCCAAACACACAGGATAGGGATAAGAGAGGCGGCCACAAGGCCTACTGCACCTCGACCTAAATAGATCTATTGTGCTCCTCTGTTAATTATAACTCACTGGCCAGCTTCAGGCTATTAACCAGCCTCCACAGCTTTGCCAGCGGTTCCTTGGTGTAGGATCTTGCTTGTGGTTTTTCTTGTCCTATTTGCAAAAACCTGCACTAACACACAACTCGCAACCTATAAGGACTACACCACAATCCTATCTACACACTCCAATCCTATCCTAACCACAGAAGCAATCCAACATCTGAACATGATTACGGACAGGTGCACTCGGTGGCAGATTAGGTTGAACGAGCAAAAACCCGACAAGTAACGTTTACGCTCAAACGTCAGACCTGCCCACTAGTACATATAAACAAGCCCTATCCAATCCAAAAGATATGGACTAATCAGATACCTACTAGGAGCGAAATCAGCACTAAGCGTACATAACAAACTAACCATTCACCGGACCGATTTGGGCTTATGGGGTCCAACTGTGGGGCTCGGCCAAATCATCCAACATCTAACGAATCAAACCCTTTCAATCCAAAGTTCTATGCCAGTCCTACAAATCTCATTCTGGAAGGATCTGATACGAACACGCTTCGCTAATCCTAATTATCCCTCCACCCTACCCACTAGCCCAAACTCTTTCCTCAACGACGATGGCCTCGTGACCTCCTATCTTAACCCTCTCAACTGCACATAAAAGACAGTTCCAGGATGGTTTCTATCCACACTGCCGCTTGATCTGACAGATCTGTCAGATTTATAATAATCTATACTATTTGCACAATGGAGATTTTTTGCAATAGAAAACTATTGAATATACAAATGATATTTGCGCGTTCTATACTTTATTTTTGCTGTTATTTACATTACTAATTACAGGCAATTTATTATTTTATGTTGGATTTCTGTTTTTTACAGGAAAAAAACCACGGTCGTGATGTACATTCACTTTTTTCTCTATGAAAGATACCATTGTTCTGCCGTTTCCGCCGAGATGACGAAGGGAGATGATACAACTGTCTCGACATCCGGATTATAATTTTTTTTTTTACAAAATTTACATTATTCAATTAAAAGCAGTTTCAATCACAATGCGATTCGTCGGGGTGACAGCATTCGGGGTGTGGGCGGTCGTCGTTTTGACTATTCCTGGCTTCGCGATATCCCAGGTATGGAGGATTTTGTAATTATGGCTGCAACTTACAGAAGAAAACCGAAGAGAGGAAGTTCACGTTATGCAGGAATTAACAAAATACTGACATCTATGTTGATTTTATGGGTCAATTCTCTACTGTTACCGCAAATGGAGAATCAAAGTGGACGAATGCAAATGTGCTCAAGTCACTTTCACACAAAAAAATCACTTTGACAGAACCGAACGACATGCAGATACCGACTTCTAGCATAGTACGATACCTGGGACTGTACATTGATAAAAGACTGGCGTGGGATCCACACACTCGCCAGAAACGACAAGACATGAACCACTGTTACAAACTCTTAAGCCTGATTTACACATTGCCAGTAAGCGTGCCAGTTGATCTTGCCAGTCACTGGCAAGCTATAAACACTTTGTTGCCAGTCATTAGCCAATGCTATCAAAAATGTTGATTTCCTTACACTGCCCTACTACTTTTTTGAACTGACACCTCTCTGCTTGCTCTGTGACACAACAGGTCCAGTATTGTTGAAGTTGGTTGATTGCTTCATTGAAGAACAAACCGTCTGTTTTTTGTTCTGTAAAGTAACAAAATATTTTTATTTTTTTTGGCAAAGTTTGTTCATGTATTTTTTTGACAAAAGGCAAACTGTCACAAGAAGAGGACTTTGACTACTACTTGCACAAATAAACTAACACTACCAGTTAATTGCCAGTAGCTGACACAGTCAAAAAGTGTACCTCGAGTTGCATGTCAGATACTAGCACTGTGTAAACAGCTATTGCCCGTCCCTGACGGTACCAGTGCTGGCATTGCCTGTAAGTACCCCGCTGATGGCAAGTGTAAATCAGGCGTTACTGAGACTACTCGACCAATTATCTCACCTAAACCTTAACAACAAACAAACCATCTACTAAACGCGTGTTTTTTTTAGAGACCGGTTGTTCAATTATTTGTTGAAGTCGTGAAGATATCGTCAAGAATGGAGTATGTTAGAAAAACACCTTTTTCTATTTTGCCGACGCTTCGACCTATATTCGCGTCATCTTCAGGGCCTATGTGAATTACAAAACATGTTGATTGGAAAAAATACAATACTGATGTAAATATAAATTTTGAACTAAATATTTCACACGCCATCCTGGAATATTTGAACAAAAAAAATTTCATACCCCATAAAGTGTAGTGCTATTCTTATGGTGTTATATTGGTATTGTGTGAAATTGTGTTGTGTTATACCAATCTTGTTCAGATGCCCATTCAGTCTGCAGTACCCTGTTAAGAATCCTGTTAGGATTCGAAGTTTCCTCTTCTTCCTTTGATCTATTCAGTTGTTTCTTTCCTTCCAAAACTTGCTAAAACGTTCTTGACTGTTCATGTCCAAAGGGTGAATTCCACTGCTTCCTCATTTTCATTTTGTCCTTTTGTCTAAGGTACATATTGATGGCCGACTCTTTCCTTGCAAGGGCGCCCGCGCTCTCGTTGCCCTCTCCTCCCACCTGTCCTGGGATCCATCAGAGGATGACTTTATTTTGCACACCTAATCTATTTAGTTTAGTTTTGCAATTTAGCACCAATGATGTTTAAACTTAGTGCTTTGATAGCTGCTTGGCTATCTGACATGATAGCTATATTCTTGTTGTTGTACCCTTAGATTAAATTAGATCAGACTACATAGGAGCCGGTCTCTTTACGACCTGTGCACCGCGACCAGTATCGGTCTATTGTGCATCTCCATTTTTTAATATAGAGCTCTTCGTTTAGCTTAAGGCGTTTTACCAGTTCCGAAGCTTTTTCAAGGACTCTCCTGTGTATCCTTCAGGCCCTGGCTTTTTTCTACCAGGATTAGGAAATCTTGGCCTACATAGGCCTTCGCACCAACAGAGGACGTGTTGCGGAGTTTCTTCTTCTTGGCAATATCGGCACAGGTTTGTTTCTGCCACTCCGAGTCTATGCCTCCGGAGTCTGCAGTGTCCCACTATTATTCTAGTCCTAACACGTCCTAGTTTAGTAGTTCTGCCATTGTTTCTGCATGGTCCTTTGATAAACTTTTTCACATGCTTCTGTCTCGGGCTAACTTTCTTCGGCCAATTTATCGGCCTCTTCGTTGCCCCTCTGCCCTGTATGCCCTAATTGTACTTGATAATTTGTTGAGTTAGTGAGAAGCGGTTAAGAATGAGGTAGTTTAGAAAAACCCCTTTTTCATTTTTTTTGCCGATGTTTCGACCATTATTTAGGTCATGTTTAGGGCATAAAGTGTGGTGCTATTCTTGTGGTGTCATATTGGTCACCACACTGGTCACACTGTCACCGCACTTTATGCCCTGAAGACGCCCCCGAATAAAGGTCGAAACGTCGGCAAAAAATGAAAATTGTGTTTTTCTAAACTTCCTCATTCTTGACCGCTCCTCATGAATTGAAACAATAATTATGAAATAACAGGTCACTAAGAAGCACACATGATGTACCATTTTTCAGATCGAACTGGGTACATCTATCAATGCATGGACATTAGTCTGGAAGATATTGGTGTACTTTTCCATGGGCTCTGAGTTTTTGGTTCCTGGGCCGAATATTCCTGAGTCCTGACCCCGTACCTTCCTGCGTTATAGATCTGTCAGCGTACCGGCAGATGGTGGCGGTCTTTCTTTTTCTCGTTCTTTTCCATTTTTTGTGTAATTAAATTTGTTTGGAAATTTCGGTTGAACTCAAACATACCCAAACATCAGTCTCTTTGGGTTATATGGATTCATAATGAAATTAATTTTGTACATCCCCACAATGGGTTTCAAAATTATATTAATAAGAAAGAAATTTAAAGGGAAAAGGTGAACCAATGACCAACAAGACAAAGATTTTTAAGGAGAGTTTCATTAAATCTGTTAAATACTGTGCGTCAATTCATGAAACAAACATGGGTGAGTAGTATGATTTTACATATTTGTTATTATGATGTTATTAAGCTTTTCATCAGTCGAGGCTATCGCCCTGTTTGGACAAAGAGAAAGCAGTGATCAAAAAGGGAAATGCTTCTTACACTGCATGCTTCAACGTTATCGATTGGTATGCAGATTTTTAAATCCCTCCCAAAATATAGAAGCATAATTTTACAAGAAATTTGCAGATGGACAAGTCAGGCAATTACATAAAGGATAAATTTAAGCCCTTCTTGGAATACATACCGGCGTCGAATTTCTTAATGACTATAAAAGACAATTTACGAGAATGCATGCAAGTGAGCGAAGGTAAATATACAAAAAATAAATAAATTCACACTTATGACTGAATTTTTATTTTGATAGCTGAAACAGATGCTTGTTCAAAGGCGTATAAGTTCTTCAGGTGCTTCTATCAACGAGGTGCAGCAAAGGTATTTTTTACAGACGTTTATAAATAATTTTCGATTTTAAAATGACACTTCGTTTACAGAAAACACCAGGGAGTCCTTCAACCCAAGATATTTTACCAGCAGATGGTTTCTAGCGAGATAAACTTCCCTATTATCACGAGGCGTTTATTCCCAGCCGAATTTTTAAATTTGACAGAGTGCACTGGATGCTGTGGGAAAATCTAAAATAAAACTAAATAAAAAATCGATTTACTATAAATTTATTGAAACCAAGAAAACCAAGCAAAGAAAATAATGAATTGAAAAGCACGACAGAGTGGCAAGAGGCACTCTCAAATAAATGCTACTCTTCGGAATGGGGTGCCCTTCGGTGACCTGACCTCAGCATCAGTCTTTACTGCTTTTTTGACGATTCTTAAGTAAAGTTTTAAGTTGGCTTTACTTAAAGCCCCAAAGCCCATCATCAATGTTTACCACAAGTGTTAGACCTTTGCTTTCTACTCTCTGGCTAACGACCCTCCATGGCCCGGTATTAATACCTGGGCTCTGGGATTTCATCAGCCCGAGAATAGTGGCAGGTCCGTAGTACCAAGAAGGTCATCCGGCACCCACATGGCCATTCTAGTGGTTTTTATAGTTTCTCTATTCCCTATACCTACCATGAGGTTTCCGTTTCATACGGGTGGATATTAGGCATCCCATGAGCCATTCCTTGGCACTTTTGTTCTTACAGGTTATCAGAGCGATTTTGCAGGTACAAACCTCAGCTAGGATGTCCCTGCCCTGTTCGGCTGTTAATTCTTTGTATTCCTCCAACACCACGGCCATTTTTAGCGCTTTGAGGGTTTGCTGCTACGTCCCATTGGAATAACATGGTATGGTATGGTGGAAGGGATACTGGGAAGCGGGGCTTGTATTCCCCAGGCACTGCAGACTTCTGGCTTATTGTACCTTCCCAGTTCCCTAGTTTAGTCAATAGACTCAATCCTTCTTCTCAGAAGTATCAGGTCATTGACTGTTATTGCTGCAATTTGGTTCCCTGAGTCTTTTACGTATGTTAGGTTAAACCTCCATTGAGCTGTTGCTTCGCATTCGAAGATGATATGAGTGGCTGTTTCCTCCTCCTCATTACATAATCTGCAAATGGGATCATTATTGTATATACCCATGTTGTGTAGATGTTTTCTCAGATACCAGTGACCGGTTAGTAGTCCTACCACTCCTCTGAGTTTTGCCCTCTCCAATTGTAGCAGTGTTTTTGCCAATTTTGGTGAGGGTTGTTTCAGCATAAGTTTACTATGTCTAGCACCGCTAGAGTTTATCCACTTCTCTCTTTGTTTTGTTTGGATCCATTCTGCGATGGAGGATTCTATGTTTGTTTTTGTTATCCCAAGGATAGGTTCGGGACCTATGTATGGTCTTGCAGATCCTCTTCTGGCCAGTTTGTCTGCTTCTTCGTTACCCAGAATTCCCCTGTGCCCTGGCACCCAAGATATCATCAGGTTGTTGTGTTTTCCCAGGTTGAGATTTTGGATACATTCACTGACTAGTTTTGATGTAATTCTTTGGAATAACATAGTGAGGATGGTCTGTTCTTCATTGCTTCCCTCAATTTTGCTTTTTATTGGGACATGCTCTAGGAGCATTTCCTCTTGACCGTGACCTGTCCCTTTTACCACTTTTAGTTGGCATTGGCCTTGGTTTTTTGGGGTCAACGCTTGATGTACTGCTGCATCTCACCAAGTCAAAAAAATCCACTAAATCGTATGCTATTAGTAGTTCTGCTTAGACTGTCTACATTGATGAGTATCGTTTGAAATAGTTAAGCGCCTTTTCATCTAAAAAAAAAGTCCATTATGAAATACAACATCGATGTCTTATGGTTATTATCGTGACTATGGTTTCATTTCCGGTCTTATAAGCTTTTAAACGTGTTCTAGCGCCATCATAATTGAACGTCAATTCTCTTGTCATCACCTCTTACTAATGTAAGTGTGATGAATGTCTTAATTATTTTCTTATTACATCTGGTTTTGATGCTGAGGTAAAAATTATATCTCTTCGATTTTTCACTATCGACTATAGGGTTCCTTTCCGCTTTTACAGCTTCCTAGGCTACATGAACGTAGTACGCAACTCCTGAGAAATAAAGATCAATAAAGTTGTTTACAGATGGACCAGATCTCGGAGATGATTCTCGAAGTTGAGAACGGAACTAAATAAACCGCAAATAATTTTATGCCTGAAGTGAGACCTTTCTGCACCGAGTACCGACAAACATCAAAAATGCAGGGCGTGTCACTTCCGCCCGCCTTGCACATAGGAACCGTTCTATTTTTAAAACCAATGTAAACGATAGGCATCTTCGATCCGCCTATCATCAGGAAAAAAATGAAAATATTTTGAGGCTAGAGTTCCGATTAAAATTGAATGTATGGACCATAGCCAATTAAACTTTTCCCAACTCCCTGCCAAGTGCATCGAGGAAATTGGCTCGTCAACGAGTTACATCTCGTATTTTTCCCACAATTGTCTTTCCATCATGGGAACGAGGGCTGCAGCTTGTAAGTTTTAATCAACCCTTTGAGATCCTAGGAGTAGACCCAGTAGTGTCACTGACAAAAAATTATACAAAACTAAAACTGTCATCACTGTCTTTGCCTCTGACAAAAAATCAAATATATACACTCAAAGACAAAACAAAACTAATCACTTAAATTCACTGATTTATTTTCCATAATAACTAGCTATATAGATTAATAGTTGACTAAAAACGTCAATGAACTGATTTTCATACAGAATCGGTCTTTGACTGCACGAAGGCACATTGAGGAAGTTTCTTGCGTGATCCCATTTGCTCCATTTATTGGGGAACAATTTTGTATTAATGCATGACAATGCTTGACTGTATGAAGCTCAAATTGACAACCACTACTTGGAAGATGTAAGGATTACCACAATAAATTGGCCAGCAAGTTTTTCAGGTGTTTAGTTGAATTTTCTTGCAAATTATCATAATTAAATATTTTTTAAATTAAAAATCATGAATTACTGATCTTGTTTAATTTGGTTTAGATTAAAATAAATATATTGTAATTAATGTAATGATAAAAATTTAATAAACAACAAAATAAGACAGTTTGGTTGTTTTGTCTTTGAGTGTATATTTATTTATGGTAAAAAAATTGTAAACTTATTAAAGAAAAAGAGAATAGGTAGCAACATTAAATAGGGAAGTATTATTATTCTTTTTTATGACAACCATTGATATAAAAATTAGATATACCAATTTTATTTATTTGTAAAACTAAAAAGATTTTTCTGAAAATATCAACTTTTCATCACCTCTATGTTTAATTAAATAAACAAATTTCTTAAAACTAAATAAAATTTATAAATCAATTTGAGAAATCTTTGTTCAATTGAAATTGTTTAGAAATTATTTAAGAAAATGTTTTGTCTAATTTTTGTTATTTTTAGGCCTTTTTCTTGTAGGTGTTTTAAATAATTGCTTTACATTTACATTTCAGCAATATGTAATACGATCTTCACAAGAAAAAAAAATCAATATTGCTTTAATTGCTTCTAGTTGCTGCAAAGATTAGAAATCTACACGACTACCATCTACGGTTGCTGCACAATGTCGTTCCTCTTCCAACGGGCACAGACGTTGCTAACACCATTAAATACTTTTCACAAACTTTGCTGAGTAAGTCATCATAATTTTACTTCTTATTATTTTGATTTTCTCATTGGATTAATCTGTTTTCCAGCTGTATTAAAAGACGTCCCTAGTTCACCGATAGAAATGCTCAAATATCCCGATAAAGATGCAGCAAGGTTGGCTTTGTATCCAAACCTCGACTACAAGGGCCTTTACAATGCGATTGTGGAGTTGGTCGATGTGGCACCTCTAATGCTTTACGGCCTGCAGCGTAAATATAATTTCAAAATTGTATTTTTTTTTTTTATTTATTAGAAGGAACAATTACATTGATTGATTGTAGGAATTTATTTAGCTGTTAATTTTCAACAGCTTTAATAATAGGAAAAAATATACTGTTTTTAGTTGATTATATTTGTGTTTTGAGAAAATTTAGCGTATTAAAGTATTCATAAAAAATTTTCAGCATTTGGTGAAGCCTTGCTTCAGTGCTTGGGATGTCTGATGCCATTTTTAGATAGTGATATGATTGATTCTCTTCCCTATTTGACAGCATCGACCATGTCGATTCTTCCTTCTTCTCTTCACCAAGAAATTGTTCATTCCCTTTACTTTTACATTCTTCCTTTTACGATAAGTATGCACATGGTGAAATGTAACATGTTCCATGTAATGTTCTTGCATTTTTTTAAAAACAAATTTCAGCCAGAATCACGCATGATGGAAAAGAATGTTACGCCAGTCAATCGGTATCAGCAGTATTGATGATGATCTTTCAATATTCAGAAGATATGGGTGTGTAAACCTTTATTATTTATGTTGGGTTTATGATTAGATTTTTTTTTCAGCACACCATTGCCAGATTTTGGAATGTTTAATGAAAATGAAACAAAACCTTGTAAAAGATATGCTTTGTGTTATTGCACATGGTACATCAACTGCCAGAGCATCAGCGGCCAAACTTTTATTTTATTATTGGCCTACGTTTAATTCAAGTTTGTTCGAAAGAAAAGCAATCCCACCTAAATTCACAAGTTTGTATAAACTATTCTATATCATGTTCGTAAATTAACTAACATTTTGTAATTTTCAGGTTGGGTCCCTTTCCTCTGCCAAAGAGACATGTGTCCCAATTCAGGAGCAGCAGAGGCAGCAAAAGTGTGTTATGATCATTGTATATCAATAACATTTGCCACCGATTCTCCGCCTCCTTTGTATCTTTGTATTGAGTGTGCTAATGAAATTCACAGAGAACATCCAAACCAAATGTTCTACGACATTCTACATCCTATGCAGCAATGTTCTGTCACTTGTGAAAATAAGGTTTGATTCTTTTTAAAAACATTTTTCCTTTTAATTTTTAATTTTTTAATTTAGAATTGCAGGTCATCGGACAAAAGCATAGTTTCGATATGTTTTACACCAGAATGTGCAAGTTTCAATGGAAATCATCCGATACGCTATTGTGCTCAGTGTGATGCCAGCAGACACAATAAAAAACGAGGTGGAGATCACATGCTGCATACATGCCTTCCAAAAGCATGGACAATGCCACCAGACATGCTCGTTTATTTAGTAGAAGCTATTGTCAGGTAGACAAAAAAATTAACTTTTTTAAAACAGCGATTGAATTGTTTTGATCTTTAGTTTATTGAAAGAAGCGAGGCCGACGACACCAGAAATATCAAAAGATATGACAGACATACAGGCAAAAGCTACAATGCTCAATGCGATATGCGATAAGGATTCTTTGAGTACTGAAGAAAGACAGCTAATGGGGAGATTCGGTGTCTGGCTTTTAGTTGGGCTATGTGTTCCGACAGAAAATATTTCCAGTGAAATTCTAGGCCGGCTCTTATCCATGCTTTTCCACTGGTTTCACGTCACAGCTTATACTTTTGATGGTAATGAGTTTTTAAGTTTTTGAGATGATAATTATTACATTAAATTTAAAAACACAAAATTAATTTATATTTATTAAAAATCCTATCTTAACCATGGATCCACACAGACCAAGCAGAATGCACATTAGAAAGATTGAAGACTGACTATGTTTGCGGCTGGTTAAACGAAGTGTGCCAGGCTCATTTTGATGTTTTCGTTTCTTGCCTTCTTCCACACCCACCCGATTACGCCAGAGTTGGTGGACACTGGTCAGTAACAAACATTAATGTTTTACAAAAAAAATTAAAACATACGGAACATTTACAGGGACATGCTTGTAACAAAAACCACACATTTGAAGAAGGGGTTGAACAGGCTGTTTTGTCTTGTCCCTTATGAAGTTATAACGACAAACGTATGGGATTATGTTATGCCACACTGGCTAGAAGCCATTGTAAGAGATGTGCCTGATAAAGAATTATGTGAACTGAAAATGCTTTTGAGGTATTAATTTACATATGAATTTATTTAACACAGTTTTTATAAATAAACTGACATTCAATTTTGATTGGAAGCTCTGAGGATTGAAAATATTACAATTTTGACCCTAATAAAGTTCATACATAAAGAAAAAACTTTGAGAAAATAAAAGTTAAATATTGCCAAATAAATTTAAAAATAAAAATAGTTTCAATTTGTAGCAAAATCTTAGATCCTGACATGAGCCCACTTGGATTTGATGCAAAAAAACTTTACCATTTTGTTGCTGTGAGATTTAAGAGGACATCACCTAAAGTCCAAGAACAGGCACTTCGGTGGCTTCAGGTATTGTGGTTTATTTCAATGTAATTTTCCATTATTTAAATTTTCAAAAAACTTATTGCAGGTACTGACAGCTTTGGAAATCATGATACCAACACATCTTTTGTTCTCTTTCTTTGAAGACGGACTTGAAAGTATGAAAGCGACAGACGATAAAGAAGCAAAACGTTCAAGTGAATTTTTAAAGGATGATAAACAGCCTAGAAGTATATGTAAGTGTTAAAAATTCAATGTAAAGTTATAAATATAAATTTGTCTTTTTGTAAAAAAAAAAAAAATATTACACAGCTCCAGTGGTAGAAGATGATTCAGGCCCTTGTTCGGCCCTTTCAGACGATGAAGAACACGGCTCCAGAGTTTCTAATTTAACTAATGATATAGATTTAAAATTATCCTGTTGTGTTTTGATGCTAGACTTAGTATTAAAGCAGGTAAGCAAAACTTAATATGTAAAAGAAAAAACTGTCCAAAAATAAATGTCCTGATTTCAGCTTGAAAGGCATGAGATTGAAAAGCATACTGGTATCCACACTGTGATAGCTCAGGACGTATGTCGTCTTCTTCAGGTCATGATGCTCACATCTTGGCTTGCGCCTCATACTTGTGAAGACCAGACGAAAAACGACTGCAACCAATGCGAACTTTCAGTCGCCTGGCATCAGCTCGCTCTACAGTTAATAGAGTACATAGCTCAGGAAAACTTAGCACATCCGCCAGATGTATGTACTGCTTTGTTTTATAACTTAATAGAAATTTATTTTGTGACATCTTCAGCCGCCGCTCGAAGAGGTGCCTATAGAGGAATGCTGCCATTCAAAAAAAAGCCCACCGGAGGGGGACAGAAAATCGAATGATCCGAAGAGTGATGTAGTGATCAACATGCCCTTGATGGAAATTCATACAGTGGGAGGGGTACTTGTCAACATGCCTCATGTAAAGCACTGTTACCTGCATTTAGCACTATTCACCACTGTTTTTATTTATTTCTCTTAATCAACTGCAGACTGAATTGTTAATCTGAGAAAACATTTCTTTATGTAGAAATAATTGTTAGCATACAATTTCCGACAATCAATCTGATTTTATACTTTAACAGAATCCCCCAAGTCTATAAATAAACATTTGTATTGTATGTGTTAAAAAAAACTCCAAGGAGAAAAAGAAATATTTATTTTATTATTTTTAATAACTATCCAGGCTTTTAATGATAGAACTCATTAAAGTTGATATATAATACACAAACTATTTAAGCAAAATTTTTCAAATATGAAATACCAGACAAAAATACACATTGAAGGGGAGGGATTGGTGGATTTCTCCAATGCACCCCCCCAATAAATAAATTTAAAAAAATATAATTGTATCTTGATAATAAAACAGTTTTATCAGGGACGGTAGCCAAGAGGTCTGCAAAATAGACCCTCAGCTTGTAGAGCCCGCGGTCATTGATTCAATTCGAAATATCGCATTCTCCAAATTATTAAATTAGAATTAGTCTCTGGGTAACATTGATAAAGAATTTTTAAAAAGAATCATGTGACTTCATCACAAAATGAAAGCATTTCAAGTCTGCAGTTGTGTTGAATTATTTGTGGTGATGCCTGAACATTCAACATTTCAATTTAAAATTGTTCTTTTAAATTCTTTTTGATATAAATAAATTAATAGATTGATTAATATGACGATTTCTTAGCAAGGACTGTCCTAAACTTTATTTGAAATTTGTTAATGAAATAGACAATTTTTACAAAAGTTCATTATTTCTTTGTTAAATTGTATAATCAATGGTGATCTGTTTGATATAATAATCATAATTTCAAATTATACGAAAAAAAATCATGGCTAAATCCTCAAATAATTCAATTTAAGTTTGATGGTCACTTTTTGTAAATGATGGTTCTACCCATAGATTTCTGGGATACATCATTTACCAAAAGTGAATCAACATACTCACCCCACCTTCATCATTTCTAATTGATGGTTGTAAAATTAATTGTGTAAATTTTTTCACATATATGTGTGTATTAATTGTTTCAATTTTACCTCAGATTATTAGAATTGTCGCTTATAAGTATGAAGGTTGGTGATTTATCAATGCTCTTATGTCACTGTGTATAACCATAATGCTTATGTATGTGTTCGCCGTTTGCTGTGCTCACATTTCATTTATCAATTGATATCTCTTCATTTTTGAGGATAATATCGTGAGTTTAAATGTTTTTCTTGTTTTGAAATGTTGAAATAAGGCTTTATGTGTTATTTAAAAAAGAATTTCAGGCCAAACAATCCGTGTGGTTAGAGGTCTTCAATGGAATACAAACTGTATTTGCAAATCGTATTAATGGCACAATTTATTTTTTCCCTTGGTTTAATACACACCAGTTCATTTATGATTTTCAAGTATGTTCAAACTTTGTAGACCATTTTGCACATGACACATTGCACACTTACGCTAATACTGTAAAATTTACAACTGGCCATGCTTGATATGTGACTTACACTTCTTGGAAAGTACAAATTTTACTGTACTTGCATGAAAACGTTTTATGTTTTCCTATAGCATGAATGTGAAACTCTTTGCATTTTGCTTTAAATGTTAATTTTTATGTATAATATACAAATACAATATATATATTTATACATATTTAGTGATAGTCGCAATGTGTGAAAACTACCAATGTACAGATTTTATTTTTAGTTAAATAAAGTTAATAAAGCTCAACAATATAAATATTACATGCAATACATCTGAAAAACAACTTTTCATTAGTGTAAACTATCGATTTTTTTTAAAACATATTTCCATATTACTTTTATAGATTTCATCTAAGCCTAAAATTTATAACACATAGTTTTTGTTTTGTTTTTTATTATAGCTTTTGTGTCAAAATAAAATTGTATCCAAAGTCACTTTGTCAAATTGAGATTAATTATGTACATTATATTGTATGAAGTGTGAACTTACCAAATATACCACTTTACAATTTAGGAAACGCTGGGAGAAAATTGTAAATGCTTTTTTTGTATTATAAAATCACACAAATTGCATAAAAATAAATTTATTTATAATAATTATATTAAATTATCAAGAAGTTTTTTAAAAATAATATAAGTATATCTTGTATACTTTTTTATGTATATATTATAAAAACAAAAAGTTATTATAAAATAAAACAGCATTGAACTGAGATCTTTATAAAATATAAACATTTTGTTGATTTAAATTATTAATTGTAGATTATGACAGCAACGGTTGAAACAGTAGTTGAACAACTGGACCTAGCGCCGATCATAATGTCAGAAAAAGTTATCCCTGCAATAGCAAGGTCGGTCACCATCACAGATTCCGACGTCGGTAAGTTTCAACATTAAACTGTAATCAAATTGAACGGTTTTTAAAATACATCAATATATTTTTAGCGACTGCCACTGCTCATGTAGCGAAGCCGACGCTGGTCGGGGAAAATGACGAGACTGTCGAGTCGGGTGATGAAGACATGGAAGACTTCTGGCAGACTTCGGTCGGAAAATTCAGGTTCACAATCGACGAGCTTCCACAACAGTTGCAGTACATTCACCAACTTCTTAAAGTAAGCAGAAAACTGATTATCACAATATGATATATGTATTATTTATTTTAATTAAATGTTTTAATATTTCATGATTTAATTAATGATTATTTATAATTTTAACAATTTCTAATATAATTTTTTATCATTAATTATATGACTGTTTATAGTCAGGTTAATAAAATAAAATAATTTTATAAAGATAAATTTAATTCTTAAAGTTTATTTAAGTGTATTTATTAGTAAGACGTGAGATAAATTTTGAAGTTTGGTTGATTGATTTATATGAGAAATATTGACCAAAGTTCATTCAATACAGATTTCACCCATGCATGATGATGGTGTAAAGAGGATGAAGAGTAATCGAAGATGATTTAAGTGTACAAAACTCTACAATGTTTATTGATTATTTTCTTTATCTTTAGGAAATTGCCAAAACTGATGACCCCGAAGTACTTTACTACATGTTAAATTGTCTCTATTTGATGTGTTTGCATGGTGATGCATTGTCCAAAGCTGTAAAACACCACAAAGGATTTATTATCTGGTGCCAAGAAAATCTACTGATTAAAAAGTACTTTCTGTAATAAGCTGATTTTAAAAGAATTTAATTGTATTATTTTATTGTTAACAGTTTGTGGGAGTTATGCAATGCTGAACATTCTCATATTTGTGAAGTTTGCGTCCCAATTTTACTCCATTGTATTACTCTCCCATCCGGATCTGATGCATTCTGGCGAGTCCTTCAAGATGAATTCCATTCAACAGACTGGAGGATAAGATTTGTAGCAGGTGGACCTTTTTTTAATATTTTTCTTCTTCTTATTTTTATGTTTTTATTAGCCAGATTACGGTGAAAAATGAATAAAATGTTTTTGGGGGAAAGGGGAAAGTCAGAAATTCCAGGGGTGATTGTGGAATTTGAACCCATGTGGGGTCTATGAATTGTGTGTCTGATGAGCTAATCACGCAAATGTTTTTCATTTATTTTATTAGCAAATATAAAGCTCGTTACACCCAAAGAAATAGCACAAGAAATTAAAAACTTACCTGCTAAAAAGACTCCAGGATATGACCTCATCACTTAGAAATATTTTTAAAAAACTGCTTAAAAAGGGATTAGCTAAATGAACATCCCAATTTAATACTACAATCATACTAAAATATATTCCCAGCATCTGGAAATTCACAGGAGTGAACCTGATACAAAAACTGGGTAAACCGTTGAACAAAGTCAAATAATATAGACCTGCTACTACCAACAGCCTATAAGCTTTTCGAAAAATTATTAAAAAGAATAAAACCTGTTGTAACCCTGACTAAAAATTTAGATTTTTAACAAGACATTCAATAATAACTAATGAGAAATGGACATAATGTCCATGAAAAATGAACTAATCCTATCTTCCTTTATGCCTCACAGACTTTAGACAAGGTCTGGCATGGACTCATCAGTAAACTAAAATGAATTTTACCAAAGTAGTATGTAGGTATTATCAGTTCCTGCCTAACTGACAGACATTTTAGAGTCAAAGAAAAAAATCGATATTCAGAAATAAAAACAATAAATTTAGGAGTGCCTCAAGGTAGCATACTAGGTCTAATACTTTACTTGTGATTTTCTGGAAATGGATGGAGATGTCACAGGCGTGTATCAGTAGGTCCGACCATCAACTATTCATCCAAAATCTTTCAAAAGGTATGTAACAAGATAAATAAATGGGCACAAATGGAGAATCAGGCTCAATCAGCATCTATACATATAAATTTTACAAACAAAAAATTGGATGTTCCTTCTCTACCATTGATAAAGCTGTTATACCATACAGCGATTCAGCTAAATATCTGGGAATGACCTTAGATGCCAAATTGAGATGGAAAGAGCAGTTGTAGAGCAGAAATAGATTTAAGGTATAGACACGACAATCGTATACAAACACTCCAAAATAAAATGTTACTTAAAATAATAAATGCACCTTGGTAAGGAATAAGGTCTTACAACATGCCAAACACCATTCTCAGGCAGCATGAGAATGAGGAAGTGACCACACTCCTACACAACTGAAAAATCGCTAGAAGGTTGAAAAGAACATCACCATATGGACTGTTGTAATAATTTTGTGAATAGTGATGGGTAACTAATGGGTTAGGAATAAGCAAATATTTATTTATTGTATATTTATCATTGTAAAGGAGATACAGACAAATGCCATACTAGGCATGCCAATTGATGCCATTTTTACAAAATATAACCACCAATAAGTACAAGGTACTTATACCAGAAAGTGAGGAGTGGACCAAAGGAACACCAGTGAAAGCCTCCTGGTGGTAACAACAGCTCAAAATTGGATAAAGGCACAGGAGCTGGTGTCCTTGGTATGAATCCGAAGACTGAACTGACTTTAAACTTAGATAAATACACTACAGTTTTCCAATCTGAATCATAGCAATTGAACACTGTACCAGAGAAGACATTCCAGGAAAATAGCCATTTTCTCCATTTTGCCATAGTCAGGTGGCACTTAATGGCTTAACCTCATGTAAGGTAAAAGCAAAAAGCATACATAATTGTATGGAATCCCTGGCAGAATACAGACCCTGGGCATTGAGGACATAAAGGTAATGAGAAAATCGAAATGTAGGCCAAAAATGAGTATAAATTCTCTAGGTCCCGACCCTACAGGGGCCTAGCATCTAGCCACAAAACATGAATTAATCCAAAAATGGATCCTTAATGAGTCCAAAACCTGGTGGAACAACACCCTAGGCATGAGGCCCATGAAGAGATTCCATAGAAGGGCTACAAGACCAAAGGAATTACTGGAAGATAACTGCAACAGAACAGGATTCTTGTTAGATTCCTGACAAGGCTCTGTCGCCTAAGGAGACTCATGAACTAGATAAGAGTACAGAAAGAAAAAACTCTGTGCGGATATGGCTAGGAAAAAAAGAAGAACATGTTTTATATTTTTGTGAAGGTCTATGTTGGTGCAGATTCTTGTAACTTAGAGGGAGAAAGCTGCAAGCGAGATCCTACCCAAGGAAGCTGGCAAGGTTGTGGAGGTTGATTAACAAAGCTTGCCAGTGAATTACAGGCTGCCTCTTTTATTCCTATCGCTATCATTCTGAAATTATAATTGGTCTAGTAAGACCAGTTTTAATAAATAAAGGGAGACAATTTTTTCTATTTATTTATATTATTTTATTAAAATTTCAGTTGAAAGAGTGACTGTTATTGTTCGCTTTATGGATTCAACACCGCTCAGGGCTAATTTTGGGTTGCAAGGGGCCCTGACAAATGCTTTTTGCTATTTGATTTCAAGTTTAGATGATTCTAATGTTCAGGTGGCACAGCGTGCAACTCTATATCTTGGGACGATTCATGATACAGCAATCAAAGTAAATATTTCATTAAAGTACAAAAATGTTTACTTTTTAATTGTACTTTCTTCTTTTAGAGTTTAATAATGTGTTTAGAGAGTCAATTTGATTCAGTGATAGTCGATAGACCGATGGTACTTCAGTCTCTCTATCAACTCCATAATTGTCTGAGCGATCGCCACATACTGACATGGGAATTTTTTCTAAACAGATTTGACACTCTGTTTCTAGAAGCGCAGATCAATTTGGAAAAAACGGGAGATATTACATATTTACGAGGTATAAAAATTACAATATGTTGTTACTGCATTTGTTACCACGTTTCTACAAAAATGCCTGATTGTTCACTTGGATTTTTGTCTTGGCTCTTTCTTTATGAAATAAGTTCTTGTTTTCATTTTACTTTCCACTCACTTTTATTTTTTACCAGTGACTTTTATTTATTTCATTTTTTGAATGTTGTCAAGTAGTATGTCAAAATTTCTTTAATTGTAAACCTAAAATGTCAACAGGAAGAAATTGTTTAGCTACATTGTCATTCACATTCCGGTGACTTTTCTATATATGATTTTTTTTTATTCATCACTTTCTTACATGTATTAATCATCAAAAGTTAGGAGACAAATTAGTAAAGTTCATGAATGAAAATTGTGGCCAGATTTGAGAAATACAGATCTGATGAGTGAAACGTTTATGCGAAAACTGCAAAGAGCCCAAGAAGCATTGTCCCAATCCGATTCGAGTTCAGTTAAGACTCTAAGCGCAAGTTTTGGCTCGAAATGGCCCTACAAAAGAACAATGTCCGCACCAGCGACTATGGTGCCCCGTCAGGATACTAAACAAGGTATTTATTAATGCCAAGTCAGTAAAATTTGATCACTGTAGTGGTTCTTTAATCAGGGTAATTTATTATAATAATTATCACTTCTGATTGCTACTTACAATATTATGATTTTTTCATCCTTCTAGAAAAGGAAAAGGTCTACAGCAGGCAATACTCGGCCCCGATATTGAAAAGGAAAACTTCTAGATTTGGACTGGGTCAGTTGATAGGTTCTATGCCACCAAATAACACAGTGGTTCCGCCAGGTAGACATTGAACACAAGAAAATTTTTTAAATGATCATATTTAGCAAATTGAGAGAAATTGAGTTATATAAAGCTTTAATTGTTCCAAATGCATGTTTCAGTTTCAACTGTGCATCGATAAATGCGTAAATGTCTATCTGGTATAAAAATAGCTGTGAAGTAATCAAGGAAATAGTAATGACTTACTACAATAAACTAACTAACATTTTTTTGTACAAGAACATTTTCTATACTCACCAATTTTAAACTGTTACAAGAAGTATTAAAAAGACATTACTTCATTTTCAGTCTGATCTAACATCATCATTATACAACATTGCACGTAACATTAATCAATGTTTCAAAACTTAGCATGTTTTGGAAAAAGACAATTCAATTCAGTATCAAAATATCCTTTGAGATTTTATGCTTAAGGCATGTTTAATTGGTGTCATAAATGTATTAATTTATGTAAATGTTCCCTTTATCATTCTACTGTTTGTTACAATCGTTCATTAAATTTCATCCCTGTAGGAGTTTTTTTGTTGGGAAAATGTTTAAATGTCCTAGTAAGCATATAAATGTTAAACCATTTGAAACTCTTCCTCAGAACAAACTCAGAAAACTAAAAATCCAAGTTTTATTCTTGCAACTTACATTTCATTTCAATTGAATACTTACTCAATAAATTTAATGCATGATGAAATTCTCTCAGAAGCGAATTTGATTTTAAATTTGATTCGTCGTCTTTATTGCTAGATGGGCATATACACGCTATGAACCCTGGAGACGATGTCAACCTCGCCGGCCTTTTGCATAGGGTTTTGGATTTAGAAGAAGCTGACAAAGAGACAATGCATCTTCTCATATTTTTATTCTTACAATTTTTATCACGGCCAGAACAGGTATCTTTTCTGTTAACATATTAATTTAAATTAATTTATCATTTCTTTAATTTATAGGCATATCCTTCTGATGAAAAGATTCTTGCTAAGACTCAAAGCGTTGTATTAAAACATCTTTATTTATTACTGGGATATAATCAAAATGAAAAAGGCTTTCACATACCACCAAATAAACTAAGGTAAAAATTCCTTTTAACATTAAAATTTATGTAATTACGTATAAAATTATGCTTTAGATCTTGTGGGGTGTTTAATGTGTTTATATACAATTTACCGCAAGTTCTTGATCAAAATCATCTGATGGGCGGACTCTTGATGAATACATGTTTGCTGCTTCTCCATTATTGCCCTTGCCCGCCGCATTATTCGCCAGACTGTCAAACCGTGCCAACTTACAGCCTGTGGTACTTAGAGCCCCATGTTAGGAGATCCTGGCTAATGTCAACACTTGTCTTTCTTTACAAAGTAAGTCTGAACAAACCGATGTTTTTGTAAGTTGTTAAAAAAATTGTTTTCTGCAGTATCAATACAGCCAGCCACCGCAAAGTACCCAAGTGCAGAGCTTGGTAAGAATTGTTCTGAACTCACTAGATGCCCAGCATCATGTCTGTAAGCGAATACCGACCACGTTAGTAATTAATGTTTCTACCCGCTCAAGAGGTAATTATATATGGTTTTTAATCTATTGTTGTCTATGTTCATAGAATCTATTCGTGTTATGAATATTTATGTCATTAAAATTTACTAGTTTAACATGATGCTGAAGATGGTTCAAAACGTTAAATTTTAAGTCCAGTTTTGTCTTGGTGATTTCCTCCTCAAGTCAACATCGTCCATACCTCTCAAAACTTACTGATTAAAGTTATACTTGCAACTTTTGATCATTACCATCTTGAAAAAAAAATTAATGAGTCTAGGCAGACCAATATAATCAGAAGTGATCAAGCTACAGTTAGCTACAGCTACATCATCACATATCTAACAATTTAAAGTTCTATCTAACTAGCTATCACACTACTCAATTTAAATATAAACTTGTATATTACAAGCGCTAATTTAAAAAGAAACTTGTACATGATGAAAGAGTGTTATCCTAAAAAAAATGGAAATAAGAAAACAGTGTTTTCATTATAAGTATTCACTTTAGATGTAAGTCAACCTTCTTTGGGTGTTGACGGTGATCACAATGAGCGTTATGAAACTCCGCCATTGTCACCAATGTATTCTGGAGGGAATGGATCCCATGTTAGCAGCATAAAGACTAAAGGATGTGGTAGTCTGTATCAAAAAGCACCAGGATCAATGGAAACCCACTGGGAGGAGGATATAAACGAGGGTGAGGGGAAACTAAGCACTCGCCGGTTTCCAGAGTACAGGTATTTTAATTTTAATTATTTATGAAAGTTACTGAACAATTTGTTTTGATTTGGTACTCATATTTTTGTAAATAATTGAAAAGATTTTTTGGAAAAAAATGTTTAGTGCTTACTATTATCGAAATTGTTAAAGTTACTCAACTGAAGCGGAAGAAACGGAATCTGAGATTGCAGCAATTCCAGAGAGCTACAAATCCGATAGTACAGTTCATGGCAGTTCTCATGTAAAACTATTCATTTTCAAATAATTATTTAAGAATGAAACTTCTTTAGCTACTGACTTTCCAGGGTTCCTTTGAAGAAGTTTTGGAAGATGTTGAAAAAAAACGAGGCGAAAAATTCCAACGTCCAGTTTGGTTGTGCAGCACAGAAAACCAAATATCTCAGGTAACCAAATTCTATACTGAATTTTGATAACTAATTGAGAAAGTATTTTATGATTTAATGTAGCATGAGCACAGAGACAACTTGGTGCAAAAATTAGGGTTGAAGGAAGGCATGAAAATGTTAGTGTCGTCATCAATATTCCCTGTGAGTGCACAACATTCAGAAGTACCACACCTGGCGGTAGCAACTGTGACAAATCCCCTTGTCGTTCAAGACCCAGGAATTGCTCCAAATAGCAAGTAAGATTGTCTATATAATAAATATAAAAATGTTAAAATAACATATTTTTCTTTAAGACCTGAAATCAGTCTTCAGCACACAATGTCAACATCTACATCATCATCAACTCCAACACCGACACCTTCCACTTACCCACCTTGGCAAATGGAACAACCTTTTAAACATCTAGCCACACAGCACGGTCAGGAGCGCCTATTGCCAATTGGTGCTAGTAGACAAGGTATATAACTGTAACCAGAAAAGTTTGAGTTATTTTTCATTTATTGTTTTAATACCATTAATAACTATTTCTACTTACATAGGTTAGGTTCATTAGGTCTTTACATGATTTGAACCAAGACTATAATTATCAGTTCATAAAGAAGAAGTGACTTGTACAGTTCACTGTAACTTATTTTCTTTCTTACCCATAATTTGTGTGCACTTATTGTGTGAATTTTAGCAAGATCACGACACCTTTGATGAACTCGCGACATGGAGTCTCATGGACTTTGGACATGCGCTCCAGCTGAGGACTCATACAGCCTGTTTTAGCATAAAAACCACATTGTGCCAAGCTCCAGTCCACCTTTCTAAAAGGCTTCCCCATAAGTGTAATGGTTTGATTTTGGACAGGTTTTTTTTCATATTGAAAATTTTAATTGTCAAGCATTTCAATTTGTTTAAGTCAAAAACAAAAACGGGAAATTGATTTGAATTAAATTTGTTTATCAAAGAAATATTTTTTAATTATTATAACTTTAATAGAAAAAAATCATCAAATTTTTTAATTTATTTATTATAATTTTATTTTTGTTTTGTTTCATTACAAACGTTCTTATTTTTTTATTGCTGGTTGCCAACATAAATTTTATTTTTCCTTGTCAATAAGAAAGAATTTTTATTTCAAGAATTTTGGAAATCGCTTGGCTCTTGGGGAAATGATAGTACTGGTGGCCAAGGCAGCTCGTAAAATTTTCACCACATCTGGTGATGAAACGATGAGTGAGCGCACTGCCAAAAAGTGGTTCATAAAGTTTAAAAGAATACTCCACGAAACTAAAAGCATTTTGTTAGTGAATATATTCAATTTTTGCGCCAATGGTACGACCTCCTGCTGTTACTGCGCAGGATCCATTTTTCATTACATGTGACAATCCAGTCAAAAAAACACCTCTACTTTTTTGCCGTCAAAGCAATGAAAGACAAACGCTTAGAGCCTTTAGCTTGATACCGTTGTACAATTTCAGCTTCCACATGTCCTCATGTTGATGTAAGGTAGAGTGAATGTTTTTCATCACTTATGTTGAACACTCTGGTAAGCTTCTGACATGTTTGACACGAATCGAATGCAGTAACTTCTCATCATTCATTTTCAATCCCCTCATACCTATAAGCAAACTTTTTGAACCACTTTTGGGCTGTACGCTCAGTTATTGTTTCATAACCGAATGCAGTGCAACTTTACGGGCTGCCTTGGCCGCCATAGTGCCTTATGAATTATGAGCTTTGAAGCCATGAGAAAGAAAATATTTTATAATTTATTGTGAACTGTTCAAGACACTTTTTCTAAATGAACTGACACATTATCCTCTTGGTATTACATGATGTAAACTTCTATTCCTCCTTTGTTAGTAGAAATGTTGATTAACACAACGATTAACACAAAACAATAACAAATGAATAAATATTGTGTATGTATTAATTTTTAACAATTATTTATTATATAACATTCTGTTTGTCTCAGTGCCTAAACCATTACCAAAATCACCGAGGACTGAAGGGTATGGTGCTTATGGATCACCAGATTCTCCTCTATCAAAAATGGATATCATTACCGTTGGTACGATTAATTTTATGTTCTTACTTTAACTAATTAAAAATGTTAAGGAAAAGATTATGCAATGTATCTTCATCTACATGAAAAAATGTATTTTTCATTTATTTTAAAGGCTCTCCAGTTGAATTGGACACCGAAAACAGCTCGTTTTTTGATTCGACATCTCACAGCAGCGTAACTCAACTCGAAATTCCCCAGCAAGAACGTCTTTTGCCAATTGGAGCGCCTCATACCATGGCTAATCTTGTCCAGCATGTCAGACAAGTGTTGGGCGTACATGGTAATAAATAAATTATTTATATATCAAAATGTATTTAACTTTTGTATTTATCAGATAACAAACAAATTGACCATCTAAGCTCGTTACGGACACCCACAGAGGTGGATTCTCTTTCATTGTCACCAGTCTCAAAACAAGACAGTTTTGAAAGAAGTGATCTTCAAGCATCTCATGTAAAAAATATTTTATTTATCTTAAAGATCTAACATTATGCTTAAAATTATTTGAAACCAAGGATCAAATCATTTTTAAGGCAAGCCGAACTACAAGTCCTAGGCGATTATGTAAACAAGTCGCCTTAGAATCGCCTCCACCCCAGCTTACTTCTGATACGGACCACGTATTCTATAGAAAGCCAGTTCCCAACGCAGGTTAGTTAATGTACAATAAAAGGAAATCATACAATCATAATAATAAATCGTCTTGAATAAAGAGAACACACAAATAGGTGAAAACAAGGAAAATATCCGCAAATCAAAAAATAAAAGAGGAGGGCCTTTTTCATTAACGCCGCATACAAGTGCTGATCATGAGCATAGAGGTGGAACTTGGTATGTTTATGATCTCCTTTCATGACATTTTGATAAAATAATTAATTTTTTTTACTTAGGTATGGGGTACATGCACCCATGGATACGGCAGCACAACAGGCTTGTCATGCTTCTTTTGACTTAAAACAAAGTGACTACAGAGTAGGAGATGAATGTGTTTATGAAAGGTAAAAACTACTTCTGATATATTTAAAAAAAATGGTGTTTAATTATTTCTAGTTTTACTAGGCCATTATTTAGAAGTCAGGTAATAAATTTAAAACTGACAATTCTTAGTGTCACGACATTTCAACAATCATGTACTTTTATTTCTGGAAATTAGTATTATTGTTTTTATATTATTACATTGTTTATATGTATCCCTAATAATTAACTTAATTTTACTTATGTTGGGACCCCGGACCTTAACCTTACAGTGATGAGCCCGGGCCAATGCTTAAACCGTTGCAGACACTGATGCCCCTCTACTATATTCTTACTTACTCAGTTTTTGTAACTTAATGAACACCTATGACCTCGAAAATCGCCCACCCAGGGAGTTGGCTGTCTGGGGTCATAACTCGATCTTATCCATACAGCCGCTGAGGTTGGACTCCTGGGGCTAACTGCAGCCAGGTCTTTTCAGCCAAATACATTCTTTCCTATTTACATACTATTCGCTCAGGCTGGTGGAGTAGTCGACATTCAAGTCAATGGGGTACTCAATATTCAACACACACTTTGAGCACAAAAATATCAGTACTATACACAATAAAACAACTCTGTTTCCTCAAAAAAATTCTCATATTGGGTGGCATTTCTACATGCTCTTTATATGGAGCCAAGGAGTGGAACCCTTCAATTAAGTGGACTCATTGAGTAACCGTTCTTTACTTGCTGGAATATACATGGACTTTGACCCAAAAGTGTCCATGTAATCAACCTCACATGGCCATGAGTTCTTCTGTGGGTCAGATCCTCCAAGTGCCACCTGTTGATACATGAGAGCTTCTCCACCAATACTGCCACTTTTTTTTGTATTTTTACCATCAAGCAGCCATGGTGGTTGAGTCCAGAGTTGGGACGTCCCAGCCTTAACCCCTCGTCTGCCTTTTCGTTACCCTCCAGTCCTATGTGTCCTAGTACCCAGACATCAACCACCATTTTGCCGCGGTGCTCCAGTTCATAGTATTTTTCCAAGTGGACAATTATTCTTATTGGTGAAATGGGGACTGTTGTAGCCAAGTGGTTAGAGTGATGGATTATCATCTTATAGACCACACAGTTATGGGTTCGATTCCCACCGTCACCCCCTGAATTTTCTTTCCCGCTGCTCTTCCCCCAAAAGTATGTTATACACCTACTACATGGAATCTGGCTAATATGTAAAAGCATGAGGCCATAAAAAATTCAAACTATTGTATTTTATTTCTATAATTTTATTTAAAAAATTATGAATTACAGCCACCAAAGTTAGGTTTGTTATATTTCCAAAAAGACATTTAATTTTTTATGTTTTCTTTATTTACAATGTTTAAATTGTAACATTGCACCATGCACAATTGCCAGTATTACTTGAGTAATTCTTCCGTCATTGTTTTTTTTCTTCTTCTTTTTGTTTTATTGAGGAAAAAATTTATTACAATGATTCTATTGCTTCACAAGGTGTACTAATTATTTACACCGTATATTCAACTTATTTTTATAAATTTTTGAGTTCAGTCTTTTAAAATTTAAGATGCGGAGAATGTGGAACAATCAAAGAAGAATACAGCGATGATGAATTGGGACTGTGTATTGTTATATTGGGAACTTTCATTCACCGTGAACCAGCGCTTGCAGCACCGCTTCTCCCCGAAATTTTAACGACTGTTACCAAGTCTCTATTCCATATTTCTTCTGTTAGTTTTCAGATGTATAATTTATTTATTTTCCAGGCTAGCTCTCACACCTACATACGCTTGGCAAAATGAAAGCAGCACATACCTTCCTGGAGGAGCAATCAGCGTTGCTCATCAATTTTTAAGATGTGTTCTACACCAGCTAGCACCAAACGGTGTATTCTTGCAAATGTTCCAAACAAATATGAACGGTAATAATTATTCTATGAGATTATAATTATTTCATTGAGAATTGATATGAATTAAAATAATCAATCATGGTTTTAGAAACAAACAGAATGCAGTTTTTCAGGAGTGTGGCGCAAGCGTTACTCGATTTTAATGAACTAAACCCAATCGCCCCTTTGCAGCTATTGCTTGAAGTAACCAATCTTATATATTTTGTATTAAAAATGTTTATAATTAATAATAATAATTTATCTACAGAGTTTAAATTCGAAGAAAACACTTCCAGACACTCTGCCAGTTATTCTGCACAATGTTGCTTGTTATTTGGACTGTCTTCCGTTAGAAGCAGGCCTCGGGCCCGGAACTGGGCCTTGGTCTTCATTAATTGGGCTGATCGATGTCCTTTTTCGCAGGCTTTCTCTACAACTGCAAATTGTGTCTCCTTTGCCATTGCTAAGGATTATGCTATCAACCCTAAGAGTCCCTGGAATAACAACTTGCAAAGTATGAAAGACTCGATTTTTATAGCCATAAATTTACTTTAATTATAAGAGATTAAAAATGTAACTTTAAAAACTACAACTGTAACCGTTGAAATTAAAACAGCCTAAGTGTTTTGTTGATTTAAAAATGATAAATTCCATCAACTAGATTTTGTTAAGGGCGAGAAAGAATAAAGATAGTGAAAGGGACTTGTATGTGATTCCGAGAGAGAGAGATTAATGTGGGGAGAGAGAGAGGGAGAGGGAGAGGGAGAGGGAGAGGGAGAGAGAGAGAGAGAGAGAGAGAGAGAGAGAGAGAGGGAGATAGTCAGAGAGACAGCGAGGTGTGTGTGAGAGAGAGAGAGAGAGTGTGTGAGAGAGAGAGTGAGGTGTGTGTGTGTGAGAGANAAAAAGCGAAATTACTCTGAAATGGTTGAGAATCGGACCATGGACAATATGAACTTTTTTGTTCATTTTAGGGTGAAGAATCTACTGGAGAAGTTTGTAGCACGAGTAGCAATTCACCCTGTATAGTGAGTGATCATGCTAGATTTGGGCTCAAGGACCACTCTTTCATCTAACATGAATTACATATTTACAATAAAATAAAGTTAATTATCTACCTATATAGTCTTGCACATTATTTTAAACTCTCAACGTATAACTTGAACTTAAAAAAATAATAATATAATACATTCACAATACCATATACGAAAAAAGGAGGAAATTAATAAATACAAAAATAATATATAATCATCAATTAACAATAGGGTTTTATCATCTATTTTATTATAAATATTGTACATTTAAACATCTAACCATACTTCTTTATTAAATTTTAATTATTCAGAAATCGTGAGATGCGGTCTGGTGTGATAGGTTTCAGAAAAACATTTTCTTCATGGTGCCAACGTTTCGACCTTTATTGAGATCATCTTCAGGGCCTGGGATTTACAAACGTTGGCACGATAAAGAAAATGTTTTTCTGAAACCTATCACACCAGACCCCATCTCACGATTTCTGAATAATTATCGATTAACGGTCACTAATCACCACACATTAAATTTTAATTTAAAATTTTTAAGGCTTGAAACATTTTTTCATTTTTTTGGGGTATTAGTATATAAACTCTTTTAAGAAAACCTTTTTACAGAAAAAGAGTTATTGAAAGTCATAGTTGCATGCTTTGTAATTTACAAGTGTTCACTTTTATATCTAGTGTTAATCTTGTGTACATCAGATGGAAATTTTAATTTTCCGTATAAATGTGTGGTGATTAGTGACCGTTAATTAATAATTATTCAGAAATCATGAGATGCAGTCTGGTGTGATGTAGGTTTCAGAAAAACATTTTCTTTATCGTGCCAACGTTTCAATCTTTATTGAGATCATCTTCAGGGCCTGGGATTTACAAACATTGTTTACATTTAACAAATACATTTTGGATGTGGAAAAGTGAATGAAGACAAACATTTTGAGTGAGTAGAAATACTTTGATTGAATATAAAAAATATATTTTGCATTGTATAAATTCGCTTTTCCACATCCGAAATGTATTTGTTAAACGTAAACAATGTTTGTAAATCCCAGGCCCTGAAGATGATCTCAATAAAGGTCGAAACGTTGGCATGATAAAGAAAATGTTTTTCTGAAACCTGCATCACACCAGACCGCATCTCACGATTTCTGAATAATTTCCGTATAAAGATTACGTTTTTTTAGCTTTTACTACTTTGAAAATCATACATGCTATGTTTTAATCTATTAAATGTTTCATCATTAAGAAATTTAGATTTGAAACTTTATGATATATACAATTGTTAAATTTAAGATTTCGTAAGTATCTTGTACCATATTTAAATCTCTGCAATGTAGTTACTTGGAAACAGTAATACAGATGTGATGAAATTGGAGAGATTTCTAACTTCTGTCTAATTTGATTATTATAAAATACTATAACGTTTTAAATCTAAATATTGTAGCTTACATCATATTTTTTATATGTAAAACTTGAGGTTCCCAGGAGAGATTGTTCTGGAAACTTCAATCAAAGACATTTTACAATTTGTTCATATTTATTTTATCATTTTTAAACTTGTATATGATCTTTTTTACAGTAATTTGCTATGGCCAAAAATAATTACTTTACATTTAGTAGCATTTAGAGATTAGACAGATAGATAGTTAGAGAGAGAGGAGAGAGGAGAGGGGAGGGAGAGAGAGAGAGAGAGAGAGAGAGAGAGAGAGAGAGAGAGAGAGATTATTACTTTAGTTAGTCATATATTAAAATTAAGCAATTTATATTTGTTGATTTTTGATTTGACTGTTTAACTGCCTCCTTAAAAAATAAACAATTTCCATTATTTATTAATTATACATATTTGTGAATACTTTTTTTGTTTTAGAGTATTTTGGATCCATTTTCAAAGGTGCTGAGTTTCAGCTTACAGAACCTTGTATTAAAATATCAATATTTGGTGGATTTATGTTACCTGTGTAATCGAGCATTTTCAAGAGTAATACTTTAATAGATGTATATATTAGTCAATACTTGAAATGTTTTCTTATATTGTATTTTAAATTCAAGGAAAGAGAAAAACAAGCTTTGACGAGAACAGTAGTTTTTGAATTGGTGCAAGCATTAAAGTTCAAAACGAACATCCCTGAATCGAATTTTTTGTTACTGATCAACTTCGTACTGCAGGTATTTTTCAATGGTGTTAGCTATCAGACAAAAATTTATTTATGACTCGTTAAAGGATGCCGGGGGAAGATTGCCTCCAACTGTTGCCTTCGGTGATGTTAACAATCCGAATCCTGACACGGCACCAGTTTTTAACACATTCGCCGCTGAAGTCATGAGGCAGCATCTCACAGACGCACTGGATTTTCTTGCAGACATTCATACAATAACAAAACTGAAAATGGCTATTGATAAAATAAAGGTGCTTTTATATACTTATTTTATTAAGAATGTCCAGTTAAAACCTTTTTTTTTTTTTTTTTAATTTAACAGAGCAAAGGAATGAGCTTGGGGCTGAGTGAAGACACTTTTGGAGGCACTTTGAAAAGTGGGATTGCACAGTTTGTGGCTCTCGAAATGACAAGAGGAGGCAGTAGCCGAGACAACAGATCTGTGTCCAGATATTTACCATGGTTGTACAACGCACCGCCGACTATTCAACAAGGGTAAAACATGCCCTTTACGTTATTTTAAAAATATTCTCTATTTTGAACCTAATCGTTCAAATTAATTAGCTCAAGGGAATTCTTGGAGTGTGTTGCCCACGTGAGGCTTCTATCATGGCTTTTGATCGGTGCGCTTACTCATACGGCACTTCACACAAGCCCTTGTCTACCCGTACCACAGGAAGCGACATGCCATATTGCCGATCATGTTCAAGTTATAATAACAGGTTTTGCCGAACAGTCAAAACAATCTACATTGTCCGTTGTACACATGTCATCACTGTTTCATGTATTTGTACTTTGTCAGGTAGATAAATGAGTACTGTTTGAAATTTAACCAATTTTATAGATGGATTTTGGTTCTTCTAGCTATGGACTGTTTATTTAGAGCAAGGTGCCGCCAGCAATCTACCCAGTAGCGATGCGCATTCAGTGACTATGAGCATATTGTTCGATTTCTGGGGAAAAGTCACTCCAAGTATTTTACAACTTGTTTCAAACACAAAAGTAATTATTTTTTATTATTGTTTTGAGTAAAGCATAGATTATTTGTCTGAGGGTCGATACCATCTCCTCGTTCTGTCAGATATGTTTCAGAATAATCACTGATTGAGTCATCATGATGCAGAACATGATTGAGTCTGTTAAAGTGCAAGACATATCATGAATAATCTGGATTTAGATATTGATGAAAAACAAATTCAATCGTTACTGCCTAGCTTTCGGCTTATTTTATGGTCATCAGGGTAAAACAATCTTAAATGTTTACAAATTAACATAAATTTTGAATAGGCGAGTTCAACTCAACATTCTTGAGAAAATCACTGTAAATTAATGAATCCTCAACTAAATTAATATTCTTTATCTTTTCATGAATTCAAATAAATTCTTTACATTGTATTTGTTCTCGTACAAAGCCTGACATTTGATCTTAAACATTTCAATAGATTGTAGGGTGGTGGTTGAATTCTACAGACTATAGGTCTTACGTTGTTAAATCATTGCCACCAACGAGGATGGCGTATTTGTTCTAGACATGACGGTGGCGTATAAGGCCATAGGCACATCAGGTAGAAGACCTCAAAGTGCAAAAACATTGGGTATTGAGGGAAGCCCTTATGGAGCTATAACACAAAAATTTCTTTAAAACAGTGGAGGCAAGAGGATGCATTCATGAGCGTACTAAGAAGACACTCAGCTAATTCGGGATCAATCAGCTTCCAAGAACGATCCTCATCTCTTCCTAAATGTCAAGGTCCTCTCTCTACATTCTACGCCTGCAGACGGTGAGCGCAGCTTTTTAGCCCCTCATCCAATGAATCCAGCTTTTGAGCATAATACCTGAAAGCAACAGACCCTGTCTAGGAAGATGGTCCTCAAATTGAACTATGGTGCAGGAGACCGAAAGACCAGGAGAGAGATTGGGTGACCAAAACCATATTTGAAAACCAGTGAACGATGGAGATTTAATTTCAAATCAGGAAAAAAACTTGAATTTTGGATTTTTAATATTATGCTTTTACTCTTGTCAATGTAACCAATTTCCACTGGTTTATCGACCAATTTTTTTTTTTTTTTTTTTTTTTTTTACGAGTATGGAGACCTTTTTAATTTCCTTATATGTTTTGTCATCACTTAGTGGGTTTAGCATCTTCTCTTTGTATTCATCTCTATGTATTAGATTATTATAATTTTCCCTTGTCAGCTTTGATGATGCTCATTCAAAAATTGCTCCATTATTCCAGTCGCTCTAAATCTGTAATTAGTTCAAACATAAAATTATGTTTATTGTATGATAAATTGATATTACAGCCGTCTGAATTTCCGTTCGAATTTGACATCATCCTTATAAAACATTTGTTGATGACCTTAAAATAGGTCAAAAGCTTGTCATTAAACTGAATTTGTTTTTTCACCCACCCAAGATCCAGATTATTCATGATCATGACTGGAATCTGTCAATCTTTATTATTTTTTGAGCATTTGCTTAATTTATTTTTGTAGCTTGCTGAAATGGTTAACACCCACTTCCTCGGTCTACTTGAAGCACTTTTGGAATGCAAATCGGCAGTTTTAAATAAACTTATGCCTGTTTGGAGCCCTGTATTATATTCACAACAAATTCCGGTAAGCTTTATAGAAGAAAAAAAATTAATACGATTAATTTTTTTTTCTTTTTTTTAAAGCTTCCTGGTCAGATACAAATGAGACTGCAGAACTGTAACAATTTTGCCCCTTCGACCCCACTCACCGGATCACAAAATACTATCAACCCCCCTTGTGAGGATACAGTACTCCTGCGATGGCTCCAAAGACTCCAATTTAAAATGGGACAGACTGAACTTCAGTCTTCTGCGGCCACTCAGCTTTATTCTGCTTAGAAATATAATTAATTAAAGCTATTATGCCATGTGTCTGAATAAAATGTCAATGAACTGTACTTTATCAAATCTTCCCGTATTCCAATCGAATGGAAAAGGCACGAAAACCAGGTACTATCTGACAATTTTTTTAAATTTATTTTTTATATTTTTTGTACATAAACATTAATGACTAAAATACCATTAATGGGTTCATTCATAAATATACATAAAATAGCTTAAGACTTTTTTTCACACTAGAAACAATAATAGAAGAAGAAACGGTGAGTATTTTACAAAAGAATCTGCTATAACATGAAGAAAAAAAAGAAATAAAACATATAAGTAAGAAAATGCCAACAAAACGACTTTAAAACAGAAGGTATCATTGCAAAAAAACTCACCAAAATTTACTCCATAAATGTTTTTAAGGAAATCAACAGAAAATTGAACAAAAAAAAAAACTTTTTCAATAGATGGTTGTTACCCTAAACATAAAATTATTTGATGCAGTGTTTAACTGAATGCCACATCTGTCCAATGTGCAGCTAGGAACTCAATCCCATCACCAAATATTTTTTAAAATGACTGTAATTAACTTGTTTCTTGATAAATAAACACCTTCACCATTCTGCATCGCCGTTCGATTTTTGAAAAACGTAGTCTTTTCCTCCTAAATTCATGATACCATCTTTCAGGTAAAATTTCCATTTATTCCTGGTCCTTGTGATCTGAAACGGTGTTTAACATTTAGAAAATACTTGAAAAATAAATCTCAATGATGGTCGTTAATAATTCAATTTACCTTGTCATACTGACAAACTACTACATTATCAGTATCGAACATATCTGATGGATCTTCATCACTTACATCGTCACCAGAATTGAGGGGTTCCTATTAAAAAATAAATAAATGTACTAATAATAATAAAAATCATATCATAAGTCTTCTTGAAATGTATTCTGAAATCTCAAGGTAAGCACACCTAGCCTCTCCCAACAACGTTCGTTCTGCTTGGTTATCGTTGTCATTTTCTTTTACACAGTGCTTTTAACTTTTTACTAAATTTTTGTTTCAATATAAGTTGGTAAACATGAGTTTGGGAACACTTATTCAGTTTTAAAATGGATATAGTATACAGGCAACAACCAAAAAAAAAGAGAACAGAAGACGCTGAGGGAATAAGAATTTCTTTCCAGCTTTTCAGTTTTCCAAAGAACTGAAAGAAAAATGGATTTAAGCAATCAAAATTGGACACCATCTAATCACAGTCGTATTTGTAGTGACCATTTCAAAAAGGATGAGAATTTAAAATTGAAATTGGTAAATGTGTGAACTAAGGTAAAAATATAAATCCATGACTTATCTTGTACAGTGGAAACCCATTTATCCAGATCCTTTTGTTAAAATATTTTTTAGAAATTATTTGGAGATCATGAGATGTGGTCTGGTACAGTAGTGTATAGAGGTATAGTCCCACGATCTCCAAATAATCATTAATTAACGGTCACTAAACACCACACATTTTGTATAAATTTTTCACAATTCTCAATGCATGTAATTAATTTTTTTAAATTCATAATTCAACTATGGGACCTTTATTTTGTTGTTCAAAATTCGTAAAGGCCACCAAATCGCCATTCCACTAGTCACACGATTGAAGAGGCCGGAGAGGCACGTTTTTGTTTAAAAAAAAAAAATTAATTAATTAAATAAATAAAAAAGTGTATACTACTTTAAAACACTAGAAATTGTTGCCTCATGTTGTTTGTATATTGCCTTCCATTGAAAAGATTTTTTTTTATTACATATATTTTTATTGGGTATTTTTTACATATAAATTTTTCAAGAAATGTGTGTCCGGACTTAAACAAAAATAAAACTAATAAAAACCATCTACTACTTTAAATGTTACTTGATACAGTGTTCACTTTTGTATGTTTTTTCCGTTTTTATGACACGATACTAATAAAATCACAAATTCAGATTAGTCAGACTTTTGATCATCCGGACAAGTCCCGGTCCCTCCAAGTCCAGATAAACGGATTTCTACTGTACTCAGTTTTTTTTGTTTTTTTACCTAGGGAAAGATTTAATCAATTTAAACTAATTGGCCAAAAAAAGGGGAAGTTAATCATATATAGTTAATTACTTTGTAACTAACAGTTATGATAAATTAACAAACAAAAAATTGTATCTATATCATATTTATATTATTTATATAATATTTAATTAAAGTATTATGCAATAGAAAATTAGTACTATATTACTACTAGTAATATGAATTGATTAAAATAATTGCTAAGGGGCATCGGTGGCCGCAATGTGTTGACACAGTACTCATCACTTCATCACTTTAAGGTAAAGGTCCCAGGTTCAAATCCAGTGGCCTGCATTTGAACCAGGCATACTTATAAATGGGCTTTTTTCAAAAACACAGGCAACCCGAGAGGGGTGATATGGTGCGGTGCAGCAAACCTTTGATAAAATATATAAAACATTTTTTTTTTTTTTTAAATTTTTCCCCCCGATACACTGTGCTCTACCTAATCCGAACTTTGGTATACCAAACATTCTAGTAATTCGAACCGGAAAAAAAATCCAAGAAGCAAAATTTTAAAAGAAACAACAAGCATGAATGAACATTTGCACTCATATGCACACCAGATGAACAGAGCATTTGGGAACATAGGCGAATGCTCTCCTCGCCCAGTATGGATGCATCTTAGAGATTGTAAAAATCAAATTTCAGTGTACAGATTAAAAAAAAAAATAATGGTTAAATTTTTATACCTCCTCAGCACCAATATCAATGTCGTCATTTTCCTCGTCTTCTTTATCATCTGCATCATCATCATCGTCGTCGTCGACCTCTTCTTCTTCATCCTCTTCCTCATCATCGTCATCTGATGTATCATTTGGGCCGTCCACTTGTCTTACGGTTCCAGACGGTGTTTGGACTAAGAATCCTTGAGCATTTTTAGTGGAATCAATATTTTGACGGTCATTTATTTGAATTGATTGTTGGATTACACCTAAAATGGGGGGAGGGGGCTTGTTAAAGTTCTAAACTGGTTTCTTTCTCTTTTTATTTTATTTTCTTTTTCTAATAATAATTTTAGATTGAATTAATTGTAAGTTTTTAATTGTGGTTGGTTGTGTACCACATGCAAGACCAAGACTATCAGTTAGAACATTAATCAATATAAATAAAAACTAATTTAATTCTGACTTTAGAGAAATCAAGTACGATGAAGCTATAAAATATACATGTTAAAAAAATAATAATAAAACAATAAAATGAAATAAAAACTAATTCTCATTAATCAAACCCATTTTTAAGAAAAAGACAGGCAGACCCTGATATAACCGGCAATCAAAAATGGTTTATGAAGAGAGAAAATTTAGGATTTCCTTTCTGCAAAGGAAATTCATAATGCACATGCACATAATTACTGATTGTTCACTGTCAAAGTGAGCTGTAAAATCAGCATTTCAGTGAAATATACCAACAGCACAAAAATTAATGTTAATTTGCAATTCCAGTGAGAAAGTTATGCCGCAGTCTTACCTGCGCCTTGTAGAGGTTGTTGTTGAACTTGTGCTGATACATGTTGGTGAAGTAATGGAGTAGCCACTTCTGGCGGTAAGCCCATTGTAGCGGATATTACTGGACCAGTCAACAATGAATGAAGCTGATTACCTAAAAAAAATTATATCATTAAGTTTAAAATCTTTATAGTTAATAGTCATCAATAGCAAATTAATTCTAAAACTTAACTGACCTTCTAAAGCTGAAGGAGGTACTTGAATAGTGATATATCGAGGTGGATTGACGTCTGAGTTCCCACCTTGTTGCTGTTGCTGTGTAGAAGGGATGGCTATTTGAAATGAAACATTTTTATTGCCCTGTACATCTTGAACTGGAACACCTCCACAAGGTTGTATCATATATCCGGATACTGTTTACAAAAAGGTCGGATTAATTTTATACTCAAAAATGCATAAAGAATGGGTTGTACCATTGCCAGTTTTGGTCACGTTAATGGGTTTGTTAATAATTGGAGGCTGCGGAGGTTTATCTGCTTTTGTGTCTACGGCTTTAGTCGCTTTTAACCTTGTCTCCCATAAATGTTTCAATTCTGACAGCACCTGTTCATCAACACCTTCGTCTAGGAAAAATTCCCTGACACCACCTATAACTCCTTCGATGACACTCATGTACAAGTTATGCTGTAAAGATAAACAACATAAATTAAAAAAAATTTGTTTGTTTTGACTTTCAATATTGCTTTGTGAAATAATTAAGAACAAATTTTAAAAAAATAATAATAATTTATTTATTGTTAAATAAACAGATGGCCAGTGATCAGTTAATTCACTTAAAATAAAAATGTAAAAATGTTTGGTGATTAGTGACCGTTAATCAATATTTATTTAGAAATCGTGAGATGCAGTCTGGAATCATCTCACGATTTCTAAATAAAAAATGAAAATGTAAAGTTGATGGGAATTCTAAATAATTTGATCGCTGATGAGATCGACCCAGATTTTTATATAACCCCAAAACAGTCCGAAATGCCACAACTGCAAATAATAATCTTTGGATCTATAACAATTTTGGCTGTCATATCTGTATTTATATATTTATATTATGTCTTGCTTCAAGATAAAAGGGTTTATGGTATCTGAAAATAGTCAAGAGAATGGACTGCAGTGGCCGCGTGGTTAGGATGTCTGAGTAATATTTGCCACGCAGTTCTGGGTTCAGGGGGGGTTGGAAAAGTCCACCACCATTCCGCAGTACGGGGCATAACAACCAAACCGCTGGACAGATAAGACAGGTCTGCCAACACCTGGGATGAGTGATTCTCGAGGCTACCAGCAATTTGCTGTACATAGCAAAAGCTGGTATTGCCAGTGAACTAAGAGATAGGCCTAATAGTCTCAGCAAATGTTTGTATGTATGTACATAAATGTGCATATTTGAGCCTTTATAAATCTAAATCCAAAATAAGAAGAAAGAAGAAAAACTAATTTATTCAGGACTGTCACCTTAAAATAACACATAGGTTAAATTAAAAGTTAATAACATTATGACACAAAAATAAACCTTGTAGGGGTGATCAACATAATAACAATGGACTTATAAAAAAAAAAAAAAAAACCCAAGGGGTTAAAACTAAAAAGAGTTTCTCTGAAAATTAACTTCGAAAATAAATATTAATGAACAAATTTAAGCTGTGGTTCAATACACTCTGTTTGGAAGGAGAGGAGATGTTTAAAATAGATAACAGAAGCGGCTTTGCGGATAGTTAAAGGGAGGGAGTTCCAGAATTTTGGTGCTCGGACAAGGAAAGACTGTTTACAGGTGCATGTTTTATGCCGGGGAAGGGTTAGGTCACAGAAAGGAGGAACTGTCAAACACTCTTAACCAACCTTGTCGACCGTCCAAGTAAGCAGAGCAGGTGTTTGGGTTCTGTATAGTCCGTCCAAAGAAAACAAGGCTTACTGGTCCACCACATGCAACTTGCTTCAGTTTCACAATACAGAAGGTTTTTTTTTGATCACTGGAGTTGAAAAATGGGTTCTCTATAATCTAAAATGCAACAGGCAGTGGCTCTTTACGAATGAATTGCCATGCAGTACAGTTAAGCTAGGTTTACACCCCAAAAAGGTGCTTTTGTATGTTTGGTGGAATATTCAAGGGATCATTCATTTTGAAGTGATGAAACTGGACAAACTGAGATGCAGACCTTTAATGTGAACAATCAGATCGAGTAACTCGTTAATTTAAAAGTGCCCAATGATTTTCAAAAGAAAAGGCGTTATTCTGCAACAAGATAATGCAAGATCGCACTGCACAATACAAACCCTGGACAAAATTAATTAATTATGGATAGGCACCCAATATTGCGTCTGATTTCCTTTTGTTGGTAGAACATTTTCTAAGTGGCAAAAAAATTTGAAAATTTGGATATCAGAAATGTGTATTTTTAATGACAGTTAATAAATGATTATTTGGAGATAGTGAGATGCAGTCTTGTGTGATGTAGGTTTGGAAAAAAAAACCACCCAAACGGTTGAACACTCTTAACACGACACACAACATATCTACACAGAAAACACACACTTTGAGCCGTGAAGATGAACTAAATAAAGATCTAAACATTGGCGCAATAAAGAGATGCACAAGACCGCATCTCAGATCTCCAAATAGATATCCAAAATGCCATCTGTCAATATTTTGCTCAAAAACTATTTGCAAAAGGTTGGTGATAACTAGGGTTTTTGCATCATCGATTAAAAATAAAAATTTGTTAAAAATTTATGTGCGATTTTAATGACATTTTAACCCCCCCCCCACCATAATTTTATATTTAAACATTTTTGTAAAATTTATTAATTCAGTAAAATGCATTGACAAGCAAAAAATTCGACGCAATTGATTTTTTTTTCATTTTCTCAATAAAAGAAAATTCTGCACTTAATTGGTCTCTTTGTTTTAATCAATAAATATTTCTTTATGCTGTTTTAAATTGGTAATATCAATTAGAGGTAAACACTCTTAATCCTTAATCAAAAACAAGGAAAAAGGATTTTTCAATGTTTACTGTTTACGGAATTGAAAATGTTTATTCAGTCTTATTTGAATTCTGAAGGAATAAACTATTTAGTTTTCAACTTTGTTTTCTAAATTTCAATTTTTAAAATTAAAAATGTCACTTTCTGCTGGTGATGATGTGGTGTGACACGATTGGTCTGCTGTACTTTTTACAGATGAGTGTAGATTTGCTCTACAATCTCCAGATGAGCATGAAAGAGTGTGGAGAAGGTGATATGAAAGGTAGTAGCCTGTAATTTCAACGGACTGTCGAACTGAGTTGGTGTTCGTGGAGGGTCTTTGACGGCCACTTGCTATGTGGATGACATTTTAGAACATCATGCGTCGCCTATCCTCGATGAAATCAGCGACAATCCTATTCTAATGCACGAAAATCCCATCCATATGTCGCTCGCAATCATACCTTCAACAGCATAACATCAGGGTCTTAGCCTAAGCCCGTTCTCCAGACTTGAACCCTGTCGCACATTTATAGGATAACCTCAAAAGATGAATAAGAACACATCCATCACTTTCTGAAACACTCCAAGATCTTCAAAGGACTTTTCGTGAAGAATGGACTAACCTCCAGCAAAGAGATTCCAGACTTGTAGAAAGTATGCTGAAGAGTCTTCGAGATGTAATTAAGGCAAGAGGAGGAAATTGATACGTTAATTAAAAATCTAAAACAAATTTATCTGTCCTTCTTTTATTTTTTCATTTTCCTTAATTTTTTTCTTTTTTAGACAAAGACTCAATTACTAAACATTAAAAAACGTGAAACTTTGATTACTATATAAAAATATATACAAATCAAGTTATATTGCAAGTGGGTGGAACTTTTTGCCTGTCAGTGTATATACAATATTACATTGTAACTATTGTATGTAAAGTGAACATAAGTTTTCAATTAGTTGAGAGAAATTTCAAAACTGACTTTTTTTTTATTCAAAAAGCACTTTTGATATCATGGATTAAAATGAAAGTCGAGAATTGTATAAATTAATCAAATATAAGAGTAGTTTAAGCCAATTGATATTAGAGTACTAAGTACTTGTTAGTGTTAGGTATTGAGTACTGTTTGATATTTAAGATTTTAGGAAGCAATATGATTGTATGTAGTAGGGAGATTATTCCGTCTTAACCCAAATGTTTGATTTGTAAGAAAATGGAAACAAAATTCTTTAGGAAATAAGCGAAAACACTTGAAACATGGTATTTTTGGCTAAGAAAGTTGTACAAATGGTTCTGGGACGAAAAAAGTCATTTTTTTAAGGGTTAGTCTTGCCTTAAACGTACCAAAATGCGCGAGATATGTGAAAGGTCTGAATTTGGGAACTTACCACGCTTGTCATGCTAAGAGACATTTTCACGTCAGTATGAAGTCGACGGCTTAAATGAAGTTGGAAAAGAACTCAGAATTGGCTAGGCCGTTTTGAAAGGAACAACTCATCCAGAAGACGGGCTTCGAGGAAGCCAGTGGAACGGTGACGGCAGCTCTTTTATACTCGTCCTTGCCCACCCCAAAAGACGGATCCGGCCGCCGGCTCCCTGCTTGGCCGCGCTGCTGTCGAACGGTTTAACGGGGCAAAATTACAAAAATCTCGCTCCCTTTCAAAAAATAAAATAAATAAATAAATTAAATAAAAATTAATAATGTCAAAATTAATACTTATTCATATGCTCTACAAGCGGGAAAATTGTTTTTATTATTAATTTGTTGGATTCCTAAGGAGCGATCAAACTGTACTTTAGAAAAACACCTTTTTCATTTTTTCCCCGATGTTTCGACCCTTTATATGGGTCATCTTCAGGGCCTGGGTGAATTCCAATACATATGTCGACTAGAAAAAATACTATTTAAAATGTAAATATAAATTTTGAACCAAATATTTCACACTCACATAATATGTGATGCTATTTGTGTGGTATATTGATTTTGTGTGAAATAGTGAAATGTGAATTTGTAATCTGTATTCTGATTTTTTTTAAATTGTTTTTTTTTTTTTTAATTTTCATTGTTCAGATCATATCTTTATATCATCAGTACTAAAATCATTCCCTGACGACAGTCATTGAATGTAAGTATGAATTTTATTCCATAGACTCAACGTTGCCAGGGGATAATGAAAAGTGTTATTTCCCTTTTTTGTATATCTTGACGCTTGTTATTTGTTATACGCATGTTTTATAGTCCCTAAACCCGTCCAGCATAAACCCAAAGTGCGAAAGTTTCATCAAAATCGGTTCAGTAGTTTTAGTTTTTATCATTAGCTCACATACGAACATTCACTTTGCAAAAACAACATACAGTTGACAACTGATTTTTAAAAACAGAAATGTCAGAGATTGTGGGGGAAATTATTTTTAAAAAATCATATGCTTAAGAATGTAACTAAGTCCACAACTATAAATATACAAAAAAGTATAAATACAATTTCATTGATTATACTTTTTGTCTAAATAATTTTTTGATGGTGAGTCCATCCTGATTTTGAGGAACTCCATAATATGATGATGCTTAGGAAATAAATTATTTTTTCCGCAATAGACCTATTGTGGAACAGAAAATTTATTTCCAACCCCTCAACTTTTTATCTAAGTTCACTAATTTCGTGGTCCATTTGAACAATTAATATATTACAATTAATCAAGGTTTTTAGTTGAGATAAAAAAAAAGTCAATGGCACGAACAGGATTCGAACCCACGATCTTCGGCTAAATATGCCGCTGCTCTACCACTTGAGCTATTTTCCCTCCTTTTTGTCATTTTTCAAAGTTTTTTATCTAAGGTTTTGGTTGAAGTGAAAAGTTAGTGTCACAAGCAGGATTTGAACCCACGACCTTCGGCTAAATATGCCACTGCTCTAACCATCTGAAATATTTTCGTTTTAGTTAAAAAGTATAACTAATTCATTTAAATATTATAATAAGTTAGATAAAAAGTATAACTAATTGAAATCAATACAGTCAATTATGACTTCTATATATATGGATTACAACATATACTATATACAATGTTATGCAATGTTTATAAGTGTGTCTGTAAATAACTGTATATACAAAAATAAATAGATAACTATCTAAATAAATATCTCAATAATTAAATAAATAAATAATTGCAGTAATAAATAATAAATGAATACAATGATGGTCAAAATTAATGCACCACCCTTAAATTTTAATGTATTTAGAGTTATTCATATTTTGCATACCAATTGGTTGTAAAAATAATACATTAAAAAAATGTTTATTACCTAATTTGAAAAAATAATTATTAAGTTGTGGGGTGGTTAGTGACCGTTAATCGATAATTATTCAGAAATCGTGAGTTAATTATTTGAGAGTTGGTGTCACCAGACCGCATCTCACGATTTCTGAATAATAATTATTAAGAATTTATTTTCTGAAACCTACATCACACCAGACCGCATCTCTCGATTTCCAAATCATCGACTAATGGTCACTAATCACCACACATAATTATTAAGTAAAGAACAAAAACAAAAAGCAAAACAAATAAAAATGTTTTTAAAAAATCTTTGTTGTCCCCTTTAATACTGAGCATTTCCACCTCTGGCATGAATCATGTTCTTTAAACGCCTTTGCATTCCTTGGAAAAGATTTCTATTAAAATCCTGAGGAATTCTTTCCCATTTGTCAAGAACAGCCATTTCCTACTCTTTTGGTGTTACAATCTGGGTTTTGCCATCATACTCATCACTTAAGTTGTTCCCATGTGTGTTCAATTAAGTTCAAATCTGGACTTCGTGCTGGCCACATCAAGCTTAATTTGAACGTCATTCAGGTAGTCATCCACAATATGTGCTCTATGAGGCCTGGCATTATTCAGCATTTGTAAGAATCTCTCACTGATGTGGGGGCAAATTGCACTACATCTTGTTCAACTATGTCTTGTAAGTACCTCTTTGAAGTTAGAGATCTTCCTCGTACAACCAATTTGGTGCAGATATTCAAGGAAATGTCACTCCACAACATCAATGACCACGGAATACCACCTGAGGAACCATAAGCAAAACGCATGCGTATCTTTACCCTATCTCCATAAGAAATTATGTCCATCTGAAGATTTGAAGTCAATTCTCACCTCATTCGATTTTTGAATTTTTTTTTACATTTTTATTTGTTTTTGAATTGTTATGTTCTTTACTCAATAATTGTATCTTTAGAATTAGGTAAGAAACAATGCAAAATATGAATAAACCTGAATACATTAAAATTTAAGAGTGGTGTGTTTATTTTGTCCATTTACCAACACCTCTGTTAACATTGCTTAATATTTTGATATTTTTGCTATTGTTATTATATTACTAAGTACATATGCAGGATGTATATAATTCATATCATCATTATATGGCTGTTTATTTATATTGAGCCAATAAAAAAAGATGCTAGAGGTGCTCTATGAATCCAGGATGTTTAAGCAGTACATTTCCACCTTCTTTCTTATTTTATTGCCGGATTCTCCTCCACATACTTCATTTTTTAATAGTTAGTTGAACTGCACCAATACGTGACTATGTATGTTCGATTTTTTAAATTTATTTTTTAATTGCATGTGCAATACACATGGCATTAGCTGAAATGAATGCCAAATTATGGATGAGTGTTTTTTTTTCACATTGGCTGATTTTTGGCCTTTCCAACTGATCCTGCTGAACCAATATCCAGTTTTGATAAAACATCCTATATTTTGTAGAAATTCTTGCAATAATATTAAATTAATTAATGTTTTTAAGTTGAGATAAAAAGTCAGTGTCACGAGCGGAATTCGAACCCACGACCTTCGGCTTGATACGCCGCTACTCTACCACTTGAGCTACCGTGACTTCGATCCCCTCAGGCACTAACTTCCCATCTCAACCCGACCTTTTGAATTTTTCTCTCCTTTTTGCCATTTTTCAAATGTCGTTTTTTTATCTCAACTTAAAAACCTTAATTAATTGAATGTTTTAATTGGTCAAGTAGACCATGAAAAATAGTGAATCTTGCAATAATATTTCTCTGCCTTTAACCATGTACTCCATACAGTAACTACGAGTTGAGGAAGACACAAGTCTGGATTGGTTTCTTTAAGGATTTTTGTCAACTTGGTGCTTTACAACTTTTGCTTTAACAGTGTTTGCAGTATCCTAGAAACTTAGATAAATTTTTCAAAGTAAAAATAAAAAGGAAACTCAGGGAAGCAAATTACAAAACCTTGCAATTTTGAAGGATAAGGCTAAATTTTTAGAGGAGCGTTGAAGTTTTGGGATTGGTACTTTTGAATATGGACAACAACAGTTATTACTGCAATCAACTCTATATTAGTATAAATTAAACCATAATCGTGCATAGTTTATTTTCTTCTGTTTATTCTTGCAATTTAACTTTTATCTTAGATATAAATAAAATAAATGCACTATTTAACCAAATATGTGTAATATGATGCTTGGCATGGCTATGAGAAAATTGAATTTTTTGCCATAATCAACAGGTTATCAACGAATCGATACTTTGTTGTTGTTTATCCAACTCCAGTTTATGATAAACAGAAACAAATAAACTTGTACAATTGGATAAATTATTTTAATTTTATATCCATATATAATTTGGGGAGGTAGTGATGTGACATGCCAAGTACAGTATTGTGTATTGGACCTTTTCATTTTTTAACATGAACAATATTTGGGTAAATATGTAATAAAACTGTATATATTTGTTTATATTTATGTGTTATTTATATGTATTTATATAGGTACTTTTTTTTTCATTCTGTTATTATGTTTTAGTTGTTCTTACGTTTTATTCCAACCAGTATCAAGTCAGACAGATTTTTGCTTGGCAGTTTTAACCGATTTATATGAAATGTTTGATTTAAAGTTCTCCGAGCCTTTGGTTGCTCGATTTCATTGGGTGTCAGAAGACGGTTTGAAGCTGCTAACAAAATACAACAACTCGCATGAAATCAGAACCATCCCATTGATGAACGTCGTACACAGTTTTGAAGATATATCATGCAGTATATGTTTCTCACCCGACTCCAAGTACCTTGCTTACTCTTCAGAGTCTTTCTTCAAGATTTTAAACTTGGACGACTTGGACACCTTTTATTTAAAATTAAACAGCAAAGTCATCAAGGTCTTGTGGAACAAGCGCAGCAGTGCTGTCGTCTTCATATCTGATTTGGAGCTGTTCACAGGTGTCTGCGATATCATAAATCACAAGAACTTTAAGCTAAAAGGCTGTTCTCTTGACACGCTTGGAAAACCTTTGTGCTCTTTTAGCCCAAATGATGATTATTTCTGTACAATTTCCTCACAGAAGTTACACGTATACTGTGCCAAATTGTGGACTCTGAAAATAATTATTAACTGTTATGGAGTTTCAATGCTGAAATTTATCTCACCATATGTTGTGTTTGTCGCAATGAATGAAAGTTATCGTGCGATCTCTGTGCTGAGTGCTTCTAAATTAATTGATAAAGATTGCCTCCCAGACCATTGCGTTAAAGACATAGCGGTATCTGAAAAACACTTGCTGGCTTGTATCGCTTCATATTCGAATAGTTTAATTATTTATGAGACTGTGTCATTTAAACAGCTTATTCTAATCAGTTGCAAGTTCAAACTTCAAATAAGCAATGCAGTCAATATATGGGAGGAAAAACACAACAGGATGTGTTTAAAATGGATTTTTAATTTAGACAACCTGGATTTCTACATCGTTAAAAATTTTAGCGATGAGCACCATGCTAAAAACAAAAAGTTTATCACTTCTTTCAGCCACGATGGTAAATTCATTGCCGCCTACAATCCTGGTATACCTGATTTTGTAAGTATCTGGTCTTGGTCGGAAGACTCACCGTTGAAATCTATCATACTTGTCAACAACACAGAAATCAAAGGGTTAAAATGGGCCAAGCAGAACGTCCTCGCTATCGTCGGAAATAACAAGATTTTCTTTTGGCATGAAACGTCTTGCACAAATATTGTACTGAACGATGAGGTTCAATTCAATTGGGTCAACAAGGGAAAGTGCATATGTACAATTGGTAATAACAACATAGTTCAGCTTGTGTCTGTAATTTTAAAGCCTATTTGAAGATAATTTTGGTTCATTTGAAGTCTAGAATATAACAAAACTAAACTAACCAGAAATGTTTTTGCCTTGTCATTTGAAATATTTTTACTATTTTGTTTTATTCGACTTGAAATACAAAACGATATAAAATATTTGGACTTTAACAAAAAAAGTTATTGTTATGGAAGAGGACAAGAGGAGGGAAAAGAGGCGCCCCTCCGAAACATTAGAAGAGAACCGGCGGCAACACTGGGACGGTTGGCAACGCTGAGGGGTTGGTGTTGACGAGAGGGAAGAACAAAGAAACGGGACTAACGGTGGTACGCACGGAGAACTGCGCAGTTGTGGTTGTTTGGGACAACGGCGTTTTGTATTCTAGCGACTTTAATTAAATTACTTTATATCAAATTCTATTTATTTTTAATAATCCTTACATTATTTTGAAGCAAATTTGAACTAAAAGTGACGTTTAACGTTCCCAGCCATTACAGTAACCGTGGTATGAATAGTATGTGGGCAACATAAGTACTACATAACGTGAAGGTTTCAATAACGTCAACATAAAACACCGCTTCAGGTCAGATTTCGACGTTAACTTATTTTGCTATTGCCTCGGAAAGATGATGAACATGGCAGGTATGCAGCAAGGCCCCGTGGTGCCTGTCATGGGGCAAGTTATACAGCAACAACAACAGCAGGTCAACAACATGGTTAATCCACAGGGTCAACAGGTCCTGGCCCAGCAACAACAACAACAACAGCAGCAGCAGCAACAACAACAGCAACAATCACAGGAAAAGCTTGACAATATATCCAAAGTCAAAAGCCTAATCGGACCCCTTAGGGACTGCCTTGGAGTAAGTATAGTAAGATTTATAAGGAGTAAGATTTATATAAGTTCAATTATGCATATGTATGTACCTATAACTTTGGCAATAAGTTCATAAAGAAAAATTGTCTTAAATAGTTTACAGTAAATTAAAAATATTTTCATTCTCATGGCTTTAAAACCCATAATTTATGCATGCTTATTGTATGAATTTAAGCTCAGTACAAGGATTGCTGAGGCTGCTTGTAAAATTTGCACTGCGATCGGTGGTGAAACAATAAATGATCACTGCCCAAAAGTGGTTCTTTTCCTTTAGATTAATTTAAAGGGACTTTTTTTAGTTTGACTAATATAATGGTTTTTCTTGATTTCAGCTTACTTTAAAAACCGCCGCACACATACTCCATCAAAACAGCCTTGTTGATATTGGAACATTGTAAGTAGTTCATTGGAAAACCAACATCAAGTATTTTATAGCATGAAATAATAAATAAAGCTGTTATATTTTTAGAAAAAATGTTGATGTGCCCCCACCGAGGTTTGATAAAAGCATAGAAGAGTTTTATTCTATATGTGATCAAATTGAACTACATCTTGTAAGTATTTAAATTACTGATGTATCTGTAATTTTTTTTCTATATTTTGTCTATCTTTTATTTCATAGAAAACGTCAATTGAGTGTATAAATCAAGGCACAAGCAGTCAGAAGTATTTAAATTTAGCAGTGGCTCCCACCCGGACTGAACCCATTCCAAACCAAGATATGAATACACTCACTTATCCTCAGTACTTAGCCACAGTTCGAACTCAGGTCACGTTCGCAAAAGAAATACACGACATGCTCGTCGCAGCTTCACAGAATATAACTTCTACAGATTAATCAACAGTATTACTAATATAATGTAAACTCATAATTGTAAAAATTTGTCTTTAAAGTGTTTATAATAAATTTAATATATTATACAATTGAATTTGTTTTGCTGTTTGATATGATAAAATCTGATCAACCCTGGAAATCGTTATCTGTTAGCAGGCTTAATGTCCAATTACCCGTTGTCATGGGCGAGGGGTCAAACCATTTTGCACATTTTTCAAACCATTATCAATTTAAAAGCCAGGGATTTAAACGCAAAGTTCTAGCGTGGCAAATACAAGTTGGACATCCTAACCACTTGGCCGCCATGGTCGTCGCTTGCCAACCAATGGGATTAGGCTTCGGGGCTTTTGACAACTAGGCCATTTCAGCCCCCAAGGCATGTGCGAACTAATCTAGCCTAAAACTAACACCAATAGTCGTGCAAATAAATACATTCACACCTAAGTAAAGAGCACTCATTTTGGTTAGTCAGTAGAGTACTCACTACTCGGTATTCTTCCATCGACTTTCACACAACATTAATAAGCAAATCTGAATCAGGGTTGGTGAAGTATCTTCATATTCTGCCATCGATCCTAAACACACACTACCAGAGGGGCGGTGGTGATTCATTATCTCTCACCCCATACACTACTAATTACACACTCAGACAAACAACAGAACCATAAAAAACATTTATATACAAAAATAAAAACCATGTCCTCGAAAGAGTGGCACAGGGGACCGAGAAACTCGCTACTGTGCCTGAAAACCTTTGTAAAATCCGGTGGTATGTCTACATGCTCCCTATAAAGAGCCAATGCATGACAAGCTTCTATTATTATGTGGGACACATTGAGCAACCTTTTTCGGGATAAGGGACAACTGTGTGGGCTTTGGCCAAGGAACTGGTGCCCGCATAGCTTTATTGGGAGAAATTTTCATTGTTTCAACACAGTTTATTTACTAAAGTTTAATTAATGTATATTTTTTATGGAATATATCTACAGTTCATTCAAAACCAAGAATAACGAAACTCATACTTCACGAATAAATTAAAACAAACTTACAATGATTTTCTATAAAATGTCAATATTACAATGCATGTTAAAACAAAAAGGTGTGACTTTTTACATGAAATTAAATTTTATAATTTCCTTCAATTTAAGAAAACAAAGAGAATATACTTCATCGACACATAAATAATAATTTGTATACAAATGTCAATAGAATAATAAGAAAGCTTGGTCCAAGATGTTTATTTTTAGCACGTTTTTTTGAAAAATGTTGCATACCGCAAGCAGTATTTTTTTCTTTCTTCAATTCATAACAAAAAAACACCAAATCATTCACAGAAAAGTCTAACCAATCTAGCATAATGAATTGCACTAAGATAAAAAAGGGTGTCTGAGGGCTTCATCAGCGGTGATTCGCTTAGACGGATCAATTTCTAAAAGGCGCATAAGCAGATCATAAGCTGAATTCGGGAACTGAAGCCCAACGGGTGCGAGGTCTTGTGATTTTTTCGATTGGTGGAGTTTGTTAAGCTTCTTATTGGCCAATTTTTCGCAAGTCTGTTTCAAATCGAGAGGCTCGCAAACTTCACTGCAAATTACATTACGCCCTGAAAAAAAGAAGAATAAAATTAATGTTTATACAGTGAACTTCCCTATAATGAACCCTCTTGAGGAAAGAAATATTGTCCGCTATACAGAGGTGTCCGTTTTTGGGATAAGAGTGAAGAAATGTTTAGTATTACAAGATGGGCCACAACTGGGATTACAAGGTATCAACACACCTTTAAAACACCGAGGAGTTTTAGCCTTTTCTATGTTCAGAGTGATTTTAAAATTCATCAAGCATACTTTTGCATAAGAACAAAGTTAAATGATCATTTTTAACTGCATAGTCAATATGTCTCATTGCAATTCAAAATGTTGTGTTCAAAATTGCCTCAATATTGTTTAAGTTTTTCCATTCAAGTTTGTACGACGTAGGCCCGTACCTCCATTAAGGTCTTACAATAAATTTTATGCCATGTTCTAAATTTGTCGACCAACCTGAAGATGCTTTCAAATCTGTTTGCCCTAATTTTTTGCAACTTCTAAGGCTTTTTTTGGACAAGCAAACCAGAAAGTGGTATTTTACAACCCCAACACTGCAAAGCCTTTCGCATATATCCTGGTTTATGGGTGAACCAAACATTTAGAAAAAATCTGCAAGATTGATTATTTCCATGTAATATAAAATTTATGTTAAATCGCCTATTTATTTTTTCCCTTGCCTGAGACTTCCCAATGGAAAACTTTACCGCCAAACTTAGCTTCTCACTTTCACCCAATTTAATTATGTTAATTTTTTCTTTAAGTGTCAAACAGACTGAAGAAGTACTTAATCAAAATCTAGGAATGTTGTGAAAATACTGAAAGATGAACAAAACACACATGGAAAACGGCATTTCTCACAAAACATTTATTTTCTAGAAACTGATGTCTGCTTTTTGGAGTGTTAATCAGAATATAATCGAAAAAGTTGCCCACATCTGAAGTGTCCACATTATAGAAGATATTAATGTGAAGACACCGGGAAATCAGAATTTGTCCATTCAAGGTATCTATGAAGGGAAGTGTATATATGATACATATATCATTAATTATTAATTAAAATAAATACCAAGTTTCTTTGCAACTGCTTTGATTTCTTCAGAGCCAAAGAGTGTTATAATCTCAGCGAGGGCTGTGACATCATCGGGCGATTTGAAAAATGGGTACGTCCTACTGAGGATACATAACATTATCACCCCAACTGCCCATATATCAACAGCTATAAAAAAAATTATTATACTTTTATGACTCATATAAAAATAAGACTAAATTGTATACCAGTTGTTTGCTGAGGATACTTTAATAAAACCTCAGGTGGGCGAAATCCTGGAGTGCCTGCTCTGGGTGCAACTTGGGCTCTTCGAGTGAGGCAACTGTAACAAATCTGCGCCTTTCCATCACACGTGCATTTGTTACCGAATGATTTTAATTGTGGTGACTTTGGCTTGAGAAATAGTTTCTCCCCTTGCTTTTTCGACATGTCACTATTTTGTATGAAAGTAATATTCTCGGCTTTTCTATTGTAACAGAGTTTTTTCCATGATACATCCTCAAAATCAACGGTTTTTTTCTTATTGTGATTTGACACCGGGATGTTGCTGTCTAAACACTGAAGAGCAGGGCGCTTCATAGATGGTGTGTCATTACTGACTTCCTGATTTTCCTTAAACAAAAATAGTGATCAGTTTTATTCCTTTACACTTAACTTAAAAACAACAATATTTACCTCTTCATCAGCCCTTTTTCTTTTTTTACTTTCTTTCTGGCTGTCGTTATTTTCAGTTGACCATTCTCCTACTGTTTGAGCTAAGCCAAAATCCACGAGCAAGAATCTAAAATTAATCACATCCAAAGTTATACACACTTTTACTAATACAGCTTTAATTAATTCTAAAAATTCACTTTTTTTCTTTACGACTATAAAGAAAATTGCTAGGTTTTACATCTCGATGAATTACTGAGAATTTATGGACTCTTCTAAGAGCGACTAGAAGTTCTCTAAGGTACATCTTTGTTTCTTCTATCTGCATTTCCATAACATAAGACTAAAAACAAAGATATTAACATTTATTTTAAACATTTGTAATTAAAAAATTACATGATTTTCAATAATATGTTACAACTTACACTAAATTTGTCATGCTGCTGATACGGCATGATGAATGTGACACAGTCATTACACCTTAAGCACAAACGCACTCCTCCTACGTTGTCTACACCCCTAGAAGCATAAAAATGATTAATTATTAAATCAAACAATAAATAAATATACATAAAATTTAATTTACCCAATTTCTTGCATGCATTTCAATTCCCTCACAATGCGACTCGGATGGCATGTTGGTACAAGATGTTTAATCGCAAAATATTCTCTTTTGCCGTCTTCATTTTCGTGTTTTGTTTTTGCTAAATATACACTGCTGAACGTCCCTTCACCTATTTTCTTTTCCAGATCAAAAATTGCAGCCAAATCAGGAAGCTTGTTGACGAGTGAGATCATTTTTTGCTCTTTGAGAGAAACACAAATATTTACAATCATTGATATTTAATTTAAATTAAATTGTACTTACTATTAGTTGATTCATCGTCTTTTGTTCTGTCATCTAACGGACCTGCACAGGATTCAGTCATCCTAAAAATAGATTTGGTCTATTTTAAGAATCTATATTTTAATATCACAATTTTTTTTATTACAAAAATAATATTGCATATAGCAGATAGCACTTATATGTAGACTTGAGTCAGATTCAAATGAAGGCCACTGGATTCAAACCCGGGACCTTTACCTTACAGTGATGAAAGCCGTGTCAACTTAACCCTGAACCGGAGCGGCCACCGAAGCCCCAATCTATATTTATTGTAGATATTTTTCTACGTTTCTATATCAAATTCAGCCATTTCAAATTGTGTATGGGCTCTAAGTTTCACTATTGTACACATGCTTAAGTGTTCCATCAGTGCTGGTACTACAAACAGTCAAGTAATCCGAAATGTACAACAAAAACTTTAAAGAAAACAAATAAAACATCGTTTGAAGGGAAAGCGAGGAGTGAGTGAGTGAGTGAGTGAGTGAGTGAGNTGTAAAGTGGATTAATGACATAGAAAAGTAAAATAATCTTAAGTATGTATTTATAATTTGTTAGAAAATATGCAAATGAATATTTAACAGTGTATTATCATGTCCTGAAATCAAGTTTCATTGTTTTTGTAATTCAGGCCCTGAGGATAATTCCAAATAAAATTGAAGGTTCAGCATAACTATCTTTGGATTAAGAAACACCTCTACCATTGACAACCTCGATCATTACATTCATATAATTATGAGTGCTGGTTGTTACTGTCAATAACAAAAAATTAATTTATTAGTCCTATTGTAAAGTGGATTTCACTTGATTTTCTTGTTTCCAAAGGTTTATTAAAAAATTCTGTTAATGGGCCAAGTCAGGTAATTAGTATTGTGGTGTTCAAGCTGTCAATTTTGTTATACCTAACTCGACACTCTCTGTTTCCGAGGGATTTTCTCAATGATTCTTCATTATGAATTTTGGCAATTTCCTAAGTTGGTCTGTTTTTGTCTAACAGGTTGAAATAAATTAATAGAACACCAGAAAAAAAGTTCGATTTCAGCACATCACATCATCATCAATACAGGTACTGCGCTCTCTCAGGAATCCAAAATAATTGTTGCAGGGGGAGTACAGAAGGTGAAAAAACATACATAAGTATAAAAAAAAATCAACACAACACTTTATATTTTATACATACTACACATATACAGGAAAAGTAAACAAATCATTATTTAAAGTTTAGGTTTACAAATAAACACAGATAAAACATAATATACAAATAATTATGTAAGTACTAATTGAGAAGAAATATGACTTTAACAATTTTAAACTATAAGTCAAGTGGTTTATTCATTTTTGTACATTTTGTGTACTTTAAGGTGAAAGGTGTATTACGAGACATCTTTTGGTGTGATGATGACAATGACCACCTACTTTCAGAGACTTTTTAAACATTTAATTTTGGAGAATTTAACTCATTATAGTTTATGCTTACAAACAGACACAGATAAAACATAATATACAAATAATTAAGTAAGTACTATTTGACAAGAAATAGAACGTTAATCATTTTATACTAGAAGTCAAGTGGTGTGTTCATTTTTGTACATTTTGTGTACTTTAAGGTGAAAGGTGTATTACAAGACATCTTTTGGTGTGATGATGACAATGACCTCCTACTTTCAGACACTTTTTCAACATTTCATTTTGGAGAATTTAACTCATTTATAGTTTATGCTTACTTTGGTACAGCATAATTTTTGTATATTAAGTCTATTTTGAGATGAAACATTTAATGACCTATCTTTTGTTTGAAAAGCAATCTGTGACTTTTTACTTGTAGATATTGTTTATATCACGGTACTCGTGAACTATTTAAATAGGCCAATTTAATCAGAAAAAGACAGGAAATAAAACTTACTTGGTTTGTGTAATTTTGGGCCGAATCCCTCTCCTAGGTGGTGAAAGTCGTAAAATGTCAAAAAGTGTAACCGGCCTTTGGCATTTCCCGCTTGCGAGTACTTTCTAATTTTGAACCAATGCACATTCCAGTTAAACTAGGGTTTGGAACCACCCGACATCATCAGAACTACAAAAACAATCCGATTGACACAAACACTCGAAGGAAGGAAAAGGAACCTCAAGTCCTCAAGGATCGTTTGCTGAAGAAATCGATATGCTGCTGCATATCGACGACTTCCTTTGGTCAATGTCCCAAGTGCCACTTATTTTCAAAAATCACACACACTTCACTTGTTTTCAACAATTTGTAACTGTTTAAATAAAAATATATTTATACAGTGCGCTCCTAATTTGAACATACATATGCCTATATAGATTTGGGCTTGCACTGTTTACTTATATTTAAAGAGTTATTTAAATATAGAAAAACAATTACATATATAAAATTTAATCATTCCCACCGATAGAAAACTAGTTGTGAAAGTAAATAGATACTTCTCTAAAGAAATAGATGTCACCACTGGTGTAGCACAAGGTGGTCACCTCTGGGGTAGCACAAGGTGGTCACCTCTCACCACTTCACTTTAACTTTTACATCAATGATCTTAAAATCCATTTCAAACATAACTGCTTCCTTATAATTGCTGAAGACCTCAAACTCTACAAAATCATTATCTCACTTCAGGATTACCTCAACCTCTAATCTGATCTGAATTCTATCTTAGAATGGTGCTTGTCCAACTCAGTGCAACTAAACCTTCGCAAATACAATATAAAAATAAACCTTTACATTTCGACTATATTTTGAATAACACTCTCCTCAGCAGACAGACTGAAATTTACATGACGACAAATTAAACTTCAACTCCAACTTAATCCATTTGACTGTGACTTGTAAATCTCTTGACAATATATACAGACTATCCCAAGAACTTGTGACATTAACTTGAACAAACTTCTTTATTGTTCCTTCGTAGGGTCTTACCTAGCTAGATTGCATCCTCTGTAGTTTGGTCTCCTTCATTCAGTAACCAGATAAATTCACTTGAAGGAATTTAAAATAAATCCCTAAGATATATGGCCTATAAATTCAAAATCCCATGTCTTGTACACGACTTTGTACCCTACTAGATCTCTTTAACTTTAATTTACTTCAATCTCATCTTTCTTTTCTTTTTTCTTCTTTTTTTTACACACCTTTTATGTGGAATTAATCAATGCAATTGATGACTGATCTTTACATGTTTAAATAGAAATGAAATCTGGAATAATGTTATTCGATGTACAGTATGCCTGGGGAAGAACAATTTTTTTTTAAAGAAGATATAATTTTTATAACAGGAATCGATTGTAGGTCATTTTTTAAGCATGTTTTACTTAAAACTCTATTTCTGAAAAGTGCTTAATTTAATAGCTTGCTTTTGTTTATAATATTAATAACAAGTTTAAATAGTGCATCTCATACATTCTTATGGGATGAAGCAACTAAGGCCAGGACGTCCTAACCCCCAGACTTAACCATTGCAATCAGGCCCTCTGTCACTAAAAAACATTAAAAAACATAACTAAAAGGAAGTGGCAGCATCAGCAGAAAAGATCTCATGTATCAAGAGCTCTGTCGACCCAATTAAGGATGTGTCATGCGAGGTTGACTAATTGACTTACTTTTGGGCCAAAGCTCATTAAGGTGTACAGCTAGTTGAAGGGTAGAATTCCTTGGCTCCCTATAGAGAACGTGTAGGAATGCCACCAGATATGAGAATTGTGCTTGAGCACATCATCAAATATCTGGGTCCCCAGTTCCAATTCTTGGAAGAAGCAGGGTTGTTTTATTGTATGTAGTGTTGTATCTCTGATGTGTGTTGAGAGTAAATGTATTTATTAGTGTGAATGTTAGTGTGAAAGGGCCGAAGGCGGAATATTGAATACCCCATCAACCTTCAATTAATTAGTTATGTAATAGGTGTAAAAGAGGAATATGAAGTGCTCAACCACCCTAACTGAGTGAATGGTATTTTATAGGAAAGAATGAGTGACAGTGTGAATGAATACAGGTACTGATTACATTGGTAGTTGAAATAACCAAACTGTTGATAACACTTGAAGACAAACCTTGGAGCCTGGACGGATAAGACAGAGGTCTGACCCCATATTTCCAATTCCTGAGGTGGATGATTCTTGATGACTGCCGGTAATTTATTGTAAATTACAAAAGTTGGAAAAAGTGTATTTATGTATATGCATGTGCAGATTTGAGCTTACAGACATCAGTAATCAGTGCATCAACCTTTCATTTATTTTATATTCTATGCTTGATATTTGCAAACTCTTGCTGTAAGATTTTTCTTTATGAACTATCAATTTAATTCCAGGGTCGTATATTCCAAATTAAGTTTGCATTGCAATTAATTATATATGTATGCAAAATTATTATTACCTAAAATTCTTTTGGTAACAAAACATTTAAAAATGATAATACAATCAAATAATAATGACAAAACACATCTTGGGGAATGGAAAGGAAATAAAATCTCAAAAAAATTAAAATCTGGTATTATTAAGCTCTAAAAAAAGTAATAACATGATTTAAAATAAACTAATATTTCTTAACATTAATATCACATATAAATTACTTTCTTTTTGTTACTTTGTAACTTGCATGACAAAAAATTAATCTTTTGGTTTCAGATTAATCTAAACAATTTCTTTTGTAAAAAAACATTTCCAGAAATTAAAATTAAATCAAATGAAGTGGGATCAAACCAAAAGGTAATACATGTTTTCAAGCAACTTGTTTAAAATATATATATGTATATAATAATATATATAACAGGTAACTCGGTATTTTAAGAAAAATCTAAGTTCCTTTGCATAACACTTTTACCTCGTAATGTCCAATTTAATTTTTGTAAAATAGGTTAGTTTAGTTGTTAAAACGTATATAAGTATATCATGAGATTTAAATTAAGTGAAATCACACTATTGCAATAGATCAATTCAGAATAAATGACAAAAACATGGTAACATGGCATATCAATTTAATGGAATATTCATAGAAGTATTAAAAATTAAGGAAATATTTATTTAGAATTTTTATATGTTGTATGTTATCGATGAACATAATTCAATGTCATGTGAATTGATCTCATTTAATCATACTGATATACTATGGCAGATGAGGTCAAAATAAACTAAAAACATGGCAATATTCCTCCTTCCCCAATTATTATCGCCAGTTTCATTTTTTACTTTAATTTTAAATATATATTAAAACAAATGTATAAAGGCAGAAGTAGGATAATGCTTTGTAAAACAACTGTTTTCATGGTGCAAAATTGTTTCAGAGATAAGGGTTGCAGAGTAAATATTAAAACAATTTGTACAATTAAAATTGGATGTTCACAGTACTTTAGTTGATCAGAGAGAGCACAGCTCTTGTGTTGTTTTTGTTGAATTTCCCCTGAAATTTAGGAAAATTCAGTTAATTAATATAATCCTTAAACACGGTAAGAACATTGTTTACAAAGTAATAAATGATTTACCTTGAGGAGACTTTTTTTCTGCAGAGGCTTTTGAACCATGTCCACCTGAGCAGTATATAAAAATAAGGATCTAATGTAAAGTGAACTGCGTAAATAAGGTCGCCAAGATTCATAAATATTTTGCACCATTCAGTTTCATTGTACAGTTGGGAGATGGGTATTGTAATCTAAAACATTTTAGAAATTTATATAAATTCAGCGTCAATAGATATTTCAATTATTTAAAAATAAAATCTGAAGTGGTTTTAAATTCTCTAGATGTATTATATTTTATAAATTTAACAACAATCTGCACAAGGCAATAAGTAACATGGATAACATAGCACATAAAGATAACAAAATAATAATAATTCTTGTGAAGTTATCCAGTGATAGCACTCTTAAATCATTTATTCATTTGAATCACTCAGACTTTTATTTAATTGTCAAGGGGATTATTTGGAAGAGATCAGAAGGACAGTAGTTGTATATAAGGACTATAGTTAAATTGGAGGTTAATGAGGAATTTTTTTGTAGTTAGATATTGCAACTTCTTTTATAAATTGAACATTTAGATCATGATGGGTCTGGATTCTTCAGAGATTGGAAAGTTTGTGTGGGTCCTAGTTATATGTCGAATGTTCATATTGGTTTCAGTGTTGATTTGCACATGAGTATTTTATTGTCGAAGGAGAGATTAGATCTGGTGATCAGTAGTCTTTTAAGCAATCGGTATCATCAGTTATATTGCTAGATTCTAAGTTGTATACGGAGATCCAGGATTCCAAGTCAGCCACTTGTTTAGATACAGCACAAGTAACAGATGACAATGCGGTAGGAAAGGTGTGAGGTAGAATGATGCAACAGAAGGTGATGATTGTATGTTGGGATGTTGTTTAATACAAGATAGATGTGTCTGGAAGGTTTGGGGTTGGAGTTGGAGGATAGAAGGCAGTGTCATGAGTGTTAGGATAGTGGTATCGGAATGGGAAGGATATCAGCAGTGTACTGAATGCAGTAATGGAACATGACACTACACTGAGAACGTACAAAGTTAGGAGATGATCAGACCCATACTTTCAAGTACCTTTTGGCCAAGTAGGACTTAAGGTTGAAAAAATGTGAAGAGGTGACCTTGGGTTTCAAAGAAAAACCAGGGGTGAAAGTGTTCGACTTCGAGGAAGACCTACAAGCAGCATTCCTTCTACTCAAAGGAGGATGCAGTCTACAACACAATGGCAAATTGATTGTCAGAGATTATTTTAGGGGAGTATTTGCTTACAAAGAAGTTAACCAAGAATTGGCAATAAACTTATGGAACAAATGGAATTCAAATGGTGTGCTTTATTGGGTTTAGAAATTGGATGAATTTAGGGTTAAGAAAGGTGGTTAAGAAAACTTCTTTTTTTTTGAGGGGGTTTATGAGGGCCAACTCCATAAGCTTTCTGGAGGCTAAGATTTTATTGCTTATTTGGTGTCAAAAGGAGTAAAGGCTAATGGGAACAGATATAGGTAGTGGAAGGTGGAGATCTTGTATGGATTCTTGAAATTGGGGGCTGGCCATATGGGATAAAGGGTAAATATTTAAGTCCTAAAGTCCTGAAGTTGTTTGATTTTTTGAGGGTCAATTTGTTAAAGGTCTTTCATCAGCGGGATAACAGGTTACCATATGGCTCGTAAATGCTTCTACACCGTAAATTAGTAGTGTGTAATGTTGACATTGAGGTTTGTATGTTTTCTAGAAGTTAGTTGTAATTTGCATAAACTCCAAAAATCAATATTTAGTAAAGTATCTCACCAGCTGTGGTAGCCAGCAAATAATAATGACAGCACAAAGTACTCCCATCAGACGAGCGAATGCTAGCTCTTCATAAGTTGAAGCAGAGCAAGTCAGATCGCGATTTCTTGATATCCTCCTTACAAGCACCTTCTTCTTTTGCTTTGGTGCTGAAAGATTCTTCATGACTGAGAGGTTGCACAGTATTAAAGAACAGCACAACAGAAACCCTGATAAAGGCCAATATTTAGCGACTACTATTGATGTCAAATATATAATAATGGATAATTACCGAATGAGAAATAAACTAAGGCATACACCCTGTCCAATGTCCGAACCGCCATTTTGTAACGCACGCATCTTCCGTTCTCAAAGTAAAGTCCAAATCCAAAGAGAGGAGAGCAGACGATCAAAAGGTTTATTGCCCAGAGGATTAATAAAGATTTCTTTATTGTCCCCAGGGTCATGTGCTGAAAATTGAACAACAAATAAATCATTGATAATTATTAGTTTTAAATACAAATTATTTATATATAGTTCTACATCACACTTTACACATATTACATAATTAATCTAATTGAGGGTCAAGGGGTTCTCAATTATCCGCCATCGGCCCTCTCACACTACACATTCTTGCTAATAAATACATTCAGTCTCCATGGGATGAAAGGGATAAACAACTAGTACTATAAACAATAAAACAACTCTGTTTCCTCCAAAAATCGGAACAGGGCTCAAGCACAATTCTCATACAGGTGGCATTCTTACATGCTCTCTATATGGAGCCAAAGAATGACACCTTTCTATTACACTTCTCAACACCTGAACCCATACACAGGCTTCGTTCCAAAAGTGTGTCTGGGTGTCAGTCTCGCAAGGTCTAAAACCATTATGATGAAGGAAGTTAAAAATAAACACTAAAGTTTGTCCATTTATTCCTAATTCGACTAGTTAATCTAATACATATCAATTCTTATTAACTATCTTGATAATATTTTAAAATTGTAATGAATCCCAGTTTAAAATTAAATTAAATTAAAAAAACCACTATTTTATTGGTTATTTATCTGTTTTATCACCTTATCAATTACATTGTTTGCCCAACAAATAATGTTCATTTTATATAATAAAAAGTGGTTTTTTAACAAAAACTCCGTAGGAGTATAAAAATGTTTGAGCTCGTTAAGGAACCAGCATAATGTAGATATAGACATGCTACATCTTTAACTTTTTGAAAGTATTTTAAAGGTATCTTATTATAAGGATTATAAGGTAATTTAAGTAGGGGCAAGCCAAGAAATAATACAAATATGCTCAAAGATTATACAAAGTTTCTTGTAAGTAGCTATTTTAGCTTTTAATTATTTTGAGTGCGAAAAAATGTCTTTCAGTGTTAAGCCCAGTTTGGGCTGTTTCATACTCATCCAGCAGTAGGGTACTTGACTCCTAGTAGATCAGTTGTGCTGAAAGTACAATTACCAGAAACGTCTGCTATATGGTTTCAACAAGTATGCATACCCATACCCACCTCTCAGCAATTGGAAGAAATTGCTGGAATTTAAAAAAAACCTCTAATTTCCGTTAAAACATTGGAGCTGTAGATAGGAAACATATTCAAATCGTCCATCCCTGTAATTCAATGTATTACAGCTCAAGAGGTATTCATCAATAGTGTTGATGACTACAGCTGATGCACGGTACAGATTTATCTACGTTGATGTTGGCAGTTTGGGCAACGAGTGATTCATTCATATATCAGGAATGTTCTTTGTGGAAATCACTACTGAAAAATAGACATAGAAACCCAGAAGAGAAATACTTTCCTGTAAGTCCCAAAGCACCATATTTTTTCGTTGGAGATGAAGCTTTTAGGATGCACCTTTTATATATTCTGCATGTATCTTCTACAACCATTTAGGGGACATCAGTTGACAATTGAAAAAAGGGATTTTAATTACTGCATTTCGAGAACACGGAGGTACGTAGAGTTTTTGGAATAGTAGTAATAAAGTGGTTAATATACCACAGAGCTATAAACCTAAATCCCTAATTTTCCACTGACATTGTTAAATGTTGTGCGGTTATTCACAATTTCGTTTCCAAAAGAGATCCGTACCAAACAGAGGATAGTTTGTTAATAGTTGGACTTGATATATGGTGAAATGACTGCTTGTGAGGAGGAATGCCAGCAAAGAATGTCAGAAAAATAATGATGGGCTATTTTTTGATGCCACATGGTTGACTAAAATGGCAGTTATTGTCTGTGTCAACAAAACATCAACAATATGGTGTGCTTATTAATTTGTCAATTTTTATATTCTAGGATTATAACATAGAATGAAATGTTATTAAGTAGCAGTGCAGTTCTTCCATTTCTTTAAATTAATCATTAATTTCTTGGAATGAGCTCATCCAAGCATTTCGCTTAAGCATGCGAATTTCGACCTATAAAATGGTACTGACATGTACTAACATAATCAGTTAACGTCAATAGTTGTCATTTCAAACGACGCCATTCTGCAAAGAAAACTTTGAACTACAGACGAGGGTAGATGCGAAAACCTCCATAAACTTCCAACGCGCTTTACTTTTGCTTGGTCCTCTATACCGACAGTCGACCCGCGCCGAGGGGGTACCAGCTTCCCTCAACTATGCCCGTAGTAACGTTCATACGAGCACGGCTTTTACCGGACAAGTATGAAACGTCCCATGCACGGTTCCTCCCAATAATCGGTTACCCGACTGTTGGATAAGCGTGAAACCAAAATGTGCCTTAGAAAATCTTGAAAGAGACTTATAAGACCCCAGCAGGTATTAAAGCATGAGTAAAAAAATCATATCAAAATTAGTCAGTGAATGCATCCAAAATCAACAAATCCTGGGGAAACAGATCAACCTGATGACATCTGACACTCAGGGCACAAGGGAATTTCGGGTACGAAAAAACAGACACATGGGTAAGAGGAGGATCCGCAAGACCATATATAGGCCCTAAAACTATACGTGATAACAAAAACAAACACAGAATCCTCCATCTCAGAATGAATCCAAAAAAAGACACAAGGATAAAAGGGTAAACTCTAGGGGCGCTAGACAAGCAAACTTATGCTAAAACAATCTCAAGACTGCTAAAGTCACTGCTACAGTTATACAGGGTTAAACTCAAAGGACTGATAGGACTACAGGTCACTGGAATCTGAGAAAACATCTATAGAACATAGGTATATTCAATACCCCATTTGTAGTTATGAAATGAGGAGGAAGAAACAACCACTTATATCATTTTCGAATGTTAGGCAACCACTCAATGAAGACATACTGGGATAGAAAGAAAACTCAGGGAAAGGAAATGTAGCAACGACAGTCAATGACCTAGTACTCCATAGGAGAAGGATCGTGTCGTCTGCGTTGAACTAAGGAACTAGAAAAGTACAATCAGCCAGAAGGCTGCAGTGCTTAGGGAACAAAAAACCCCCGTCTTCCTGGTGTCCATATTCATCATCATCATCCTTGGTCTATCTTCCTTTGGTGGCAAAAACTTGGAACTTTTAGGATTCGTATAAAAAAAAGTCAATCACAGCATATATGACCGTGAACTATTGGTTGCTTATTTCAAGAACGGCAGTTCACTATTTACACTGATCATAAAGCTCACATATTCGCTTTTGAACAAACTTTAATATCCTCCTACTTAATCCCTTTAAAACCCTCGCTTATACTAGGTATCGCATGTATGCTGCGTCCTTTAAAAGTAGATATCACATTGCAACCATCTCAATTCTGTCTCACAATCCTGCCTGACAGCTAGAGCGCAAACGACGAACCTCTTCTTAAGTTTTCTTATTCTGTAGTAGTGCTCTTTCAAAAACCTTTCACACCCTGGGGTTTCAGACTCAGCGAATCTTGTTCAGTAAAGATTTTTTTTTTTTGCCCTCGTTAATTTTAATAAAAATAGGGCGACACAATTCATGCGCCACATATTTGCCTGTGCATAAAAGATTGTATCATATGAAGGTAGATTTTATCAGGCTTTTACCTAAATCGCAGGGATTTTGTTATTTATTAACAATCATTGACCGATTCTTGCGATGGACAGAAGCCACCTCTTTTCCAGATATATTTGCGGAATATGGCACCAATGCTATCTTAACAACTTGAATTGCTCGTTTTGGTGTAACCTAATAACAGAAAGAGGGAAGCAATTTGATTGCCGACTCTTTTCACACCTAACACAGTTTCTGGAATTGACTACATTAAGAACATAACTTACCATCCAGCCGCAACTGACGGAAGACTAGGTGATAACCGACCTTCTACATGTTTATCAAACCACATTTTCTAGTCACATGTTATTGCTTATTTATTAAACAAATGTGTATATCAGTATCGCCTATGGAAAAGCCGGCCCTACAAGAATCCAATGGCGCTGGTGGTTAAAGACCTGTCAGCTATCAATGAAGTTGTTCTTTTATATTCGAAAATTATTTTTAAATTGGATACAATTCTAAACATGTACCTTAAGGTAGAATAGAGGTCTTGTGAGTGCAATCCAGCGGTCGATGGCCATAATGCAGACAATGCATCCGGATCCGATTCCAAAACATCTCCAAATGACCCGAAAAGCGCAGAACCATTGGCTCCGTGCGATTGACGGTATGAGGGTCCTCAGGTTCATCTGGATCCACATGCCGACGACGGCGAGTAGATCGTTGAAAGCCAGACATTTCAGGACGAGGAGGTGCCTGAGATTTTTCGGCGCCGCAGAAGACGCATAAAGAAAACCGAGTGCTGACAGATTGCCGATGACTCCCATGAAATAAATCACAGTGATGACGGCGTGTCGCACTTGCGCATTGGTAGGGCTTTTCTCCACGGCGATGAAGGTGGCATTTTGAAGACTTTCGGTGATGTTGGCCAAATTGTCCAGATCCATTTCTGCTTAGCTGGTTTCCACTATAGGGAACAGACCCTTTTCCTACCAATTTCCTAAAAGAACAAATATTTTTGTACACATTACAGTACTAATATACACTTGCACATGACTGTATTGTATAAGATATAAGTGAAATATAATTTAAAAAAATATGTTAAATTGGAAAGAAATAGAAAAATATCCTCTTGTTTTACAATATATTATGCTCGACATGGTTTTCATTGTTTCATTACTTTCATTGACAACATCTGGATTGCTTTAACCAACTTTAAACAACTATAACCAACCACTTTTGCATTTCTTCTAACTTTTTTATAATTATGATTATTGTTACAACTGCGGTTATTAGTCGCGACGAGCAAATGAGATAACAGACATAATGACAATCTAGCATGTTACACATGAACAGAGAATCACCTAGCATTTCAATCTCTCATCTTGAGACAAGAAAGTTGTAGAACAAGTGGATTGGGGTGGAGATTTTGAATTTTGAGGATATTTTTGTGTCGGAATTTAAAAATGTAAATCACAATTGGGTTTTGGTGGTCATTGCGGCTTGCTTGGTTCGAAAAGTAAAAGGGTCAATTTAATATTTTTCTTAATATCTTTGATTGGTTAGACTGGATTTTGTAATAATCAGAGTTTTTGTTGAACCCCAAACTTCAATTCCGTATATCCATATCGGTCTAAGGACGGTCTTGCTAGACTAGTTTGTTCGTAAGGTGTAAGTTAGATCTATGGCCAAGTAATCTAAGTAGTTTGTAGCGGAACAAAGGAATGCCCGTGTATATGGTAATAGGAAGGAGCCTAGGATGATGCCCTGGGGGACAACCGCTTTAACGGGAATATAAGAAGAAAAGGCCAGGAGTTATGCGGCAGTACCGGTCTATCAGATAGGACTTTATTATTCAAAGGTACGTGAAAGGAAGCTTGAGCTTAAATAGCAAACCAGGGTGCCATACCAGATCGAATACCAAACGACATCGAGATACCCCGGAACAAATTTTGCTCCAAAGATAGTGTCCACAACAAGATGCACCTGTACAGTGGAGTGAAACCAAACTGGTGGTGAAGTTATTAGTAGTTTCATCTATTGAAATAAATAGTTTTTATGAGAAGCTTTTCAAAAATTTTGCCTAGGACAGGAAGGAGACTATCAGGGCGGTAGGAACTTGAATGTTGGATAGGTTTGTTGGGTTTTGGGATCATTTTAAATACAGAATATTTCCTTGTATTGGGAAATTACACACAATGTTATCATTAATTTTAATTACCGTAATTTTATTTAATTATTTACAAATATAGTCTGGAAGCCGTTGACATATTGAGAAATATTTTAATATCAAATTGGGTAAAACGTGACCGACCCTTTTTGGATGATCTTGAATGATACGAAATCAATAATGGGAAAAAAAGGTCCGCTAGTGAGGCATATCACCTTGCGTTTTAACGAACACAAATTGGAATTCTGGCCAAATAAAATAAACAAGACTAAAAACAGAATCCTTAAAAAACACGAACGTATGCACGGCACACACACACACACACACACACACACACACACACACACACACACACACACACACACACACACACACACACACACACACACACTGATTCTCGCTCTATCTTACTTTCTCACTCACTTACTCACTCTCTCATTCACTCTCATTACCCACTATACATACATGTCCATACTATCACTCACCCACACACTTGTAGATGTAGATGTTGATGTAATAGAAGGGGTGTAATATACTGCGTCCTTTAAGAGCTATTGTATCCCCCGTTTTCTGCCTAAAGCACACGGTGAGTCCTATTTCATCAAGAAACTTGACTAATAGGCCTGGTTTCAATGGTTGAATCTCTTCTGAGGACACATTGTACATCCCAAAGACAAGTGCAGCAGCGCAGTTTGTAAGTAGGCGTGTTGTCGTCTCCTCGGCCTCTTTGCAGAATCTGCATTGTCTTGGATAATTCCAATCTTCTTTAAGTGTCCATTTTAGCTTGCAGTGCCCTGTTAAGAATTCTATTAGGATTCGCAGTTTATTTCTGCTTCCTTTGACACATTCTGTAATTTCTTTTCTTCCGAAATTTGTTAGGAGATTCTTGGATTACCCGTGTCCAATGGGTGAATTTCATTGTTCCTTCATTTTCTTTGTCCTTCTGGCTGAGATACTCATTGATAGTGTAGGTTCCTATGTCACTCACAAACTTAATTTCTTTCATACTAATTCCAACTCGCTTTCACAATAAATACACTAACGATCAGTGGTTTTGGCTTTTAATTATTACTCAATTAACTTAAATCTCAATGAAATTGATTAAAACAGCGCAAACAAAAATCGCTAACGCCAAAAATTCCAAATGAAGAAAGGCTCCATTATTATTTTATAATAATATACAATTTTGTGACTATGTAACAATGTACAGTTAAAAAGATTATCTTAGTACTTATCCCTTAGCTGAACCCTAAATAAAATCGCACGTGAACACATTCAACCGACAAATGAGTCGAGTCCATTGACTCAAGATATCTTAAACGAATCGCGTTTGATTTTCTTTTCAAAAGATAGCAATTGGAAAAATACAAAATCGACATTAACGACTCTGAACTGGATTTAAAATAATTTAAGGAAAATATTGTCAGTCGTTTAAAATATAAAAGCTAATTATGGTTGGTATCGTTCATATCCATAATACTGCATTATTAACAAATTTAGATTAGATTATCATCACTCGTGATAAGAAGAAAGAGAAGAAAATCGAAAATGAATTGATACTGGATACAAAGGATATAAAATATTCTCAGTATGTTCAAGAAGATTTATATACAGACGGAATATTAATCAATCTGGCCTTGAAAATGATACTGCAGCCTATAAATTTCCTCTTAAAAGCATAAATTAAACATTTATGCTTAAGCGCAAAAAAATTTCTTGTGAAATATAATGTTTGTTTATCGACCTGCAGATAACCTATGTAGGGTTCCAAACTTCGAAAAGGTCATTAGACAGGTGAAAAAATGAAGACTAATTGTTGGATTCACCGAGCTTTCGGCACCTTATAGTGCCATCTTCAGGGACTATTTTATTACAAATTAAAATAAATAAACAGTAACATACAATTAAAAATTAATGTAATAAAATGCTATACATGCTTTCCCAAGAATGAAGAAAAACGAATAACATGGAAAACTATTGTAAAAGCGTTTTGAATTTATGGTTATGGCTACAATACATTTGACAATGAAAACAATAATTTATATGTTTAACTTCATTCTAAATTATTGTTTTCATTGTCAAATATAAGTATTGTATGCTAATAATTATTTATAATTTTATATAGATGTCTATTTTTACCGTAAAAAATGTAGTATGCTGGCCATGTGCTCCATAACCTTAAACCCAAAACGCTTTTACAATAGTTTTCTATGTTATTCGTTTTTCTTCATTCTTGGGAAAGTATGTGCAATTTATTACATTAATTTTATACGTTACTGTGTATTTATTTGAATTTGTAATATTATAGGCCCTGATGATGGCACTATAAGGTGCCGAAAGCTCGGTGAACCCAGCAATTAGTCTTCATTTTTTCACCTGTCTAATGAACTCTTGTGAAATGTCAAAAACGAACCTAGTTTGAATTTCGAGAGCTAACTGTCGATGATGAAGTTCATGCTGTTGTTTGAAAAGCACGCGCGCGCACAAAACTTTAAGCGGAAACACTGGCCACCACCTTTCTTAGACTTGCTAAAAGAGTTTTCTGAATAATTTATAAAATCTGTAATCTGCACTTTAGCAAAATTTAACGACAATTTGATTGTAAATAATTTAATGATTATTTGGAGATCGTGAGATGCGGTCTGGTGTGATGTAGGTTTCAGAAAAACATTTTCTTTATCGTGCCAACGTTTCGATCTTTATTGAGATCATCTTCAGGGCCTGGGATCACTTTGAGTGAGTACAAATACTTTGATTAAATCTAAAATTTTTAGAATTGTACAAATTCACTTTTTTCACATCCTACATGTAATACATAACACATAATTTAAACAATGTTTATAAATCCCAGGCCCTGAAGATGATTTCAATAAAGATCGAAACGTTGGCACGATAAAGAAAATGTTTTTCTAAAACCTACGTCACACCAGACCATCTCACGATCTCCAAATTAAGTAACGGTCACCAAACACCACACACACACACACACACACACACACGTAATAATTTAATTGGAACTTGCAGAAAATAAACTCCCTTAGCACAGGGTTTCTGTATTGGGGGTAAAAATACACACACACACTCACGCTCTCGTTCACACACTCACACAAATATACATTTACACTACCACTATACACATCCCGACTCACTCACACAATAAGTACACTCACGTTAAGCGATTTCGGTTTTTAATTGTTATTCAATTATAATTAAATTCTATTGAAATTTATGAAAACGTTGCATACTCGTCGCTATCGCCAATAATTCAAAGTGACTGCTTTTATTATGTGTTTCTTTTCCTCATCCTTGCGAAATATTTTCACACACATTTTCATAAATCGATATAGACAAATTTATGTTGTAAACAGTTCACGAACAATCCCATATAATCATCTTCGTTGAAAGGGTAACTATATAAAGTAATCGAGAGATAACTTGTTCCAAATTATCTAATCTCTGTTCAGGATGTAACCTATTTTTGTATTTGACATCTTGATATATACAGTGCTTCGCGTTGCCTGTCACTCGAAGGAAAGATAATTTGTAAAACAAAAACGCCGCTTCCAGGGGGATGGGGTAAGGAAAAATTCCAAACACGTCGTTATCGACTATAATTCGAAGGGACGTAGAGAATGGCCATTCAATCAATTCAGCACTACGATGTGCATGCTAAATTAATAGCTTGTTGTTCCTCGAGGAATAATTATAATACAGCAGAAAATAAATTCACTCTTTTATTCCTGAAAAGAAATATCGATGGGTTTAAACACAGATGAATGTACTAAAATATCAGAAAGTACTCGCAGATTTAATTATTTCATCCTTGACAA